ATTTGTTTCTACTGAAAAATAATTCCAAAATATCCCTGTAATTCAAGTAACATCAAAGATGTGCGCCTTCGCGTAGTCTTTCAGTATTCCAGTTCATCTCTTTTTCTTTCTAAAGTGTGCGTTGAAAGGAGACAAAAACAATTTTTGGTGACCCATAATTTGTTATTCGAACACCACTTTTCTCCTTGTCGGGTCGTTGACGTTGACTTGTCGCCATTTTATTTCTTTTGTTTACACGCTGCATTTTGCTTTGCAAATTTAATACATAAATTATTTAGGCAAATATATAGGTTTTTAATAAAACTCCTCGGACTAACGTGTAGGTAAGTGTTGATAATTTTTTTTTCATCTTAACATGCTCATTGTCGTTCTCCTGATTTTAGGTGACAGAAAAGGATCATCAAATCAAATTGAATTTTATATTTTCCTTCCTATTTATCCTTCCTAAATATCAACGAGATGAGCCATCGGAAGAAAGGGACCATAGTACAAAACAGAAAGGTGATCTTTTTTCTTTCCACTTCGGATATTGAAATTATTATATACTGTAGTCGTGTTCGGCATTATGCTCTGAGAAATATAGATAAACAAAGAACAACAGATATAAAGCATCCCAGAGGAAAAGAGAGGCAATACCTGTATGTACTCTCTCTGATATTTGTGAAAGTTACAGCAAAGTATTGTTGTAAATGTCATCTTTTTGATCGACCTGAAAACTTCGAGCAAAAAGATGACACTTTCAACAATACCCTGACAGATATCAGAGACGATACAGGTTTTTCCTCTCTTTTCCCCTGGAATACTTTTAATTTATTATTCTTTGTTTATCTAGATTTCTCAGAGCACTATGAACGAACTCAGCTTGTATGTTTGAAATAATCGTCCAGTTGGCTTAAAAATGATGATCGAAGACATTTCCCATATAATTTTACTTTCAAAATTATGATATATCTTTTATTTCTAAGCCATCTATGACGCCATTTTTTTCAGTTTTGTTATAATTAATTTTGTCTCTTGATCTACTTGTAACATTATTCTTTTAATTTTATTAATTTATTGTGGTGAAATTAATTTCTGTTGTATATTTGATATTGATATTAAACATATTTTTAAAAATGGTGTATTTTTTGTGTTTTGATGTATGTCATAATTAAAAATAAATGAAGAATTAAAATTTTTTATTTTTTTAAACTTCCCGCCATGCGTGACAATCTAGTCCGTAGTTCCTACAAGCGATATTGGGGGCGCTAGTAGCAGTAGACTTGTCAACAGTGTCAAATTTAAACGTCAATTTCACTTTCCAATATTTAGCAAGGCGCTCGCACTTCTCTTGTGTATGTGTTTTGTTGGCGTCATCGACCGAATAAGGCTGACTGTCGGTCGCTTAAATCAGTTAGCGGCGCATCGTCCGGAGTGGGGCGTTTTAAATTCGAGCGTGGGAAAAATTAGCGAGTGTCCAAGCCATATTATTCTGTAAGCTGTGACCGTAGTCTCTTCCTACCTATAGTCAAAAGCCGAAATTAGAGGATTTGTATAAACAAAAATTATCGATATTTTTCTGTTAATGCCATAGACTTACTTGCATTTCTTCATGACAAGTAATCAACTCTAACATTTTTTAATTGATGTATTTTCATGATGCGAAAAGAAAAATCTTTTAGGCACAATAAAGACAAACGATATAGACTACACTATTTACATCTCAACGCGGACAGACAATATTTTTTGTACACATGTTTACTTCTGGGTACAGTCGACCGAGCCTTCCTCATCCAGCCTATGTTGTCACGTCTTTAATATTATCAATATTTTTTTTCTTGTTATACACATATATTGAGATATTAATACTACAGTTTAATAAAGTAGGTTTTAATATTCCAGAGATGTATTAAATAGTCCTTATACTACTAAATTATAAGTCGGATACTGTTTAAAAAGGATAAGTTCTTTACAATATGACAACACCGATTAGAGGCGAGGGAGCCTATTCATTCATTTATTACCTTGTAGTACGTGTCGCACGTGTGCGGTAAAGCTTTGTTGCCGCTATCTCCCCGGCTGTATTAACGCATTTTCTTAGCTTGTAGTGCTTAAGTGTTTATTTTATTGACTTTTTCTGTTCAAGAACTATAAAATATGGTTCGCCAGTGCCAAATTTGCAAGAAATTTGACTTAAATAATCCATTTAAGTCTTGAAACGACTTTTGACCGGTAGGCAACTCTCAATTTACCCATTGGGAGTCAGTGGCGTTGTTGTAGAAAGGCGCTTATTTAGATAATATTTTAGTAAAATGTAAAATCTGAATTTTTTCTCTTACATTACATTATTTACTTACTTACATTGTAACAAAATCATAATTATAACCCTGTTAATAATTAATAATGTTTTTATTAAAAATATATTCCGGTTTATTCTAAAATTATCTTCAGAATCTAAAATAACATACAAGAATTTTAAAATGATATTACATTATGAAACAATATTTTTTAATATACCGGGTCGTCTCAAAAGTGGCTAACCCTATAACAGTTTTTGTTTTTGATGATAAAAAAAACAGATTTGTATGTTAGTAGGTATATGACATAAATTAGGATTTATTGACGTATTCAATTGTTTATTGGTCTTCTTCCTGTTTCACCGAAATGATTACATCTTTTGATTTTTTAAAGGCACCCTCGGTATATTGCTACTTTATTCGATAAGTGTGATACCACTTTAATAAACATTAAAATCTTCGAACTAGTAGTGGTTTTATGGCGATTGACAGATTGAATAACGAAAATGACACTCTGAATGGAATGACATATCATATGTCAACTTTTGACATTGTCGCTTAAAAACATATCCTATTTTTAAATTTCAATCCAGTTTTTTTCAATCCACTAAGTTTTTAATCAAAGGAGCCTTGGAAAAATAGTTTTGATCGTCTAATAGGTTTCGTGTCTTGTCTAGGCCGGTTAAAAGATGTACAAATCGTATTTTTTAATCATACATATGTCAATTTTTCAAATGGAACAAGGGTGATTCATTAGCATATTTGGAAAAGCATTTAAAATTATTGATACCACACACTTGGTATTTTCGAGTCAAATTGTCGTTATGAAACCGCGTGTTACAATTACAATTAAACCATATGCGAAAATGTCAAAAAGTTGACATATGATATGTCATTCTATTCAGAGTGTCATTTTCTATCGAATAAAAGTAGAAATATACCGAGGGGTGCCGTTTAAGAAATTAAAAGTTATAGTCATTTCCGGTGAAACAGGAAGTGACCAAAACAATTAGATACTATTAACTAATTCCACTAAATTTAATAAATAAAATATACAATCAATCAATCCTAATTTATTTCATATACTAACATACTAAATCTTGTTTTTTATTTGAAAATATAAAAATTATATGAGATGAAACCACTTTTGAGACGCACCGGTATAATAAAGAACAGTACCGAGTTAAATAAATGTAGTTTTTATTTTATCCACTTCCTATCACCTTCCCTTGCTTTAATGGAACAGATTTATGTTTTTCTCTAATTTACATAATAAGACATCAACAACAACCAGAAAAATACAAATTAATCAATTTTTTTTCTCTCAATGTCGCCGATTCTATTATATCTGTGGAATAGGTCCTGTTTTGATTAATATTAGGGGTTGTAAATGTTTGACTAAAATTAATAATTTATTATTAATTTCAAAAATTACCCATTTCGATTATAAAATTTCTTCTATAACGTGTATTTTATTATTTTTATCCTTTTTGGACTCTAAATTGTTTTTTTCTAAACTTTTATTTAAAAAAACTGTCCTAAATCTTAATAAAATATAAACTTTTCAGTTAAGCTTCACCTTACACATGGTGGTTTCTCTTTCTTTATTACTAGAAAAAAGTTTAAATACGATATATTTTAATTTAATTATAGCTTCATTAAAATAAAAAATTACCCGGCTATGATACGGAGAGTTCAGGTGTACTTGAGAAACGAAAGACAGTGTTGTGTTTCTCGGCAAGAGTCGTCGGGGAACGACCGTTTACGACAGAGACAACCTATCTATCGCTCGTGTCGCACTCGTTATAACCTAAAACAATAACACAACAATAACAAGACAGTGTCTGACCGCATGTTCCAGCAATTTATGAATGAGATGCTCAGTCTATATTTTATTTTAAGTCTATGGTTAATGCACTTCCCTAACCATATACCACAGATTGTAAATTAGTATATTATGCAATGACTAAAGAATATAAGGACATGTAACGCCCCTGTACGGGCTGTAGTAGAATTTGTGACGTTAGACGCCATTCGTTTGATGCCAAACAGTGAGTCATCATCCAGTCACCAGCGACAATTTTAGCGATTTTTAATAGTTTGTTGTGTGTAGTGACAGTATATAATTTTAATGTTTTCTTAACATCTATCCATAATTTTTATAAATAAATAGTCATACTTTGTATAAACTTTGTTAATGGTGAATTGTGTAGCTTTCAAGTGTAAAAGCCACAGCGACAAGAAGAGCCAGGAGTTACGTTTCATAGGTAAAATAAACAGTCCACCCAACTTTTTAGCGTTTTCTTATTGAATTCGATAATTATTCTTCAATTTCAATTAACATCTATATGTACTTGATATGTGCTATACGTCGATACTAGTTTTGTATCTTTTGTTAACATTTAGTACGTTTTTTTCGTAATTAGTTAGGATGATACACCATAGGCGTGGTCAAAACAATTATCTATAAAAAAATATAAATATTAGCGCTCAAACAGCTGGGTTAAGAGAAAAATATGTGCCACGGCACTGTTTGATGCCACGTCTGAATTATTAACTGTATATTATGTATATTTCATTTAAACTATATCATTTTTAAAATACAAACCAAAAATCTGAGGAATAATTATGTTTTCCATGTATTCTACAACATATTTATTAATCCGTTATATCTAACTAGCGTGACGTCATAAATCTCGCCCGCAGGCTGATCTTTTAATAGAAGGCACTGTAACAGATTATAATTACCTCTGTTAATTACTATTTGTTTAAGTTTATAAAAAATGAATAGTTTTAAACATACAAGATTACATAAATATTTTTTATATAGATATTTTAATGGGCAGTCCCAACAGTTTGTTCCCAAACACAATCCTGTAAATGAAAGTGATATAGAATTATTGAAAAACTTTGTATTTACTTCCCAAAGGCTCTTGGTTTTGACTGGTGCTGGAATTTCAACAGAATCAGGTATGTAAATAATTAAAAAATAATGTAACCGATGATTACCATTATTTGCTATACATATAATTGCCTGTAATACCATATTAGATTATATCATCGATTGAAAGAATTGGAGGGGTGGCTAGGCTGCTTCTTTATAATAAATTTGTGGGAAATCGTAAAGAGCTGCTCAGTTCTTGCTGCAAACCCAGAGCAAGACAGCTCTAACTAACGTCGCCATTTATGTACTATATTGAGAGAACTGATTGTTGCAGGAAACGATCAAACGGCCAATTTTTTTAAAGGGTAATTCATTAAAAATCTCATTTTTAAAAAAAGTGGAGCTGCCTGGTTATTGCAGCCATCCCTTGAATTGGGAAGATAGACAACCTAATGGGCAAAGTCGTGACCAAGGTTGATTTTATTTCCCCTTATTAAATCGTGTTCAGAGACAGGATCAACGCCCTGTAGACGACATTGTCAGAAATTAATATAACACCCAGTATATTATGTACTTGTATTTACTGAGAGTAGATCCCAAGTGGGACCCTCCACTGCGGTAGCTAGGTCATGTTGTGGCTCAGTTCTAGAAACTTTTTAAAGAGAAAAAAGAAAAAAGCACTATTTATCTTTAAAGCCTATTCTATCTTTAAATTTTCCATAACATAAATGTTATTGTCTTTTAAGGTATTCCAGATTACAGATCTGATGTAGTAGGATTATATGCACGAACAAATCATAAACCTATTCAGCATCAAGAATTTATAAAATCAAAACAAATACGCCAAAGATACTGGGCGAGAAATTTCGTCGGATGGTACAGGTAGGTATACTAAAAATTGTGTTTTATATCCCTTATAATCAGATATAAAAGCTATTTACAGATTTTCGCAGTGTGAACCAAATAGTGTGCACTACACTATTCGAGATTTAGAAACAGAACACAAAATAGTCAATGCAGTCATAACACAAAATGTGGATAGTTTGCACTATAAAGCGGGAAGTAAAAATGTTATTGAACTGCATGGATCAGGATATAGGTAAAGATTCTCTAAAAATATTCTTCCTAAAAAGATGAAAAATTATTGTTGTTTTAAGGGTAATTTGTCTACAGTGTTCCAAAATCTACAACAGATTTTATATTCAAGAGAAGTTATTAGAGAAAAATAATTTAGATTTCAACGAAAGTACAAAGATGATAAGGCCAGATGGAGATGTAGAAATACCAGAAGTAAGTATGTAATAATTCCGGAGTTTAACCATAGTGTTTTTATTGCAAATAATTTAATCTTCATACAATTTTATGACACCCGTATTTTTTATTTTACTTCAATTTCATCCCATTTTTTTAAAAAAATTAATCAATATTAAGAATTTCAAATTTACACTTTTGCAATCAAAAGTGTCACGGTTTGCTACCAGGTACAAAGGTAAATAAAAACCATTTTTCTAAATGTATTTTAAAGTAGATATAAAATTAATTGTAAAATACTTAAGGAACTTATGTTAAAATGATCTTCACAGCAAAATATTGTACTTTTGCTGACATATTGTTGTCTTGCCGCTTCAAACCAGGCTCTTGGACGGCTTTCATCCAAAGGAACAGTTAGAAATACTTTTTCTGGAGAGCCTTCAAAGTTATTTAGACAGCACTTCACAAAATAAACTTTAACACCCTTCATTACAGAAATAATAATGAGGGTACAATAAAACAAAATTGAAAACTCAAAGTATTTAACACCAAACGCAAAATCCACAAAATACAAATCTAACCTCGAGCCCTCGAACCACCTAGAACGCCTCGAACATCCGAACAACTTTGGTAGTGTTTAGTGCTTCGATAAAAATGGCAGTAACCTGTTAATTATAAAAATTTAAGTTTTAATTTCTAGTAGTAAAAAATATAAAAGTAAATTTAATATTGGGTAATAAAGAATAATCCCACATAAAAACGTATTTTATAATGATCTCAATAAAAAGAGAAAAATCTAACGTGATTCTAAGATATATGGTGTAAATACGGTAGCAGAGAACTAGACACGTCATAATAATTCTTCAGAGGCTGGCGCCCTCTGTCAACTATTCTGTCAAATGCTGATAGGTGACGTCACAATTTTCTACGCGTCATTTCAAACCAGTGAAATTTGTATTGAATTTGATTTATTATTTATTCCTTAATTGTAACTTCGTTGTATTTCTTTTTGTATTGAGGGAGTACTTTTTAATCCCTTCAATTGAATTTTATATTAAAAATAACAAAAATTTACTATGGTTAAACACCAGATTGTAATGTGTTTTTCTTATTTTCTTCATTGATATATTTGTCTTATAGGACATCATAAAAAAATTTCACCCCCCTATATGTGAAGCTTGTTCTGGTGTTTTAAAACCAGAAATAACTTTCTTCGGTGATAATGTTCCAAAGGAAAGAGTAGAAAATGTGAGAGACCAAGTTTCTAATTGTGATAGTTTGTTAATTTTAGGTTCTAGTCTTTCTGTATTCTCAGGTAAATATTTCATTTTAAGATATTAAATAGTTTTTTATTTTTTTTTATTTAGGTTATAGGATAGTTTTACAAGCTTTAGAAGAAAATAAAAATATACTTATAATAAATATTGGACCTACAAGGGCAGATAAACATGCAGTCTTAAAAATTGAAGCAAAATGTGGTGATATTTTACCAAAAATATGTTAAAAGTAACTGTTATTTTGTGTTTTCTAGTAATTATTATGATTAAAATATTTTCATGAAAAAATCGACTATAGAATAAATGGAATTAGTATGTCAATGAAGTGGTAAAAAAGTATGATTTGTGAAAATTCTAAAAATAATAAAAAGTTAATACCTTGATCTTCAGGAGGTCTAACCTTGTCTTTAATAATTCAAGCTAATAAAACTTTTTAGTTGAGTTCAACAATGGTAGCTAATGAGACATAACTGAGGATCTTTCGGTTATAACGAATTTTTTAAAGGTACATAATTATAATTTTAGAAGTTATTCATAAAAAATTTAAACAGTATTTCAAATTATGGCTCTGATTATGGTAATTATTGGGAAAACTGGAAATCGTCAGATTTTCACCAAAATTGGTATACACCCTATTTAGAGGTCGTAGATTACGAATCTGAACTTTTTTCTTGGCGGTCTCTTACCGTTTTTCAGAAAAACGGAAATTTATTTCAACATTGAATTTTTCCTTATTTCGGCCCTATAAAGTAATAATTTCACTATATTGTTGCGGACCGGTGTGGACTCGACCTAACCTTACAATATGGCCCGCCCTCGGATGACCTTAACATCGCATAGACACTGTAATGATTCATTCGAAGATTCGAGAAGGATCGAGTGCCACTGGAATGGAGTAGTACATACGAGAACATTGGAAACCTTCTCTATGTTCTTCTTCTTGACTATTCTAGTAAACTTTAACTGTAGGTATAAAAGCTAGCGGCTGTGGCCTAGAGAGGGCAGTTATAAATAAACAGTGCAGTTGACGCGCTAAAATTCAAAATAAATTCTTAGTTATAAATCGTTTGTAAATAGTTCTATAAGTCTTTTATCGTTATTGTTTTTGTTAATTAGTGTTAAATAAATAGTGTTTAAATAAATTGTGACTTTCTATCCACACGGAACCGACGAAAAACGTAACAATTGGTGTCAGGTGTGGGGTGTGTGATAGACTAGAAGAATAAAAAGACTGACCATGGCTCTGAAAAAATTGTTGAAAGACTTGAAAGTGTCCGAACTGAAATGCATATTGGAAGAGAGAGAGAGTGCGAGACAGATGGAAAAAAAAGCATTTTGCAAGCTAGACTGAGAGACGTTTTGGTGGGGGAAGGTGAGGATCCTGGCACATTTTACTTCGAGCTGGAAGGTGACCTTGACTCGTCCTTACAAAAATTAGAAGACAATTTGAATAATAAAATCAGTGATAAAATAACGGAAAATTTCCAAAAATTAGAAGATAAAATCATAGAAAATTCTAAAGATATACAGGCCAGCTTTAATAATAAAATACTTAATTTAGAAGAAAGTTTATATAACAAGATAGTAAGAAAAGATTATAGAGAATTCCACGGAGTTACAAGACAAAATAGCACAGATTGAGGACGATGTTAACAGAAAAATCGAAATTTTACGGGAAGAAATAACGAAGTCAAATTCACCAAAATGTCAAGAAACATCGGAGGGACCGAAACTAGTCGAAAATAGGTATACCTCAAAATCAGTTATGAAACCTCCGCAGTTTGACGGAAAAACCGCTTGGGCCAACTACTTTTGCCAATTTGAAGCCGCTGCGAGAGCAAACGGCTGGACAATCGCTGAAAAAGCTACCGCTTTGACTATCGCACTGCGAGGAGATGCGACTGATATCCTGCAGACACTGTCACCATCGGAACAGGGAGATTATCAGCAATTGGTACGACATTTAGAAATGAGGTACGGCCAAGCTCATTTGGAACATGTCTATCATTCACAGCTAAAAAATCGCATTCAAAAGTCAAATGAGTCTCTGCAGGAGTTTGAAGCCGACGTAGCCCGCCTGGTTCGCCTTGCGTATCCTGCTACGCCCGAGAATGTTATGGAGCGGTTGGCAGTACAGACATTCTCCGATGGCTTACGTGACAGGGAGACAAGGCAAGCGCTTCTTCTAGCCCACCCAACGCGCTTGGTGGATGCTTTAGCACGTGCCCTAGAATTTGAGGCCGCGAAACAGTTCTCGGTCTCTAGTGAGAGTACGGGCGGTCAACCAATGTTCCGACAAATCCGTGGAAAGCATTGTACGGAAAGTCATGGAGGAGTACATGGGCAAGAAAGGACCGACTTGTTGCTGGAATTGCGGCCAGGCAGGACACGTAAGAAGTCACTGTCAAGAAAAAGACGTGGACTCGGTTTCGCCAAGTGTCGAATCAAAGGGACACATATGGAGCAGTACCCAACAGGTTCCAACGAAAACTGTTCAAGTCGCATCGCTACAACACAAGTTCAACAGCATTTTTGTGGCTAGTTTCGTGGATGGAGAGTTACGGACCATGCTGTTGGATACGGGTGCGACCAAAACGATCATCAGGCCGGATATCCTTAAAACATCAAAAAGGATTAAAACAACACAATGGCGACTACGTACAGCTACAGGAAGCTGCGCTCTCATCCATGGAGAGGTAGATCTTAATTTTGTTATCGGAAGCACCTGTTTTAATCATCGAGTGTTAGTAGCAGACATCGAAGATGAACTTATTCTCGGAATGGACATCGTGACCACTAGAGGTTTTGAACTAAACCTCAAACAAGAAATTTTGAAAATAAATGAAGAAGAAGTGGTTCTACATCGAAAATGTGAGGAGACGCTTCGCGTGGTAGTAGCAGAAGATGTTTCGATCCCTGAGCGCTGTGAGATATTTTTGGATGGTCGCCTGGAAGGTAAAACGAATAATGGGAGTATTATTCTGTTGGAGCCAAGGAACCATGACAGCGAAATAGGACGAGGGGTCGCTGTTGGAAAACCCCTGCTACGAGCGAAGAAGTCTGTACCGGTAAGAGTAATGAACACGAATTATCATTCTGTATCCTTGAAGAAGGGAACCCTGTTAGGGTACTGTTGTTCGGCCTCCTCAGTCATTCGAAGCGTGGAAGCCTCCAAAGTTTCGATTTCAAAAATTCCGGACAAAATGGTTAAGGAGTTAGTAAACGTTAAGGGATTATTTCCCGAAGATAGTAGAAAATTGAGAAACCTGATAATCAAGTATCAAGATGTGTTTGATAAAGGAGAAGCAGGACATAGAGGTCGTACCAATTTAGTACAACATAAAATTGACACCGGAGATGCACGACCAATCAAACAAAATCCGAGTAGACTGCCGCTCGCCAAACGTGAAGAAGCTGACAAAATCCTTCGAGAAATGAAAGAAGAGGGTGTCATCGAACCATCTAACAGCCCGTGGACATCGCCGGTAGTACTAGTAAAGAAGAAAGACGGTACCACCAGGTTCTGTGTTGATTATCGGCAACTTAATAATGTTACCAAGAAGGATAGCTATCCCCTGCCGAGGATAGACGATACTCTAGACAGGCTGGCGGGATCGACTATATTCTCTACCTTAGATTGAAGAGTGGATATTGGCAAGTCGACATGGCGCCGAAAGATAGAGAGAAGACAGCGTTCTCGGTGGGCTCCGGACTGTGGCAATTTACCGTCATGACTTTTTGGATTGTGCAACGCGCCAGCTACCTTTGAGAGACTAATGGAGTCTGTGTTAAAGGGACTATCCTGGACTACCTAGTGTACCTGGATGACATCATAGTGGTTGGGAAATCCTTTGACGATCATCTGAAGAATTTGGAACAAGTTTTCAAGCGACTAGGGAGCTCTGGTTTGAAACTTAGCCCCAAGAAATGTCATCTGTGTCAAGAAAAGGTACACTACTTGGGCCATGTAGTCTCCTCCCAAGGAGTTGCGGTAGATCCACAGAAGACCAAGACAGTGGAAGAGTGGCCAATACCTAAAGATAAACATGAACTACGAAGCTTTTTGGGACTATGCACATACTATCGCCGCTATGTACAATGTTTCGCCACCATCGCAAAACCATTGACCAGACTTACCGAAGGCGAGAGGCGTTTCTCTTGGGACTCAGATTCTGACGAGGCATTCCGAAAATTGAAGGCCCTGACTAGTGCGCTCATACTTAGCTACCCTCTTGGTAACGGAAACTTTATATTGGATACCGACGCTAGCAATGTTGCGTTAGGCGCTGTTCTGTCTCAGATCCAGGATGGTCAAGAAAAAGTCATTGATTATTTTAGTAAGACCTTGTCAAAACCGGAAAGGAACTACTGTGTAACCAGACGAGCATTACTAGCAGTAGTTAAAGCAGTGGAACACTTCTACAAGTATCTCTATGGAAGAAAATTCTTGTTAAGAACAGAACAGACCATGCTGCTTTGAAATGGCTGTTGCAGTTTAAGAATCCTGAAGGACAGGTAGCTAGATGGATTGAACGATTACAAGAATTTGACTTCGACACAGAACATCGAGCTGGGACAATCCATCGAAATACCGACGCACTTTCCAGAAGACCTTGCGCTAAGGACTGTAAGCATTGTTCCCGAGCAGAAGAGAAAGAAGTGAAACTCCTAAGAACAACTGTGGTTAATGATAGTTGGCAACCCGAAGATTAATCTTAATTTGATATTGGGTTAATCTTTTTTTGATATAATATAACAACAAAAGATTAACACCCTCCGCATGGAAGTTGTAACCAATGCAATTAAAACTCTCTCGTGGTTATAGATAATCAGATCTCATTGGTAAAATAGCAATTATGGGAAGGAGCCGTTCTTCTGGCGACCGCCTTTCGTAACTCCAGAATGAGCGAAAAAAACAGGCTAAATTTAGGTTTAGCATTAGCAACGTTGCTTTAAATGCCAGAAACACATAAGCCAACATTTTCAGATTGTTTATAAATTTATTTTAGCGAATTTTCCTCTATTATGCATAGAATTTGTTAAAAAAGTAACAGAAAATAGCAATAATATCATTGTTTATTGAATACCTAACAAAATATGTGCTAGAAAACCTTAAAAATTTGAGAAATTAAGAAAAAATCGATGTTGAAATAACTTTCCGTTTTTCTGAAAAAAGGATCAGAGGCCGCCAAGAAAAAAGTTCAGATTCGTAATCTACGACCTCAAAATAGGGTGTATACCAATTTTGGTGAAAATCTGACGATGTCCAGTTTTCCCAATTACTCAAATTATAACTTCATCCCCTCATAGTACAAATATTCCTATTTAATTTTTTGGTTATGTAAAATAACAAAGACCTTCATTTCCAAGTCAACTCCGACACTGTTTCTTTTTGGATTTTGGATTGTATGGTATATCATGGGTATATCTCAAACACATCTAAATTTTATATATATGAATCCTTGCTCTAAGAAAACAAGGTATAAGTTTTTTTAACATAATTTATTAAAAAAATTAACAGCATTTTATATAACTTATACTTTTTATAGATATATGTCTTAAAATTCATGAAATATTTTTAAAGAACTGTTTATTCTTTCTACATAAATAACTGAAAGATTTTTGGAGATATGTGATACAATTCATTAGACACTTCTGATTCAATTTAATTGCACTTTTAAAATATATAACAATAAAAAATATTTATTAAAAATTCTAATTATTACTATAAAGTATATTCTAAATTGGCACATTAAATTATAAATATTCTTAACTTTACTTTTGTCAGTATATGCAGGGCTAAGTGATACTTTAAAAGATATTGTAACAATTATTGGTTAGATTTCGTTTAGAAATGTTTTAGAAAAAATAGTTTGCTGAAGTATTTCAAAAAATAGCCAATTATAATTACACATACTTTAAAGAAAAATAACAGTCAATTTTCCCAGAAAAAAAGAAAGCACCAATATATAATCCACGGTGAGAAATGTATTAATTTAAATTGTTTTCCTTCCTTAATTTTTATCTGTGATGACGGTTTCTCAATTCTGCAAGCTAAAATTAAGGAAAATATAGTAATATGCAAACAATTTTTTTATATTAAATTACCTCTCCTTCCTCATCTACTGAATCATCTTCTTCGTCACTTCCATGTAGGGAAGCAGCTGGAGTGGTTACACGACTGGAGCTAGGGCTAGGTGGTTCTGATATGGGTCTAGGATATTTTAAAGTACCTATAGAGTTTTCAATGTCTTCTACGTAATCTGGAAATAGTTTGTGAAGGGCTTGTAGTCGAGCTTGGCGATAATACTGGAAATATAGAAAACAAACATCGTGAAGCTTCATTCAGAACCTCGAAATCAGTGGAATAAATTAGTAGTTTCAATTAGCCGTAGAAGTTTGTTCACCTAATTTTAATGTAAGCATTCAGAACGTCATAATTAGTGGTAGTAATTTTCAATTAGTGGAAAATGTTAACAAACTTTGGACTTTTTCACTAATTATACTTCAAAATTTGCGAGAAATGTCTTTTTGGCCTTTGACTATCACCCATCAAGAAAAATTTTGGTTAGAAATCAAAAGTTTATTATTTTATAAGCTAAATATAGTCTGTCCAACGACAAGATCCTTGACAGTGATAGATGTGTCTGTCATTTTAATTTCAAAGTAGTTTATTTTATTTTACAAAGAAATAAGTTAGTACAACTGGAACGCATAGCAGGAAATATATTTAAAATTTGACTGATAAGTGATTACTTCAAAATATTACAATAACACTTACCAAATTTTATACCTTAAAGGTTGATTAATTCACTGTAATCTTAATTTTTTTAAACCACTACCTTTTGACATTTTTCTACAGTACTAAAATCCATTATTTACCTATCGTGTGATGTCGATATTTTACAGCTACTCCAGTAGTATATGTTTAGTACGATCCTTATAGCATATATACGAGATGCACTTATCTACGACGAGATGGTATACAAACTATATTGATGGTAACTTTATGGGTGTACTTTTTTTAGACTTTCTGCCTGTAGAAGCGAGTATTAACTATAAACTGTGCTCTTGGTCTACAGTTAATTTTCCCTCGATTTTTCCTCCACTTGACTTCAAAAGACACAAAACACACGTAATAACACGAATCAAAATGCATCTTCCAAAACGCAGATATTTGACATAAGTTGACACAAAATTATAACCTATAATTTGGCAAGACTTTGACAAGTCTCAAAAATCTAAAGACAAGTTCATACTTATCGGCGTCCGTTTGTCGTTCATCGTTCCGTCAAATCATTAAAATTGAAATATGATCTGTCATTTTTGAAATAAACCAATAGAACTGGTTAAAAACAACAAGAGACGACGCATGACGGATTTTTATTTAAACCCATCCATAAGTTAACTTTAAAAATATTAGAAACTTTTTTTAGTATAATAGATAGATTGGTATGGGACGTCATCTGCATTTCTTCTGTCATCGTCTGTAGAAATCTTAACTGAGAAAAAAAAACAGAGTATATTATGCTTTCTCTATGGATACAACAGACTACCGCAAGCTGTTGCTAGGATATTTTATTAATTTTAATTGTGTTTTTTAAACATTGTGAATGATCGTAAACTAAAAAGTATAAAGTGTAATTGAAACCACTAATTTATTCCACTAATTTTCTGGGAGGTTCTGAATGAAGCTTTTACTAAAAGATTAGTATTACTCTATTTCTTTTTTATTTGTAAGTAACAGGAGAATAAAACTTACAACTCCAAGACTTCTCCAATCCAGCATATCACTCAGTCTTTCCGTCCTATTCCTTTGAATAATTCTCTGCCTACGACTTAACCTAGAGAAATCATACATAAAGTGAGCCAACTGTCTTACAGAATCTTCTAAACCGATATTTCTTCTATCAACAATATAAATACCTATATATAAATATAAAATTTTAGTATTTCAGCAAATAAAGAGACGGATATTCTTACCATAGCTTTGGGGATCAGCTATATGCTCTTCCATGAAACAACCAAAACCACTCAGATTCGTGGTTATACTAGGAATGCCCATGACGGTACATTCCGCTGGAGTATATCCCCATGGTTCATAGTAACTAGGAAATACACCTAAATGGCAACCACGGACGAATTCTTCATAGTCAAGACCAAATAATGGATTAGTAGAGCTTAAAAATTCAGGGTGAAATACTATCTGTAAAGAGAAAGAACATACAAGTATAATTCGCAAAATATAGAATATTGCTTGCACCGCTAAGCGTTTTCTTGATTTATAGCTTATCATAGTTGCGATGCTACCGTATGATCGAAAAAAAAAAACGCCGTCCAGTTGGCTTGGAAATGACGATCGATGACACTTCCTATAAAATTTTACATATAAAATGACAGCGATCTTCATTTCATAGCCATTGTTGCTATGGTAACCGTTGTTACCATATCAGCCGTTGCCACGGGGTTCGTTATTATAGTAACCGTAGTTATGGATGAAATTATAATTACCACTGAAATCTTAGTAAAACCATCATTTTTTATAGGTATGTATATACAGGGTCGCGCACCTCATTCGCCTAGGTTGATTATACGAAAACGGAAAGATGTAGAACGAAACTATTTTATGGGTATATGTGGAAGGAAATGTGCATAATTTAAAATTATTATGAAATATACAGGGTGTTTCAGATACATTTTTTCTTATGGAATTTTAGAATTTTTAGAATTTAGAATGAGTGGGAGGGGGGTTAATCACTTCGACCTTACAGATCCATTGTGTCCCCCTTTCTTGAATCATAACTCATCATACAGTCCCAGGGCTTTGACAAAAGCCAGTATCTGGGACGGTTTTATAGAGGGTAGTTCTCCATCTCCAATATCAGTCGTGCATGCTATAATAAAATAGTTTGTCAGCACCTTGTACATTACTTTTCAGAATTAATTATTGTGCTGACTTTGAAGCCAGAGAAATAAACTTTACTAAAAAATTTGATTGCTTCCTTAAATGTATACAGGGGTATCAAAAATTGCTGGTCTATTTAAATAATTATTCTACATAAAAACTTCGTTATTTCAAATGCTATGTATTTTTCTAAATAAGTCGAAGCAGATTTAAATGCTCTTTCAAACTATATTAGGGTTTCTTATACCTATCGGGCTCAGATTTTGAATAAAAAGCGACTTTTCAATAAAATGGCAATCAAGATGGCTGGTGTCGCCATAGCAATTTGCTAGTGACAGTTAGGAGTTATTTCCACAATCGACGTTAGTTTATAGACTTTATTTAAATTATATTATTTTTTATTTTTTTTTTACTTAATTTACCTACAAGAGTTTAATAAGTAAGTATTTATTATTTTATCAAGAAAAATAAAGAAGTAGTTCTTTGATTTATATTACGATGACTTGTAGATATACTGGATTTTCTATAAAAGAGCCAATTAAGGAATTAAGGCAAATTAATTTTCTTCATTTCCAACGACAGGTTTCTGCCTAATAGGTTTTTCACACACTATCAGCTCTGCAAAATAGCAAAAATAGGTTTTCAAAGGAACGCTTTTCATAAACCCTTCAGGCCAACAAGCAATTGTCCTCACAAAATAGAATCACTAGTAACATATCCATTCTTTCCGCCAACAGATACTGCTTCATTTCTTGATAAAATAATAAATACTTACTTATTAACCTTATTGTAGGTAAATTAAATAAAAATATCCAGTCATAAATTTAAATAAAGTCCATAAACTAATGTCGATTTTGAAAATAACTACTAAGTGTCACAAGAAAATTGCCATGGCGACACCAGCCATCTTGATTACAATTTTATTGAAAAATCGCTTTTTATTCAAAATCTGAGTCAGATAGGTATAGGAAACCCTAATATAGTTTGAAAGATCCTTTAAGTCTGCTTCGACTTATTCAAAAAAATTGAGTGTTATTATTAGTATTTATGAGTGTTATATTTGAAATAACGATGTTTTTATGTAAAATAAATATTTAAAATAGACCAGCAATTTTTGATACCCCCGTATACGTTAAAGAAAGCAATCAAAATTTTTTGGAAGGTTTATTTCTCTGGCTTCAAAGTCAGCACAAGAATTAATTCTGAAAAGTAATGTACAAGGCGTTAACAAACTTTTTTATTATAGCATGTATATTTAAATATCTTTAAATATCTCAAAAACCAAAGCATTTAAACATATTAAACCGGTATAATAAATGGCTTATTTTATGTCAAAGAATCCAAAAATGAAATAAAATATCGAGTGTTTCATAAGAAAAAATATAATTTTGGTATGGATCTTACGAGGGATCTTAGTTCCGACACACCCTGTACAATTCAAAATAATTTTAAATTATGTACATTGCCCTCCCACATATACCCATAAAATATTTTGTTTCTACATCTTTCAGTTTTCGTATAATCAACCGAGGCGAATAAGGTGCGCCACCCTGTCTTTATGGTTGGCAACAATGAATTTAATAATCGCGCCCTCGATGACGTAACTAAAAGTTTACTTGATATCGCTTATATGTGTGTCCGCAAAATTCGCGATTTCGATTTGAACGGGATATTCTGTCTGCAAGCTTTAGGTAAATTAAAATTCAAAACACGGATATAAGACGACCAGGACTCTACAGGGATGGCAAAGACTGGCTTTGAGTGTGTACAAAGAGTACAGCCAATGTCTTCATTACAATAAAAGAATCTTCAAAGGTCTATCACTTCTTAACAGATACTATCTACATAGTGTATGAATGATACTTTTTCATTGACCGAACCCCATTAAAGCCTGGCCGGGTTTATCTAGTAATAATATTATTGTGGACCCATGTGGACTTGGCCTAACCTAACTAATATGTCCCGCTCCCATATGACCTGGGATCGCATTAAAGAAGGGACACCGTAATGATCCATCGAACGTTCTAGAACAATCGAGTTCCACTGGAATGGAGGCGTAAATCTGAGAACATTCTAAGCCTTCTCTATGCACCTAATTATCTAATGGACTATTCGAGAACTGTTTAGCTGTGGGTATATAACCCTAGGTCTGTGCGAAGGAGGGGACAGAAACAGATCGGTCGACGTGTACAGTTGCCGCGCTAAATTCAAAATAAATTCTTTTTAGATAAATAGTAAATAAGTTGTAAAAAGTTCGTTAAGTAGTTTTATCGTTATTGTTTTGTTCCTAGTGTAAAATAAATTGTGTTTAAATAAATTAGACTTTCTATCCACACACAGAACCGACGAAAAATGTAACAATATATAGAAAACGTAGGAATATGAAAGATATTGTTATTAGTTAGTTGTTAATAGTTATTGCTGTGTTAAAGGAGAAAAAATATGTATTGACTGGTTTAGGGTGGTATTAGAAGGACTGAATAAAACAATACCTAAAGAGGAAAGAATTCATTTCACCCTATGAACAAAGAGCTTTCTGATGCACTCAGTTTCATTCTATTAATTCATCAAAATATCTATAAAAATTCATTATCTGCTAATTATTTAGTTTAAATTTTCAAACGCTTACTTACTTTAACACGATCGTTAGTAGTGTTAAACAGATTACACCTTCTAATATGACACAATACCGGATCGTTCCAGTCATCTGAAAAATTAATTAATATAGCCAACAAAAACGACAAATTACAAATTTGTACATTGTACCTACGATATTATGAGTTGTTACTGGTGGCAATCCATCTCTTTGTAAAGAGAAAATACAGCGCTTAAGTCGTACCATATCCTCTTTATTTAAAAGATCATTACCTGAAGGAAGACGACCACTGGAATAAAACAACTTGACCAATCATATCCACTATATAGAAAGGACCATACAACTTTTGATAGTTAAGTAATTTATTATAATTTGTATTACTGAATTGTGAATGACTATGTTGTTAATATTAATATTATTTAAGCACATTTCTGATTAACAGATATCAACTGATAAGATAAAAAGTGGTGTATATTATGGTGCGTCCAGACCCGAGGAGTCGAGTGCGAGACGAGAGCAAGACAAGAGCGAGGCAAGAGCAAGACGAGTCCGAGACGAGAGCAAGACATTTTCTATCCATTTTTTGACGCAAGCCTGTCACGAGACAAGCGAGTTGGATCTTAGTGAAAGGTGACCGGTTTGTGTAAACATGTCCGATGAAAAACCTGCAGCAAATAATAACGCATAAGTAATAAATTTGGGTATCTATAACATGATATTTGGTTCGTCGTATTTTATTCATCGTCGATTTTTCCCCTTTTACCCTTCATTTGTTTCGGGACGAGACGTCTTTTACAAAATTGTTTTTTTAGAACAAAATGTTAAATAGAAAAGTTTTAGGAAAGGTTAAGAAACACATATGAAAATTACTGTAGAGTATACACGGTACTTGAAAAATTGTTACAGATATAGGTATCTTTTAATGGGAATACCCTATTTTTTATTTTATTATTGGATTCTATGCACAATTCAGTAAATTTTTTTGCATATCATATTATATATCTGAAATAATAGATTTTGTAATAATTCAATTTGTTTAAAGAAATGTTAGAGTTCGGTACGGTATTTTCAGTGACACAAAATTTGTAAATTCTATTAAAAAAATGATAATACATACGGTGTTCTGTTGTTGAAATTTATGTTGAACATACTGTAGCATGTAACTCAAATATCTTTACCTATATCTTTTTCTTCGTCCCTATAAAACTATCTTAACAAATTTTATCACTCCAACTTCAGAAACAATAGCATGGCTGTTAATTTTTTACGACACTGAAATCTAACAATTTTTGTTTAAATAAATTGAAATATTACAAAAACTATTAGTTTTAGGGGTTATACCGTTTTAGATATATAACATTATACCTCGCATTATATATAAAAAAAGTTATAAAATTTTACGCAGAATCTAAAAATAAAATAAAAAATAAGGTATTACATTTAGAAAACCATGTTATATCCGTAACACTATTTTGAACCACCTTGTGTACTCTATAATAATTTTAAAATGTGTATCTTAACTTTCTCTACAGTTTTTCTATTATTTTGATAATTCTAAAACACTTTTTAATAATTCTCTAAACAAATAAAATTATGAACTTTGCTCTATCGTTGGCCCACCCTGTGTATTTAATTTACTAGGTAACAAAAATTCAATAATAATTAAACTTCCTTTCTATAATAATCTCCTTCCTGTATGTTGCCAGTGGAGAAATATTTTTTACATTCTTCCCAGGTTTTATTCATCGATTGTGAAATATCTACCCACTCATCGTGTTTTTTGTTTTATTTTTAAATATTCTTTATCTTTTGTATTCCATAATATTGGTTTTGCTTTATATAAATCGATTAATTTCAGCTGATCTACTTCCGTCTAAGTCTCCATTTCAATATATGCACTAATATCAGAGGTAATATCATAGTTTAAGGAAAAGAGTAGTTGCACTCTCGCAAATATTTTCTGCCAGTTTTTGCAAGCTGTCGAATATCGGCAGATTGCAAAGCGTTTCAGTTGAATTCGGTCCGTCGAGCTGTGAGGTTTGAGCGTGTTGCGTCCGAGCACAGGGACGGATTGACAAAAAATGATTGCCTTACTATGCGCTGCTATTAATTGTGGAAATAATTCAAAAAATTGTTCTTTGAGTCTTTTTAGATTCCCATCGGATGTAAATCGGCAAGCTGATAGTAATTATCAATTAACATTTAATTATATTTGTTTATTTTAGAAGCTGAGATATTATGTAATTAATTAAATGTTATTATTTTTTTTAGCACGTGGGCAGATTTTAAAAATAGTTTTTTAGATATACAGGTTGTCTCAAATATGCGCATGAAAATATTTTTTGGTCAGGGGACTTTCCATAGAATTTTCATTCCAATAATAATTTACAAGATAATTTATATAAATTGATTTTTGAAACAATTTTAGAGTAAATATTTTGTACATCTAAAGTCTCCGCAAATTATTCATATTTTTTAATTGAAAGAATTTTATAATAGCATAATCTCTTATAAATTTAGTGTATTTTTTATGTTTTTTTTATTTATTTTTTATTATAAGTGGTCGTAATATAACAATATTCAAAATATTATAGACAAAATATTGAGTTTATATTTGAGGGAAGAAAAGTGCCACGCCTAGCTTTAAACCACCGTAAATATACAGGGTGGCCCATTAGTGCGAGGAAGTTCAATATAGTCGTCGTTGTCGAAGATGACTAAACACTAAACCAATAGAAATATCGTATGATCGAAAAAAACGGCGTCCAGGTGGCTTAAAAATGACGATCGATGACATTGGACATGTAATTTTACATATAAAATGACAGCGATCTTCATTGAATAGACGTCGCTGACGTTTTTTTTTCGATAATATTGTATTATTGAATTGCATTTTTTATTGAATTGCATTTAAAAAAAATGAGATACAACATTTTTTAAATATTACGATTTTGGTGACGCCATAAAAAATATCCTGTATATGATAAAGTATTTTATTTACGCTTATAAATTAATATATATATATAAAGTAAATTTTAATTAGAATTTATTCCGATATCCTTCATGTTTAAGAAAACATAGCAAAGTATTAATAAAGTTATATTCACTCTAGTTTTTTACCACTTTTCGTATATAATGTTTTTAACCAAAGTTTTAGTAAATAAGAAATAGAATGGCAACACCGCAGTGTGCTTTAAATAAAGAGAGTGTACTATAGCACAATTTTATGCCGAATCCAGTTATCTACAGAAAATTAAACTTGCTTTAAATAAAAAAAAAGTCGTAGAAAATCTCTGAAATAGATAATAATATAAAAATATGTCATTATATATTTTTTCCGCATTTCTTCCCATAAGAAGATTTTCAGATAGAGAAGAATTGTTACCTACACGAAATGTGAAAATATTCTGTTTTCAAGCAAGTTTTTACTCGATGATCATTTTTTTTTATTTTATTTTATTGTGAACTCATATTTTCCTAAATACATATCTGTGAAACTATGGCGAGTGCCACGTCTATACTTTGCCTAGTTAATAGACCACGACTATACAGCTACGTCGTCGGCTACGGAGTCGAGAACAAGGTCATATAAAGTGGCAGAAAAAGAACAAAGGATTTGACAAGGAGTAAAACTACTAGTTTCCTTATACTATGGTAATATCTCGCAGTCGAGCGAGCCTACCAAATACACGTCCGAACTTGGCCGCGAGCTTTCTTTGATCGGCCGTCGAAAAACCGACAGGGGATGGATAGTAACGAGGCTCCGTGGGTTGTCTCGCGAGGAGGTCGCGAGGCTCTTGCGAGACCCGTCCACACTTAGCGAATTTCGAATGTCGTGCGCTCGTCTCGCACTCGACTCCTCAGGTCTGGACGCACCATTACATATTTTAACCACACTAAACCAATAGATATATCGTATGATCGAAAAAAACGGCGTCCAGGTGGCTTAAAAATGACGAGCGATGACATTGCACATGTAATTTTACATATAAAATGACAGCGATCTTCATTGAATAGACGTCGCTGACATACCTTGTATATTACATAATGGATATATTAAAATATTATGATGTTAATAACAATGTTAAAGGATAACATAAATTAAGACTGAGTGACGTGTATTTATGTAGCGGAGATGCGTAATTTTGTATTTTAACACGAATTTTTCCAATCTAAAGTGCATCTTTGTGGTTTATTTGCAAAACTACTGCAGAAATATTTTTATATAATTTATTTACTTACTTCAAACAGACCTCATACATCCTTTTTCCAATTTTATGTTGTATATCCGCAATTGAATCTCTCAAACTTTTTGTTACAGCATGACCTCTTAGTGACTCCACATTAAAATTATTTGTTCTTGTTGGAAAAATCATAAAGGCTACTATAGTGATATCAGAACCTGAAGACTACAAATACATTTTAAGCTCCGTATAATTTAGTTAAATAACTATTTTTAGGTAATTTCCTTTCAAGGACTGCATAATATTACTTAATACCTTTAAATAATGGTTTAATCTAGCTAGAGCTTCTATAAATATATCAGCGCCTTTATTTCCAAATTCATATCTTCCAGCAATAAAAAAATATAAAGTTTTATCCAAGTCAAAATCATAATGTCTAGAAATAATAACAAATAATAGCCTAAAACTATAAAATAATCTTTTTGAAGTAGATACCCATAAAAATGTCCTCTAACAAACTCGTGAATTTTATCTTTAGACAATGCATGCAAATTTTGAAATTCGTGTAAAGCTGAGAATTTCTTAACGTTCAAGCCATTTGGGGTAATTATGTCTGGCTTTCTTTTAAGCAGATGTTCTGCTTCGTATCCTAAAAATTTGTACAATAGAGAAACAATAAATTCTAATATGTATCTAAATAAAATTTACCAGTTATATCCGACACAGTGGTAAAAACATGAGCTAAATGTGAAGCAGCTCTTTCCATACAATATCGATGATAGATTTGCCTTTTCCCAGCCTCTTCGTCTACAGCAAACTATAAAAAATTTAAAATATATGATTGTATAATTTTATTATTAAATACGACTTTTCTGTACCTTGTCTAAATTATTATAAAAATCTGTACTTCCTGCACATAAATATCTGCCTAATAAAGTTGCGTGTGTAGTGAAAACAGTGGCGACATTTAAATGTTTGGTTCGAACAGCGATTAGACCTACACCAGCCTGCCATTCGTGAAAGTGCACAACAATTTTTGGCTTACCCTCGCCTTCTTCCTCAGCAGTATTTTGAAACTGAAACAAAACGGAGAGTGTAATAATAAATTCATCTGAATTTTTTACTGGAAAAAAACTATTACAATATTATTCTCTCTATAGGCTTGGTGCGTTCTCCGCCGGTGCTGCAATCGCCCGAGAATATCGTAAATAAAGAACACATACAAATACACGGGTTTAAATGGCGAATAAACGAAAAAATTAGTATATAATTATTCTAAAAAAAGTATAATTTGTGGAAATTCTAAACAAAAAAATAAAGAGGTAAATATTTTGATATTTTCAGAAGGTCTAACTTGCATTATAATTTATTATTCCAGTTAAATTTTTTTTTAGACGAGTTCCACTACGATAGCGAGCATAGTTTTATCAGCGGTTTTGCTAGTGGGGCATAATTGGAGGCTATAACAGTGTAGTGGGGCTATTTCGGCTATATCGACATTTTTTAAAGGTACATAATTATAATTTTAGAAGATGTTCATAAAACATTTAATCACTAGTTGATTAAAAAAGTATACCATTAATATTGCACACCTATACACGTATGACCATATTTGTGACAACCGTGCAGTAAAGACATTTGTGGTAGCATCTCTATTTTTGTACGAAATGATACGAACTCGCTGTCCACGACCTAAAAATCTAATTTATATGTCTATACACTCCACCGTAAGAAAGTTATTGGCATTTATTAATTGTGGAAACCTGTTCCACAAATATTATAATTTTAGAATGTGTATTTGTGCTACCACAAATACCTTGCACCATAAAAGTGTGTAATATAGATACCACAAATATACAAATTTCAACTTCCTGTGAAAAGAGGCTATTAAGATCGGCAAAAAAAAGTTTTTTTAATTTCACTCAAAATGAGTTATTTGGGTCATAAATGACCTAAATACAAAATATTTTCATGGTGTCTGTCTGTCCGCCTGTAGCACGAAAACTCAAAAACCGCTAAACCGATTTTAACCAAATTTGGCACAAAAATACTGTGGCACCCGAGAATTTGGCCATTAGTTTTTGGTGGGGTTGGGGGGTTGGTAAGGGGGTATGGGAAGGGGTTAAAATTTTTAAAAAATCGTAACTCTAAAAATACAGTAGCTAGCGAAACGCGGTCTTCAATTTACGATTAGGAATATTTGCAAAAAAATCTGTATCAGTCAAAGTCGCAGTTTTTGAGATAGAAAAAATTGGAAAAATTCCTTTTTTTTGAAACTATAAGAACTGCCTACCTACGTTACATCACACAAACATCGTATCGAGTGTTTTATAGTTTCAATAACTGCACTAGCAAAAAACTAAAATACTTAAATATTACGACAAAACCCCGATTTCAATATTATTTTAATGCGATCGACATGAACTATTTATTGATAAATTGTGATTTCTGCCTTAGAGTGCGCTGCGGTCGCAATTTGTTGAAATCAACTGAAATGCACCAAGCCTATATATAGCTTATAAATTATTAAATGCAAGTTAGAAATTAAACTAAAAGTTTTGGTTATGTCGTAAAAAGTTGAGCTTTCACATTACCGCAATTATTGATGTTTTGTCATTACATATAAAAAATGGACACCATAAACCATAAGCTCGCGGTTATATTGAACGCCGGTCCGTGCGTTTTTTTTATACGTGCGAGCTCTGACGGAATTTACTAGCACGACTATTTTATTATAGTGGTTACATTAGATGCGCGTTCATGTTATCCTGTGTGTAGAGTTTGTCAAAACAAACTGGGTTGGGTAAATCATTTATATGCAAGAAGAAAACGAATTTTTTGAATTAGGACAGCAACCGGTCAAATTTTTTGAATATTTTAGGATGTCACCATCAACATTAATATAACACAAATAAAATTAAACCTGGTATTCAAAAATATTCAAATTTTTCGGGAATGTATTGGAATCAGAGAAGAAAAATTCGAACGCTCGGACGCGCAAGTATTAAAAAAACAAACAACTGAAAAACAAGTTTGTTTTTATCTGACCAACGGAAATTGACGTACGTGCACGGACGCGCAAACTCCGGTGCAATGTAACCGCCTGCGTAGATTGCATTTGTTTGTTTTTTGCTGCGTGCACGTCCGTGCACGTACAACCAAAAGAAACGCACGAACACGCATTCAATGTAACCACGGGCTAACGATATTCTTATAACTCGATTTCAGATGCCCAGAAACATATCTAATGCTATTATCTAGTTGTCTTTCCTAAAAAAAATAAACTTTTAGAAATAAGCCAGGGATTCGACAAGGGAAACTCGCACCTGTATCTCCGATAAATGTGACAACGCTACAACAGCACACCGTCGCATTTTTCTCACTCCGACATAATACTATCTACCTTACTTATGTCGATTCACTACCACATATGTAAATACCGACCCAATAGTATAAAAAGATATAAATTTAAATAACTTGAGTAGTACCTGTGAAAGAAATTCAGCTACCATGTACCCTAAAATAATCGCATCGTTCGCTTCGATATCTAGATGAGGAACTCCAATATTTGTCTTATTCCAAAGTTCCTCTTTAAATTCATCCAATTTCCAAGCAGCACTACCAATATCAAACAGAATTATTTGAGGATTGCCATCTACCAACCATCGTCCCGTTACGACCTATATATATTTTAAATATTAAATTGTAAATTTTTAAGTTTACTAAAACCTTAAATCCTTTATTTCTACACGCTTCCACGGCTTTATTTAATGAATTCGATGAAAGGGGTCCCTCTTCTACCTCTGTCCTAGCACACTGCTCCTTGTATGGACCGATTAAACAGTATTGGTCACCCATTTCTTCAGTTGAAATATAGGCCTTGGATCTTATTACAGTATAAATACCACCGACTATAAACAAACGTAAGTATGAAAAAGTATAAAAAAGATTTGCCGTACTATACAAAAAAGACCAGGCTATTAGTAACATAGCAGGTTGCCGGACGAATTTGCGTTTACCCGATTACGTTCGTACTCGAGATTCACTGCTGGCTAAAGCGCGGAAGCGCCTCGTATTTAGTCGGCTGGTAGTGGTCAGGCAGTATACAGTTGCAGTTGTGCTTGGACGCCTTGGACGGGTCGGAGGAGTGCCGAGTATTTATAATTTTCATTTTAAGTGTTTACCTTCACTTTAGGTAACATTAAAAAATAAAAATACTTAAATATTTATTATTTGAGTGTGTTTACAAGCCAAAACTTAAAATAAATAAATTCTCTAAACCCAAAACTCATTTCCAAAATTAAAAAATACATCAATAAAATAAAAAAAATATTACTCTAAATAAAAAAAGTTATAACAAGTGTTCAAAAAGACCACCTTCTTGTACTAGACAGAAGCCTAGGCGGCCGTAAAATCCCCGTCTGACATTGGTAACATATTAGGGCTAATAGTTTGGAAAGCCTCTCGTATTTTTACTTGAAGCTCATCCAGATTATTAGCCCTATTATATTATGACCATACACTTTGGATTTTACATAACCCCACAAAAAAATCATTGGGAGAAAGAGCTGGTGATTTAGCAGGCCACAAAATAGTTCCATGTTCACTAATTAAACGGCTGGGAAAAGTATTGTTCAAATATTCTTGAACAATACGGGCATTGTGAGCAGGGCAACCATCTTGTTGAAACTTTCTCCCAATAACTCACGAATTCTAGGGACAATCTGCTGCTGTAACAAGTCCAAATACTTTGTAACAGTTAAATTACCCTCTATAAAAAATGGACCAATCATATGCTCCCTTACAAAACCACCCCAAACATTAAGCTTTTGAGGATATTGCGTGCGTACCTCAAAATATCTGCAAATTTTCCCGAGACCAATATCGTACTTGTGTAAGGTTATGACGACTCAATATAGGAAAATTTGATTCGTCGGTGAAAACTATACACCTAATAAAGTTTTCATCTAAATTGGCCTTTTCCATTACAGATTCACAAAACGCCATACGCCTAAATTGGTCCTCATGGAAAATTTCTTGAGTTTTGCGCGCTATATACGATCGGTATCCATTCTTTTTAAGGACTCTTTTAGACGTGCTAGGTGAAGAATCTGTTACTTCAGCAATTTGAATGCTTGAAAACGTGGGATTTTGATCCGCGGTAGCACAAATGAACACTTGCTTTAACTCCTCTTCTTCATTAATCAACACATCAGGCTTTTTGTGTTTTTGTGGGGACACGCACCCATATGTTTCAAAGTTATTAATAACTCTTGATATAGTAGGTAAAGATGGAATTGGCCTGTTTACAAAAGTTTGTGGAAAAATTGTTTGTATATCCCGATAAGACCTATTTTGGAAATCATTTTACAATTTGAATTTTCTCACGAACTTCGTAAACATCCATTATTTTACTTAAAAAATACATTTTACACGAGAGCTGTCGCGAGAATCTATGTATTCGTTTTGGCTATTAAAACACGAATAAATACAAATTCTGAAACACTCTTGTCACATATCTACCTATTTTTTATTTTATCGCATTTTTTCGCCTGCTTTTTATCCGGCGGACGGGTATACGGGGTATACGCTAATTCGTCCGAGTTTTGCCTATGTTACTACTACGGTGATCCGGTCTGTATACCTTGGTTTGCTGCTTCCCATGCTACTTCGAAAGTCCATCGATTCTGCTCCTCTGCTGTCAGTCCCCGATCCAAACAAGCAGCAAGATTGGAGTATGACTCTCCTCTATAAAATCTTCGACTGGATGACCGTTCACGAGACATTTTTCCGAACTTCATGAAAATTAAATGATAGATAAAATGTTATAGTTGCTACTTTATTATTATTTAAATTATTTTTAATAAAGTTATAGACACGAGTGGGGTAATCGTGATTCAGGGGCAAGTGTCAGACCGCTGATCCAAGAGTACCTCATTTGATACATGGGTATGGTTGCTTTATTTTATTGTAATAAAAAAATACATATAATACGGCGACTATATCGAGCTGCAACTTAAAATAAAGTAACAGCAAACCACATTCGAGTATATTTGTCTAGTAAGAGAGCACTTTTAAATAGGCTTTTCAGGTTAGAAGCGCTATAATGTATAGGTTTCATAGGTATTTGTGCAAAATTAATGATATTACGAGTATTGACCGAGAACTCCTTGATGCTCTGTATAGAGCATGTCACTGTAGTGGCCTACAAAGGCTACAAACTAACATACATGTGCGTTACACATGTATACTGGGTGTGTCTCAAAAGTAGCATAACCCCTATAACTTTTTTACTTTTTAAGTTAAACAAATGAGATTTGGTATGTTAGTATATGACATAAATTAGGATTGATTGACGTATTCAATTGTTTTTGGTCACTTCCTGTTTCACCGGAAATGACATTTCATTTGATAACAGCTTTTCATTTTTAAATGGCACAAACTAACTCTAATATAATAATATGTCAGAGTAACTTTAAAAATAAATCCTTTGAATTCAAATATAAGTATAAAAACATTCAAAGCAGAAAAGGCGAAGGCGCTGGGTTAAACATAATCTTGACTAAGGGCACAAACATAGTGAGGCATCTCGATGCGATGCTCGCCAAGATACTGGCCGCGCTGCTCGCCAGGATGCTAGCCGCGATGCATCCTACGCGCACTATTTTAAAACGGCGAGTAAGTGCGTGTAGGATGATGCATCGCGACTATCGTACAAACATAGTGCGGGGCATTTCATCTCGATGCGATGCGCGCCATTCCCCTCGCCATTCCGCGATGCTGAATCAAACATGTACAAATTTATGCGTCAAAACATACTGGAGCCTCGCACCTCGCCACGCACCTATATGTTCAGCGCGATGATTCCTAGGAAACACATTTTTCTTCAATATTAAATCGTTAGTCCCACCCTGATGAAGATGTAAACGAAACGTCGTATCAAACTTTGCAGGGTGGGACCGTGTGCACCGTCACTAACCTACCCACCAAATTTGGTCGCGATCGGACGACATCAACTTTTGACGTTTCTTATGTCAAAACTGACACGCGTCGTACACGGTCAAGTTGGCTTTAGTCCAATCTATCGACATACCAAATTCCATTTAAATCGGACGATTTTTTCATTTGATTCATTGATGATGGGGTTTCGTAGCGCACGAAACGTTGTCAAGATATCATGCCCGAGTTATGACGCTTCGCCTTAACCTCCAATCGTTATCACTAGGGAATGCAATCCCGCAAATGCATCCCGCAAAAAAAAGGGATCCCTCTGAGATTCCGCGGGATTAAACTTGCGGGATTTACCGTGCGGGATTTGCGGGACCGACACATTACTACTGGGTAACCGAAGCCGGACCGATACGTCGACGCTCGGAACCCAGAGGATTCCCCTTACGGCTTGGCCATTGAAAATAAGTGAAACAAACAGGTTAGTTGTTAGATTTCTTTCTGGCGTATGTGCGTAAGTGAAGAAAAGCGCTTAACTAGTACGTGTGGACAATTTCGTCAAATAAACTGGACAAAAAATACCGGAAACCGGACATAATTATCGGGACAAGCAAAATTTTAGGTTAAATTTAAAGTTGAATATCTCTCGAACTAAAAAAGATTTTGGGATGCGGTTTGGACCAGGTTTTAGATGCATCTATTGTGATTAAAATGCTATGTGGTTTTTGAAAATATATTTAGCGAATTCTCGTATACAGGGTGTTTTATAAGAGTGTGAAAATTTGGTTGTCTTTTTTACCGTAAATTTACAAATTTACATTTCTAAAAAATCGAAATTTTTACCAAGTACGACTAATCTGTATTGAAATTAGAAAAAAACTAGCTGATCGGTTTTTTATTTTTTTTTGTTTTAAAGAAATTACGACGTTTTTCGAAAAATATGCATTTATAGTCATACATTTGGTCCTAAATGGTACAAAAAGCTTTGTACATTCTGCATATGCCAAAAAATTATTGATATAGAGTGTATCTAGAAGCAGATAACTAACACAAGTTAAAAAAACTTCAACATCAGAATAATATTTTTAATTATAAAATAACTAGATACATTATAATTACATTTAAGTTTATTTAATATTAAATATATTTTTTGAACACCCTGTATACATCGGTCCAAATTTCTGTACAGCTAATTTAAGATACACGCTATATCAATATATTGTGGGCCTATACAAAATGTACAATGCCTTTTGTACCATTTAGGACCAAATGTATGACTATAAATGCATATTTTTCGAAAAAACCTCGTATTTTCCTTAAAACAAAAAATTTAAAAAAACCCACCAAATTTTTTTTTCTAATTTCAATACTAATAAGGATTAACTGTACATAATTAATTTCGATTTTACAAAAATTGTAAATTTTCGGTAAAAAAGATTCTTGGCCAAATTTGTACACTATTATTACATATTACATCGTATTACGTCGAATGTAAACCAGTTTCACTAAAATGAGTGTCAGTGTAGTTTACAAAAAGAATCAAGGCTCAAGTTTAGTTCGGGATTATTGTTTACAGTCCCGCAATTTTGCGGATCCGCGAGATTGATTGCTTTAATCCCGCAAGTCTGTGGGATTGAGATTTTGGTGCGGGATTGCATTCCCTAGTTGCCACTTTTCCTGATACCTCTCGTGTGTCAGCGCCTTGAATTTTTACTCCCATAGCGCGTAAAGAAATTTCGGGAAATTTCACTTCAAAATTAAAATTTTTGCGTGTGGCCCAACTAGGCAACTTTATATATCCAATTATTTTATAGAAAATGAGAACATATTTTAAAGAAAAATATTAAATATTCTCATGGGAATCAAAGCCATTTTTTATTTAATTTTCTGCCTAAAAAACAGACGTTGTATGTCAAAGCGGTTGTTTTATCGATTTTCAAAATTTTTCTATAAAATAATTCTTATAAAATATGACAAAAGTTATAAAAAATTAAAAACAAAATTATTTTTGACGCCCAGAACTAGACATGTTCCATGTAGGCACATCGAAATTATACCAGCCGTCGCTGACTATGGACAATAATACAACACGCAACTTTACCTTAAATTTGAACCACCCTGTATCTCTTACCGTTTTTGAGACTCTATAGTATTAGTCGAATTTGAAACACCCGGTTTTTTTAATGTAAGATGATACAAAACTTCAATTGAATTATCATGGCATATTCCTGATTTAATTTAAGCTATTGGGAAACCGCTATTGTACATAAATCAATTTAGATAATATATTAATTATTAGAGATATAATATAAGAGACAATATGGAGATTATCAAGCCATGTTTTCTACATTAGTTTTTAAAATTACCCCCCTATGTTACTTAAGCCGAAGGTGAACGTTTAACTTAGAATGTGTAAGCACTGATGAGAAAATTGAAAAAATGATGGCAAAACATCTACAATTTTAGAACTTATCTGACTAAACCCAATGACAATAAAAACACTTAATTATTTATAAATTAAATTATAGAGATTAAAGAGTCTATAATGGATTCAAATATACGTAAAAATAAAAAAATATAAACAAAATATAATGACGTCTATCCAGTTACGCGATACCCAGTTTTTCAATAACAAGTAATAACGTATTTATTCTAATCATTATTTTTATAACAAAACATACTGTGTATTAGAATATATCATACGATGTAAAAATTGATCTTTACAATAAAAAAAGTGTAATATTATGTGAACTATTTTTAATGCATTGGTATTAACTAGGCATGCTGCCAAAAAGTAAAAAAAAATGCTGATATGAATTATATTAACGTTTAGTTTTTAGTAGAACATGCAATTAATTTACTAAATATTAAAATTCAACTTCTATTTACACACTTACAACAATTTTTCAGTCAAAATTTTTAAAAACTTATCTTCACAGAACCAGTAAGCAATTTATGAACATAAACTTTGAATGAATTAAGACACTAGATTAACATTACGAGTTAAGGAAGGATAGTATAATTGGCCAGTCCTTAAAACAGATAGAGATGGCATGTACACTACATAAAGTCTGATTTATACCTCTCTATTTACAAGGTGACCTTCAACAGGGCAACTTTTAACTAGGAAAGGGCATAAATATCGAATTTCTAATGTATTCTAAAAAAATCTAACAAAAAAAATGTTTTTTACGTGTAATAAACATAGTATAATAGTGTTTGGGTAATACCAGTGTTTGAAAATCTTTATTCAGATATCAAGATCTGAAACGTAAAAAATGTGAACACGTCACTAAACGGCATATTTACAGGAGCTTAAAATGTCCTTAAAATGTAGAGCACACCTATTGTTTTATGGTTTCTTTACGGTTTTCAAAATAAAATTATACATGAAAAACTAGTACGTATTTATTATTTAAATTTTAAAGGACGGTTTTTTCAATATTTGCACCAATAACGTAATTACCAAATATTCTTTTATTCTAGGCCTAGAATTGTCGGTCATTTTAAGTTCGGTCAAAACTTTTATTGAATAGTTCTTTTGGCAATTCAAATTAACAAAAGCACAACACTACCGGTGGTGACAGTTCTGTCATGGGGAATTTTTTTCTACTTTGTCTATAGTCAGGGAGAGTGGGGAACATTTACGCTGTTGCCAACTTTGTGGTATTTCCCCTAGATCTAGCGGTTTTTTCAGTGTAGCGCCGGAAAAAATTAGGGGTTAGCGTTTTTTTTGCGGTTTAAATTTTTTTTAATAATAATAAGTAAAGTTAACCCAAAATTGTTATTTAAATTCTAAACAACGATTTTTTTCAAAATTTGCACTAATAGTAGCGTAATTACCATATATTATTCTTCTATTCTCTATATTCTTAGAGAGCCTAGGCACAGAATTTTTGAAGTTACGTTAACTCTGTTTTCTCACAAATGATGCCACAGAATATACCAACGAAATGAAAGCTTTACCAAAAGCACAGCCAAAAGGTTCAAAAATAGGCGACAAAGCAAATTTTCACTTTCAATATCGCCGATCTTGCGGATTGCGGACGGATTTGTGGACGGATTCTACCGGTTTTTAACACAGGAATCTGCGAAAGTTGGCAACCTTGCATTTAAGTATGGGGGTATGAATTAGTAGTGGGAACTATCGAATGAATACTATCGAAACATTCGATAGTTGCAATTCATTCGAATAATTCGATAGCTAGTAAGAAAACAGTCGTTGAAAACTATTCGAATAAAAATATCGAATAGATGCGTCATCTGCCTTGAAATATATTAATTCGGCAGCAAAAACCATTCATTTATAAAATTCATCTTATATAATTTTAAAAAGAGTTCCTGGGGTTTGTAATTATTTATTTAATACTGACAATTGTGAATTCAATGGGGTAAGTTGAATTAAGCAGATTTTTTAACGCCTCTCATGTCTATTTTATTCCTGTTTTAGAGGGAAACAGAAATATTGTTTTTTCTCCTTATTGTGGTCATGATGAGGACACGTAAAGCAGGAAGTTTAACAATGATAAATTATCTATCTTCAAGCTTTATTTATACAAAAATTGCAAACTTAATTTTATGGTTTAATGCAGATTATCGAATGGGAATCATTTATGGTGTAATTTTTATATGTAAATATAACTTATTAATTTCCTTACTCACTTAAATTAACTTTAATTAATTACTAAACTTTATTTTTTCTTTAATTAAATAATTGGATATAATATGCCATTTAGGCAATGCCACTCAAATTTTATTATTTAAGTGAGTCTTTTCATTAATTCATATTTTAGTGGGCGCACTTTTACTACCTGAACCTACTTATTCTGGCCCGAGTAATGTGAGTTATTTTCGCGGAGAACCGAGCCTAACAGAACAAATATTAAATGATAATAAATCTGTTTGGCTAATTACATTCTATACAGTATGGAATCCTGCTTGTGTAAATTTTGCTCCTCTCTTTGCAAAACTAAGTACTGATTATGGTAAGATTTTTGTTTAAAAAAGTCACATTTGAAAGCTCATATCTATTTAGGTATTGAGAGTCTACGATTTGGTAAAATTGACATAGGAAGATATCCTGAAGCAGGAAAGAAGTATCATGTAAGCGATAGCAGTATGAGCAAACAATTACCAACAGTGATACTCTTTCAACAAGGTTAATAATTCAATTATTCATAATATGGTTTGTTTTATATTTTATAATTTTTAGGCAAAGAGGTATTGAGACGACCAACAGTAGATTCAAAAGGAAAATTGATCAAGTTCCATTTCTCTGAAGAAAATACCAAGTTAGCATTTGGATTAAATAATTTGTACCAACAAGCAAAAACTAATTTGAAAGAAAAAAATAATACAATTGAGAGCAAAAAAGGTCGCTAGAATCCTAAAAAAGTATTGTTAGGACTTTACAATCTAAGTATTTAAAAATATAAGTAACAGTTTAATTAAGCTTAGATGCATATTTTGTTTAATTGGAGAGATATTGAAAATTCATATAAGTAAGGTCTATCAATATATTAACAACACATTTGTATAAGTAGTGGTAGTTTTTTCATGATTCAAAAAATTATAGCTGAAGTATTTATTTGTACATAATAAGTTTATTTATTGTAGAATTTAACTGAAATAGAATTTATGTTTAATTAAATTTACTTGAATCTCTATAATCATTAGTATGAACATGTTAATATATTTGTCTAGGATTGTGATATTTTAGCCAAAGTCCTTAAGGCTATTTGAGGTACTGATATCTCTATAATATTTACACATTTATTTCAGTTATTTTCATGTATACAAAATATTTTAATTACATGTGCCATTTGTATCAAAATGTTTATTATAGTATACATTTTTTCATCTTAATTACAAACAAAATAGACAGTATACCTTTATTTAATTACTAAAAATTATTCTGAATCACTGTCTGCAGCTAAAACGTCTAACATAGACGATGTGTAAGTAGGGTCATAAGATCTCTTAAAAATTGATTTTACTTTTTTAGATCTGGGACTTTCAGGTCTTCCCAGAACTAAATCATTACATTCGTAAGATTTACTGGCTAATATATTATTTCCTCCTTTAGATTGGTTGGTTCTTTCTTCAGTTTTGTTCTCATCACTTGATAATACAAAGTTTTTAGGTTTGCTTTTTAATACTTGTTTACTTTTACCATTACAAAAGTCAGATTTAATTTTCTTAGATTTTTGACATATCTCTTCATCAAACTCTTCCCAGTTCTCATTAATTAGGGCCTCCAAGTCTTCGCTTGTAATATTTTGATCTACACTTGCATTAGTTACCTTAAAGAAATGGAGAATTAGATATTTTGGAAATAAATACCTATATGCAATTTTTTGAATTATATTACTTGGGTTGTTTTTGTTTGTAATGAAGCTGCAGTAATACTTGAATGTCCATCGGCATAAGGATTTAAAGTGGAAACTACAAAAATTATCTCAAATGTTGGATTTTTCATAACAATTGAGAGAGGCCTGAATAAAAATTATTTTATAAATTACTCATTATCTGTAATTTTATACACTAGCTTCTTACTTTCCACCTTTATCGAAATGAAGTGCCAAATTTAGGTTTAAAGCATCAGCAAACTGTATAGCAGTGCGAAAAGGTTTTAAAGAAAAGTTTATAGTTGTTCCATCTTTTACATTGAATATAAAAAATTCTGAGCTATTCAGCTTCACTTGACTTCTCACAAATTTTGGCTTATGGGGCAGACCTAAAAATTCTAAATAGAAAAATTTGTATTTGCTTTAATTGTGGTATTACCAACACAATAATTCCTTACAATAACTTTATCATTAGTAATTTCCAAGGTGATATCATCATCTGAGTTACTAAACAATGTTAACAAATTATTGTAAAAGCTGCTAGCAGCACAAATATTGTTGTTTCCACATTCTGCGTAGTTTTTAATAGTCAGCGTTTCTGGATCCATTAGTCGAAGAGTGTGGGTCATTATAATATCATCACATTTATATTTTACTTTAAATTTAATTACATCACTATCGGATTCATATCCGATTTTTACAAAATCTAACTAAAACATATTGAATGCAATGCTTGAACTACACTTCAACACAATACACTACTTACTTTTTTTTCTAAATTTGTACCTTTGAACACTGGTAGAAGGGTTTTCATATGTATTTTACAAATGACTGATGGATTTTCTTTAGTTAATATGCTCTCTTTAATATCATATTGTGAAAAAAAGCTATCTAATAAATGATATTGACCACATACTGTTTTACATTGATTAAAAGATAGAAATGTAAGTTTTTCGAGTTTCGATTCAATAAATAATTCATCTCCAATTTTTGCTAAGGCTTGTATACCTTTAGCTAAAACTATTTAAGTAGTTATTATACCTATAATTATATAATTTAAATTTAAAGACTGTACCTTTCACGTTTAATCCCGGAATTGTACAGTTCATTTTATAGAGGTATATGTTTGGATAAATTATTTTAATATAATTATTTATGATCACACACACGCACACTGAAATACAATCGCAGGTCATCCATAGTTACTTAATCAGAAGATCTTCCCTAATTAGTAATTAATTCACAAATGGACACAATTATAAACAATTCTGGGATTCAGAAAAAAGTTTGAAATAATTTTCAAATTCCCATACTTGTCATTTATCTTTTGATCTCTTGTCTTTTGACTTTTCAGTTGACAAATATAAACTAGTGATGTACGTTCAGATATTAGTTCAAAAGAACTATTACTGCCGTTTGTTCATCAACGCTCACCAAACTCACCTCAATTCGCGTAAAAAACATTTTGAGCTTATACAAAGTTCACTATACATAACAGGCAACAGGATAGAACATTTCGGATATCGAAAATGTATCGATACTTCAAAATTTTGTATCGTTTCGAACATTTTTATCGTTATCGTTGGTAGCCTATGGATTTATTACTCCTTTATAAATCTATGCCTATGGAATTTTTGTCAAAACCAAGTGTCAAAACGTGTATGTGTTTTGTGGTCAAAACCATAGAGAAAGTTAATAGTTTAGAGAGTGGTGAATCGCGTGGTAAAATGTTGGGAGATTGCGCTTTTGGCGCCCTCTACTTGGCTACAGGAACGAACTATGAAAGAGCGGGAGATTTAAATTATTATTATACTTATTATTTTTAAGGCAATTAAAACTAAGAGTGCCCTTAAACAAAAACAGTGAAATAAATGGAGATACCTACTCAAATTTTATATTATCATGATATTAAAGGATATAAATACTGCATTTATAATCCTTTTACACCTTTTTATTCAAAGTCTTACACGCTAATATAAAATTTGACTATCTCCATTTATTTCACTATTTTTGGTTAAGGGCACTCTTAATTTTAATTTTCCTTTTTTTATGGGAAAACGATTAAATGGGAAGAATTGAATGGGAATGGAAACAATGACCAATTATTGTATTTTGTGTTAATTTATAATACCCCTACTCTACTAAATATCTAGCTACATTGTACTTACAGTTAAATAGCTACATTGTACTAGTTATATCCATATTTACAGTTTTATGATGGCTATTATTTTATTTCAACGTGCTACCAATTGATTCGCTCCGACTTGAGTACTTACTATACCTCGAGATGGCTCCAGGAATTATTTATCTTTACAGGCCTAGAATATGAAGATTCACAGTAGAATTTTTGGTTTTACTACCTATTAGAAACAAACCTACCCCCCTACATCAAGGGACATACAATTATGCCTTGTTCTCGGCCATGATATTCCTTCCATTCTATATCCAACATCCAACTTAGCAGACCTTCTGGTTCACAACAGGGCCTAGACTGGCCGGATGATATTTTAACAGAATAGCCCTTGATATCTCTTTCACACTTTCATTTAATAATTAAATAGGAGGGCTGGATGGTATAATTTCTAGAAAGAATAACCTGTGAAATAAAAACTTCTGCATGGACATTACCTTTCTTACCTTTGTCTGCTATTTTTTAATAAAAAACAACTGTTTAGTTTGCACAAAAATAAAATTAACAATCAAAAATATCTTAAAAAATGATCAAGCCTTGTACTACGCACAAAACATCCCCCTTTAGAACTTCATCTGTCATGTTAAGAAATTAAAGTAAATAATAAAGCGCCTCTCGTGTTTGTTCGCACTCTAAAAATTTCAATTAATGCCTGTATATATTTTTAATATATTTTTTAAATTTAAATTTTTTTAATTGTAAAGTAATATATTACATTTAAATGGAATATATTACATTACAATTATGTCAATTACAGGATTACAGGCTTGTTTTCTAACATTTAAAAAAAACGAATTGTTAAATTTCAATATATGTATATTTGTCGTAGGTATGAAAAAAGTAAAATATAAAATGGACAAACGTTTACTTACATTGCAATAAAACTTCCACTTTTAGTTTTGCAATCCAAATGCAATATTTCTATTTCACAAAAAAAAATATCCGACAACACTAAAATCACTGAAACTTCCGCGGCTGACAACGAAAACTGAAAAATATAACGGCACTTTTTGTTTTGGACCTGCATATCAACATTACGCTGTGCCATTATGAAAATATCTAATTATAACTTGTAAATTTTAATATTTTAACATGATTTTTAACTATTTCTGACAATAACTAACTTTTGTTATCAAGATGACATTTTAGACGGCAACTGACATATATGTCATAATATTTGAATTTTAAATATGTAATATAATTTAAATTAATATAATGCAACTTTATACTAAGAAAACATTTATACACTCACAAAATACAATAAAGTCTAATAATATAGTTTGAAAACAATAAATATTGAAATAAAATTAAAAAAGTTAAGCGCGACCCCTTGTGTCAAAATTAGATGATTAAATTTTCGCAATTTTTACACCATTTGATGACCGGTGGCGCCTCTAGTGTTTGTTCGGGCGGTTGGTCTTTTACTCCCACTTATGGCCATTAAAGAAAAAGTTCTAAAGGGGGATGTTTTGTGGTACTACGCCGCGTGCCGGTTTTTGAACAAACAACAAACAAAAGAATGAGGTTAGCGGCGTTGCCAATGTCAATTTTCTAAACTACCCAAAAATCTAAATTAAATTCTCCAATTAGGGGAGAAAAATGTCCCGATTCACCAAAAATTCCCCATATGATTATTTTAACAAAAAAAAAAGGTAAAGGTGTGGATCCGGTGGCTGACCTTGAAGCCTATATTTGCTGTATTTGATCAACAATACTACGCAAGCGCACATCGTCGATGTTGCCAAGTTGCAGTTTATTTTCGAATTATTTGCAGTTGAAATTTTTTTTTAGTGTTAATCAATAATAATACAAATTCTATAATTAATTTTCTAATTTCAGATTTATCTTGATATCCAAAATTAAGGTAAGGAAGATAATGAAGATTGTGAACTTTGATTATTAATTTACTTTGATTGTTTGTATCATAATTTCTTAAAAATATCAAGTTAGTGGATTAATAGCAATTTTAGACATATATTTTATCGAAAAGTGTGTTGATAAGACTAAAATATAAGCTTTATGTTTTATCTTTTTCTCTTTAGAAGGGAGATGGTTTGTGTCGTAGAATACATTACAGTATTTGGTAATTACCCAGTATTTAATATCGTGTACTTTGATATTCTTTTCTTAATTTACTGCAATTTCTTGTTCCCTATAATGCCAAATCTTGACAATATGGTCAAGGTTGAGTTATGATCTTATTAGTTTTATACCTGTGTTTATACAAGACCAAATTGAGACTTAGTTAGTTTGTGATTTATATTAAGATCTGTCTCATTTTCTTATAATACTTGTTATGTCTTAATCTTAATATTATATTATACTTTTTCTGGAAAATAAATGTTAAAATATCATAATTTTGCATATCCTATTCCATCCTTCCATTAGGAAAAATATGGTTTATAAATCATATATGCTAAGAAAATCACATAAATTAGGTGTAAGAATAGAGAAATCTTAAGGTAGCAGAAAAATTAATGCAATATATGTATAAGCAGAATAAACAAGAGGTATAACTGTTAATGTTGTTGAAGCTGATTCTACAATTTTAATTACGGAGGCTAAAAGGCCTTTTAAGGCGTCCGTAGTTTTGATGGAATGTTAAAAAAAACTATTATGAACATGACATGGAGCTACAACATTTAAAAATTTAAAAAAAAAAGAAAAAACTTGGACACATCCCTTTTAATTTCACGAATTTTTAATAAAGCCCTTTTTAAACGTAGCATAATAATCTAGAGCAATTAGATTAATTATAGGAACTATGAAAATACATAATAAGCGTTCACGTGTTGTGCGAAATATTAAAATAATAATATAATATACCGAGTACTATGATGGAAAAAAGCGTCAGCGATGACTATGAGATGAAGATCGCTGTCATTTTACCTGGGAAATGTCCTCAATCGTCATTTCCCAGCCAACCGGACGCCGTTTTTTCGATCACACGGTATATATTGACAAAAAAACACTGAAAAGCACATATTTGTTTTCTACTGAAAATAATTCCAAAATAACTTGCAAACTGGCAACATCGAACATGTGCGCATGCGTAGTGTCAGTGACTATATGCAGCAAAACTCGTTTCAAGGTCAGCCACCGGATCCACACCATTACCAAAAAAAATAATTTTAATAAAAATACAATATTTATTATATATGTTAGAGGGATTAAACTGTAAATTACCTCCTTGTTTTTTAATCCCTTCCCTAATAGTAATTAAATAATTTGAGGTCATTAAATTTTCTTTCAACTGAAGCATTTGCAAAGGGAAGCACAAGTAAAAAGCAGATAATAATTTCTAAGTTGGGAAAGATATATCGTCCCGTTCCGTTTTTAAAGCTAAAAATTTTACGCCATTTTCAATCAGCAATAAAATGTTGAAACTCCTCTTATTTTCGCCGCCTATTGCTAATCCCAACAAAATTCCCAATCGGCTCCGGATTCCCCAAAATTTGGGGAATTCCCCACAAATTGGCAACGCTGGAGGTTAGCGTGTTCTTTCTGAATATGCTAAGACTAACGGACTAGTGTCGAAACACAGATAGCTAGATGGACGTATTTCCGCACTTGCGTCGATGCACTACAGGAACATTTGCCTGCGCGTCGTATGTCTTCTGCAGCGTTGCCAGAGCTGGTACATTTGTACAGATCTGGTACATTTTGGAACCGTTTGTACCAAAGTACATTTTTTACATTTCTGGTACATTTTTTAACAGTAAACATTGATTACAACAATAATTTTTTGAATAAAAATCGACAAATTACACTCCAAATATCGAAAGTTCAAAAAAATCGACAATTTTTCCCTTAGAATTTTTCCTAATACCGCTCATCACTAATTTCGTTTTCTACATCGCCGGTATCGCCCTCTATCAAACATAAGTCAAACTATATTCTGCCAACCCTACCAAGAATTCTTTTTCTATCTGTGGCTGACAGTACCGAGACGACTTTGACTGATGCGCGATTTGTCTGGTACATTTTCGATCAAATCGATCAAAATCTGGTACATTTTTACCACAGAATAGTACAATTTTGGAAAAGTCTCTGGCAACGCTTCTGGCAGTCTTTTAATTTTTCTGTTTGTCTATGGTCTGTGTCTATGGTATGGCCTCCATAGTCTATGGTCAAAACCATATGGTCAAAAAATACCGGCGGGACAATTTAACCTACGAATTTCTAGCTTGGATACGAAATGGATACGAACTTGCAAACAGTAATATAAATGATTATATTATAAGTGTCTACTAAAACATTCTACGTTTGTTTAACTGTATAACAGTTAAAAGCATATAGGGTGTGTTTCATTTATTTGCAATGGTTCACATTGATATATTATTTATCATCTTAATCGCATAAGGACATAAGGATTTCTTAGGATTTTAGTTATATCTCATAATGGGTAAAAATCAACGTCACAAGAAGGATATTAAAGCTGAGAAGGCAAAAACTAAATTAAAGCAAGTTAAAACCAAATTTTTACCAAAAGGACTTAATGTTACAAAAACAACTTTTAAAATTAAGCCGATCGTAATCCCAGAGCAGTTAAAACAGAAAGACTTTGACGAGGTTTTAAGTAGAAGGAAGCTTAATGTTAAGGTACGATATGTGTATAGAGTTTTATTTCATTTTTGTTACTACTGTAAAGGTATATTTTAATTTATATTAAGTTACATCTAAAAACTATTAAAGAAAAAGTATGAGTAGAAAAATCGCTTATTGTACATTGATAGTCTGTCATTTAAATTCAAAAGTATAATTTTTACTGTAGTATGTTCTATTATTATACAATTACAGAGCTGTATGTTACATACAAAACCAATGTTCATACAATTTTGTAATTCTAAGCCAACAATATGTTATATTCACATAAGGTTTCAATCAGGATCTACTTAGTCGAATTAAGCATTACAATGAAAACATAAGGCATTCTGCATGTATTGAATTGGGAGACATGGTAAAAATTCATACAGAAGATATTCAACAGCATCTTGCCCAGATATGTTTAGCAGTTAGTTCATTGATACAAGATAGAGAAAGGAAAGTTAGAAAAGTTGCTATAAAATGTATTGACACCATTTTAGAACATGTAAGTAAAGTATATATAAATTATTTATTATTGTTTAAAATAAGACTGACTTTTTATGTATTGCGTGATATACATATATAGTATAAATATAAAATATATCGTCCCATTGCTGCCAAAAGTCACTAACTTACTTTTTATTACTTCTGAGAAAAATGCGTCTAAAGATGAATTGCATTGCATAAAGATGTTATAGTTAGTAACTATTCGGTATTAAAATAAAACATAAATAGCCAGAAATCGTAGTTAATGACTTTCGCAATTGATTCTCCGATTCAAAACATAGTTAGTGATTGAATTTGGTTGGTCGGAAAAATGTTAGTTAGTGACTTTTGGCAGCAATAGGACGATATGTAACTAATACAATATTAGTACTTATAACTCAACTTTATGTTTAAATCCTACCAGAAAATACAATTTCAATATATGTATACATAGCAAGGTCGCAAACTTCGGTTGTCCACTTTTGTAAACGTACTTATAAAATAATAATTACTGTCCTTTATTACAGATTCCGCATATGAAACTTTTACCATTTTTTGATTATTTTTTCACCAATTTGCGCTGTGCTATGACCAACATTGATAAAGGTATCCAAGAAGATTCGTTATTATTTTTAGATTGCTTTATTAAGAAAGACTATGATTTAATACGAAACACATCAAACAAATTACTCTCAGATTTTTTATCACTAATATCGAAATTTAGAAGCGATTCTCAATTAGAAAGAACACTAACATTGAACTTAGGGAGTAATATTACTAGTGTCGCTTGGAGAATACAAGTTTTGAGCAGATTGCATGCTATTTTAAAAATTATGGTCATAGAAGATAAACAAATAAAGAATAGCAAGTCGTAAGTTTATTTTTTATAAATGTACCACTTCTTTACTATAATAACTGTATTAAAGAGATACAGCTGATGGACAGTGCAATATTAATTATGGCCTTTATAAATACACATTTGGACAATTGTTGGAAGCACCTGTGTCTGATGTATTAGGAACATCAAAAAGTGATTTTCAGAAAAATAGTTTCCAAAATTTCGATCAGCAAATTGTTAGTATATTACCACTTTTATACGAAACTTGGCTGGAAGTAATTCCAGAGGAAAAAGTTAAGAAGCCTACAGCAGGTAATAATAAAAAGTTTATACCGCGTTGGCAATTTTTGCATGTGGGTCAGTATTTACATGTGTAGAAGTGAATCGTTTGAGGATCTTCTTAAGTCAGACTAAGAAAAATGGGACGGTGTGCTGTTGCGGTGTTGCCACATCTAAAAGTTGCTTTTTTCGGAAAGATAACTAGATAAAATCATTTCATATCAGATGCCTAGAAACATATCATGACATATGTTTCTAGGCATCTCAGATCGAGTTATAATAAGAATGTCGTAATGGTGTCCATTTTTTACAATGAAAAAACAAACGTCAATCGCAGTATAGTTTCTCTGAATTCAGTTGGAATAGATTGGGATTCTTAATTTCGACACTCTCTTTGTCGGTATCGTCGGGACAAAGGAATTAAGAGTCTCAGTAGGGTGGCCTAAAAACGTATTTGACCTAAAAAGTCCTTTTTATTTACGTATTTTCCCTGATAAAAATATCTACAGCAACCAGCAATATTCCTTTCGTCTAAATTTAATTAGACAGGTTTTAAAACGTTTTAAAAAAATCCATTAAAACGTCTAGGCATAAAAGTAAAGTACTTTTTCGCCTAAGCACAAAAGTACGAAAATATTTATTGAACTGTTAAATTCAACGAGTGTAACCATAAGTTCTAGATATACCGGGTGCGTCCCAAAAGTGGCTCACCCCTATAACTTTTTTATTTTTTCCGATAAAAAAACGAGACTTGATATGTTAGTCCTCCTCCTCCTTCCTATTACTCTATAAGAGTATGGTGGCATTATGATATCGCATTTATGGTGTCTCTCCATGTTCTGTCTTGCACTGCAGTACTGGCCTCGTGCAGACTATGACCTATTATTGTCTTCATTTGGTCCACCCAACGGTTTGGAGATCTCCCTCTAGGACGTTTCCCGTTCACTTTTCCCTCCACAATTAGTTTTTCTAGGCCATTGGTGTTAAGATCGGTTAAAAGATACCCAAATCGTATTTTTAATCCTATCTGATTTTTTTCAAATAAAACGAGGGTGGCTCATTAGCATATTTGGAAAAAGCATTTTTTTACGAATAATTTGATACCACACACTTAGTATTTTGAGTCAAATTTTCGTTATAAACCGCATGTTATAATTTCAAATAAACCATATGCGAAAATGTCAAAAGTTGACATATGATATGTCAATGAATTTTCTATTGAATAAAGTAGAAAAATGCTGAAGTTGTAGTAATTTCCGGTGAAACAGGCAGTGACCAAAAACAATTAAATACGTCAATCAATCCTAATTAATGTTATATACTAACATACCAAATCTCGTTTTTCTATCTGAAAAAATAAAAAAGTTACAGGGGGTGAGCCACTTTGAGACGCACCCGGTATTACAGGGTATTACTTTTAAATATTTTTATATTATTTGCAACGTTTGAAGTTGATTGCGAAGTTTGAAAAAAAATAGCATGTTCTATTCGGAGTAAAAATTACTTTTTGTGCCTCGCTTGTAATGTCGTCAAACGTACAGCCTCGTCATAAAAATTATAATTTTTAATCTACTAATAAAACAATACACTATTATTTAGAATAGGCAATATTATTTAGAACTCTAGGCTACTCTAACGATAGGCTTTATTTTTAATAATTATGATCTTAAAAAGAGCTTTTTAACATTTTAAAGTAGCAATTTATAATCGGCGATTCGCAATCAACAGCTCCCAATAACAACTGAACCCATGATTAGTGATGTTGGTAGCGAATATTTCCATTCAAATTTTGCGGGAAATTTCAGAAATTTCCGAAATATTCGGTCCCAAAATCGCGAATATTCGCAAAAATCCGAATTTTGCAAGAAATTTCTTTTCAAAATTCAAGACATTGAGCATAAATTACCAACGTCATCTGCAGCCACAGAGAGAAGTTTCAGTACTTACAGTTTTATCCACACTAAAAAAAGGAATCGCTGAACTGCACAAAGAGCCGGTAAAATAATGTTCATAGCTCATAACAATAAATTATTACTACAAAAACAAAAAGTGGATATGAAGCATGATATTCAACAACATGAAATTCCTCCAGAACCACTAGAACTCGTGGAGGTAGAGGTCCACCTTCAGAATCAGAACCAGATGATACATCAAATATATCTGATTTGGAAATAGAAACTGACGAAGACAGTACTACTACTACTATAATACCCTATTAAGATGGGACCAGCTCGGCGCCTGATATTCCGGAATAGAATAATTCTGTTATTTGTGTTTTACGTTTTTTAAATTTATATTTCATGCTTTTTTGTTTTTTTTAAATTCATAGTCATAGTTCGTGGTTTATGCATAAAATACAAATGTTACCAAATGATTTTTGTTATGGGTTATGTTTATGACCTTTATGGCTTATGTATTGTTTATTAAAAATCAACTTATATTATGTTTATTGTTTGTTTTCCACTTACATGTTGGTATCAAATGTCTATCTAATTTATTCCTTTATTGTATCGACAAAAAATATGTAAAATTGTAACATTTCCTAATATTTCATAAATTTCCGAAAGTTTCAGAAATTTCCTGCAACAATCAAAAATTTCTGAAATATTAACATCACTACCCATGATGTACACCCTTCCCTAAAAATCTAAGTACTGTATATCAATTTAATAATATTTATCAATTTATGCGGTCGACCGCGACGAAGCTGCCTTATCCCCTTACACGTCTCTTAGATATGCACAGTTACTCAGCTTATTTCATACATTTCACAATTTTTTTACTGTTCTCTCTTTATTCAGTTTATGCATTGTACTCTTATTATATACGGAAATCTCGACCCAAACATACCTAAACTTTGCCGACCTTAGTATTGTACAAACATACTAATAATATTTATCTTTTTGTCTGACGTCTGACAGCATATATTTTACTATTTTAGAAAATACTATTTTGGACGATGAAGCTGCATCATTACTTACATCTGTTATGAACATTATTCACCTTTTATCACAGTATATAAAACAGGTGGAAAATGAAGAAATCACCTTTGTATGTATAATATTTTAATAGTAACTATTAACTAAATAAAACATTATTTATAGTTATATATTATATAGGTAGTATTTTAATATCTATGATTTTTTAGGCAATAGTTTTTGTAACGCCCCAAAGTAAAAGATTTTTCAAACATCTTTTATCAGGCTTCCCTTATTCGCACTCAGTATCTAAAACCAAGAAAAAAGAAAACAATTTAAATAATTTAGAAAGCAGTAATTTAAAATGTTTTCAAGAGAATCTCCAAATATGTCATCTATACTCTATTTTGATTGTTAATGGTGGACATGTGTATTTAAAAAAATATACACAAGTCGTTATGTTGTATATTATAAGTAAGTTTCTTTTTGTTTTTATTGGTTTTCAATAAATATTTAGTGTTTTATTAGGGATTCTAAATCATAAACAAGCTTTAAAAGAAGAAAATGTTAACTGTTTATTATCATTTCTAAAAGAATGTTTTGATCATGATTCTGCAAATTTTCGAAATTTTGGTATGGATTTACACCTGTTGTTAGAGAATACAATTATATTTTATGAAAACGGCAGAATTTCTTATAAGGAGAAAAATGAACTGTTTTGGATGTTGTCTAATATAGAAAAGGAGCGTTTGTGCAAGTAAGTTAAGAGAATGGACTTTCGATTCCTAGATCATATATACTTACGTGGATAACTAAATCACTATGGAAACTGTCCTAAACATATCAACGACTTCCATTTATCTTCTTTTTTTGTTGCACACGTGGTGCTTCTACTCTATCTATCCTTGTGGAGAACCTATCGTCCGCGCGCCAACTTTGAACATTAATTTTAAAAATTTAATTTGTAAAATGTTTATATTTCAACAATAAATTGAATGCTTACTGTCACAAAAATTAAATTATATGAAAAATACATTTAGCCACTCCGTACGAATATCAAAATTCTTAGGAAATCTAACCAGAAAGTATGCATGTGGCTTAATATAAATAAAAGAACAACTGAATACTTTACTTGCCTATGAAAAGATAATTCGGTTTATATTAGAACTTTTACACACTAAACACTTTCTAGTCATTTTTACGAGTATTTAGAAAGTCCAACGAAAAAAAATAGAAATATAATTGCACAAACTTAAAATTAACTTCTCACTAAACACACTTGCATTCTTGGCTATATAAAAGCGGTCGATAAAAGAGTATTTAATACAATTTTTAAAATAAAAAACGCAAAAAACAAGCGTCGTTACACACAGATAAATGAAACAAGTTTAGATTGTGCCCATAAGGACAATGTATTTGGCGCTATTCTTGGCAACGGTCGCGACCTAAAGCTTTTGAAAATTTCGGAGCGGTTCGGCTTTTTCGGAATTATATCGACACACTCCCGTATCGCCATACTCCCGTATATACGCCCCTATTTACTAATAACGGAGATACCGTATGATTTCAACCAAAATGGACACCCTGTACATACTAAATTAAAATTATAATTAGAAAAATGCCAATACTTAAGATCCTGTGGCAAGAAAGAATAATTAGTCATCAAATTTTTGATTAACGTTTTTTTTTTATTTATTTAATAGTAGCGAGAAATATCAGAACTGGCTTGCAAGTCTTCCCAATATTTTATGTGCTCCTACAATATCGGATTCATCTGTTCTTGTATTACTGCAAATATCCAAGAAACACCGTAACAGATTTTATGATGCCTTAGTTGATAAACTTCCTGACATTTTAGGTTAGGTGTACTATCACTATTGATATTTCTGATTTTATTGACAATTTTTTTTAGATAATTTGGATAAAGCAGAAATTGTGGTTTCGGATTCGATTACAAAAGAGGATGTGAAGAGAAATATTGCCAATATATTTTATTATATTCCCAATAGAACTAATCTAGACATAATTTACAACTATATAGAAAGATCACCGTTATCCACATTCAAACATTATTTTAGTAATGTGTTATGTTTAAGGTAATGCAAAAAAATATTTCTGTAGCTTTGTCACCTTTTAGAAATAAATATATCAATATCCATGAGAGCCACATAAGTCAAAGACAATGAGCGCGTTCAGGGATGGTCAGCGGCTGAGTGGCTGAGTAAGCGACTTCCCTAAAGGTCTATTCAGACAAACAGCAACGGTTAACCGTTCTCAGCGGTAAATATTTAGGCTGAGAGAAGTCAGCCTTGATATATTTCCTTATCTGTGGTTAACGTGTAAAATAACTTCAATTTTCTCAGTTTATCGTTTATTTTTATGGTTTGTTGAAGTTTGTAGCCAATCGTAGTTAATAGAATCCTTAAAAAATAGAGAGATATTTGTTGTCAAAAAAGTTACAAGGCAGTATAGTCTAAGAGCTTTCGAGAAAGTATTTTAAGACGTTTGGCTCTTTGATATATCTTTTACTATGCTCTCTGGAACAGCATGGGCCGCATGTCTGGCTGCCGATACCTGTTGCGTTCACTACTGCGTATCGGAAGAAGATCCTATATTTTAGTATTGAAAATACTTCTGGCCGCGTTTATATGGGACCCATCTTTGAAAAAACGACATGCTAGAGCCGCATGGGTTCGATAACCTGCCTGTCAACACGTCGATAGTTTAGCCGGCGTTATAGGAATATGGAATAGGGCAAGGTCGTTCAAAAGCCGAAATGAGGTAGAGGTCGTAAATAAAATGATCCATAATGTTAAAATACGCTTCGAAGTGTTAAAAGTGTTGAAAATTGATTAAAATCTGTTAGGTTTAGATATTGGTGAGTACTTTTTGAGTTTTAAGTCAAGTATGTAGGTGAGAGAAATATTATGTGATTTATTCGATTGTATAAGCCGTGAAGCTAATAGGGTGTGTGTTATATTTCATGAATATTTCATTTAATTTTGTTCGTAACTCTGAGTCTTGTAAGCTCACACTGTATTCGTAAACAATAAGGTATTATCCTTATTATGGTACAGTACATCTGCTGGATCTGTGTCTATGAAAGGAATGCGGACAAAAAACATTTAAATAAACAGCAAATATATTTTATACGTCGATTTGACGAGTGCGTCACCGCAAATCGCTCCGCCCACTCATTTTATTGGCTACTTGCAAATTTGTTGAATTTTTATTGATGGGACGCGTCGTCTATTTTTTACGAAAAACATCGAGAGAATATCGTTTCCCCTCTCACGGATTCCCCGTAGCTACAGAACGGACAGACGTACGCTTAATTGTATATGTATGTATATAATTTTGTATTCTCTGTTCGACGGCTGGATTATACTTGTATTCTCTGTTTAATGTATTTGTACACATTTTTTTTTATATATTTCTTAATTATCATATTATTTAACAGTATCAAAAGTAATGTTGCCTCCCATTTTTATACAGGGCGATAAAGTTTTCAGGAAAATCAGTTTTTTTTATAATAACACTATACTATTTTAAATATCTTTATAAAATTTAGTACACGTCTTCCATGTATCAAGATGTATTTTTTCATATAAAAACAGTTCTGTAATTTTTATTTCAGTTGCGTCCTTACGGAATTGGGTTAGTTAATTAAATTTGATTTCTTTATTTTCTTAAGAGTTTAATAGCGAAGTGCTTTAGACTTTAAATCGATATATATGATAATATTCTTTTTTCTCGGAACTTATGGAATTGTCTAGTTGTAAAATTTATTGATTTTAGTATACTTTAGTTGTTATTAATATAAGTTAAAAAGGCGCTAACTTCTTTATTGCATTTTTTAATTGATGATGAATATTTTTGATTTTATCCACTGTGTAAGCCACCAATGCACATGTCATATTTTGCACCCATACCTCATATTTGTATTTTACCACATTTTAAATTTATATGTATGCATGTATGTTATTTTTGATTGTAATATTATATTTGCTAAACTTTCTATCATGTTTTATGTATTTGTATATTATTTTTTATATCTCCCGTAATTTTCACGTTATTTTAGAGTCGACATCAAAAATAATGTTGCCTCTGCACTTTGACGTAATATACGTATAAGTATTTATTAAAACAATACTCGCCTATTTTATAAACATAATTACTTCATTCATTTTCGAAATACAAGACTTTTTGAAAATGAAAATGTCTAAGCACTTCTCGTATCCCAACGATCTCATAACTTATCGTAAATTTTGAACCTATTGAATTATGCTAGAACTGCTTTTTCCTAGTAAATTATGACAGTTAAAACTTAATTTTTTTTTAATTTCATTATCTCTTGGATGGTCTATTTAATCATTATCAATTTGTTGTTCTCCTTTGTGGCTTTATAAAAATAATATTTCCACGTATTTTTACTTTTAAATTATAATTGACAACGAGAAATCATAGGCTATGCTAGTCTTTGCAGTATAACTTAATTCAAAATGGATCGCAAATTTCCTTAACTAACCTAGCATAAGTCGTAATACAGATTATATCAGTGTAGGAGTAATCAGATCGGAAGTCATAAGTTGAATCGGATATAAAATGCAAATATAATATATAAATATAAAATCCAATCAATCAAGTGGTAGTGGTAGTGGTAGTCTATGAAGGTGAACATGAAAATATGGAAGTAGATAATACAGATGATTTAGAAACGTAATGTTTTTTTCGACTATTATACATGATTTACTAAAATTTGTTGTTTTAGGTCTCAATCTCAGAATAATGAAAGCGTATCAGAAGAGAGCACAACAAATTTAGATGAGCCTGAAACTTCAAATCCTATTACAACTAAATATATTGTTGAGAATGGTAAATAAATAAATCAAAATAGAATATTTCTTATACATATAACCCTTTTCAGGAAATGTGAGAAAAATATCAGAAGAAGAAGCTTCCGAAACAGCAGATTTATCATCTATAATTGAAGTACACTGCTGTTCAAATTGTAAATTGCAGTTTCCAAATTTGAACCACTTTTTGAAACACAAATGTAATAATGCCAAACATATTAAAAAAATCTAATAAAAAATTACCTAAGGTACCAACGACATATTTTTATTTATTATATTATCTTATAATTAGTATTAAATTAAAATTTAAAGGTTAAAGAGACACTCAGTTACCAGTGTACATTTTGCCAAGCGATTTACGCAAGTTTGATTGCACTCGAATCAAGTGGTCTGTGGTACCTTTTAAAAAATGGTGGATAAGCGAAACGGTTCATCGTTCATTAACTGAATCTTCGTTAAAAAAAATCTTAAATACTACAGAAGATGAAAAAAAGCTAGAAAACTTAAATTAAACGTCGAACGTTGTCGAGCCTATAGAACTCGCAATAAAATTGCTAAAGTTTTATCAGTAACTACAATCGGTACTTCTTTTTCGACCTTGGAAGATTTTGAAGGACCATCAGAGACAACAGGAAATATAAATCAGGAAGGTAAGTAATAATACCTAATATGAATATGGTTAATAAATATTACCGTGACTTACCACTGGTGTATATACGGATATGGAAAACGTCTCGGAAAGCCAAGATAATAAAAATGATTTTCATAAGAAATAAGAAGTTTCTTATTCACAGCACTTCAAAAATATTTTATGACAGGCCTCTGGACAGGCAAAGACATTAAAATTGAGGGGCTTAGAATCCTAATCCGGCGTCCGTTTGTCGTTCATCGTTCTGTCAAACAAGTAAAATTGAAATATTATCTGTCATTTTTGAAATAAACCAATAAAACTGGTTAAAAACAACAAGACACTACGCATGACGGATTTATATTTAAACCCATCCATAGCTAACTTAAAAAATATTGGAAACTTTTTTTAGTAAAATAAATAGATTGGTATCCCATACCAATCATCTGCTTTTCTTGTCATCGTCTGTCTTACCTGAGAAAAAAAACAGAGTATACATGTATACATCGATAATCTAATCAAACTGGTAGTTTCGACCTTTATGCCCACTTGCACCGTTTGTATAAACTTTGTTTAAAAGCTAAACAGTGATTAACTATAATAAAATATGTATTGTTAATCACTGTTTAGCCTTTAAAACAAAGTTTATACAAACGGTGCAAGTGGGCATTAAACCGATATTAATTATTATTACGTTTACTTTCTTATTTTTCAGAATTAATATTAAAAAATTATAGGTACCTACCGTTAAAATCAGAAATTTTGTTTCAGATTTATATTATTAAGTCCATTGCAAGAAACAACCTAATGAAACCACCATCACTAAGTGTCAAGATTTTATATTTATGGTTATTACTTCAGAAAAATAATAAAAACATTTTGTGACCAAATTTTATTTTTTACTTTAATTTTTATTAATGTAATTTATTTTTGCTGCTTACCGCCACGACCTTACATTGCATGGTTTCTGTAACCAAGAAATAAATATCACAGTTCAGTAGTAAACATTATAAGGGCGACCGTAAAGTATCGAATAAGTTCATTTAAAATTAAGGGGTGTGTATAAAAAAGGTTTTTTTCTTCGACAACCGCCAACTTGTGTCTGGTGTGTGTCTGGTATTTTCAATACGCCTATGATGGTTGCGCATGTTGCAAAATCTGTGAATTTTTTATTAATTTAGTCTTATAAATTCTAGTATTGATCGAACATGTCTCCATAGCGCAGTGCGTAGAGTTTCCGACCACGAACCGATGATTCAGAGTTCGAATCCGGGTCAGGGCAAAGACTTTTTATTTTATTTTCGTTTATATTCTATTAGTAAAGTATTAAATAATTCTGGTAATTTGAAAAAAAAACAAATATTTAATACTTTACTATCAGAATATAAACGAAAATAAAATAAAAAAGTCTTTGCCCTGACCCGGATTCGAACTCTGAATCATCGGTTCGTGGTCGGAAACTCTACGCACTATGCTATGGAGACATGTCATGTTCGATTTGTATTCAATACTAGAATTTAAAGGACTAATAAAAATATAGGATCTTCTTTCAATGCGCAGTAGGGAACGCGACGTTTACCGGCAGCCAGACGGGCCGCATGCTGTCCTAGAGAGCATAGTAAATGATATATCAATGAGCCAGACGTCTTAAAATACTTGTTTTTCCGACGTTGCTAGCTCTCGTACTATATATTTCTCTCAAATTTTTATAGTAGACAGAAATCCAGAGGGCGCATGAGACAGCTGCTGTTTCTTGTTCTTTTTGCTGCTTTTTACCGTTTAGGGAATACCGTGAAGTGTCATAAAAAAGGTTATTAAAAATTTACGCTGACGGTGCATCCACACCAACCTAGAAAAAATGGAACGGCGCGGCGTATCGGCGTAACGACCTTGCATCTATTTCCAGCAATTCTATTGGCTGAAAATTTTCGAAAGTTCATCTGTCAAAAATTTCAGCCAATAGAATTAGGTCGTTACATCGCCGTCGATACGCCGTTCCGCTTTTTCTAGAATGGTGTGGATGCACCCTGAATGTCAGCTGCTGTTTCTTGAACGCGCCCAATGTAAAAGTGAAATAAAATTATTGTATAATGATGTATATTTATTTTTTAACTAGTTTCTAAATATATATTTATTATTTTTCAGGAGAGAATTCATGCGTTCCTAGTTTCTATGATGAATAACACCATAACTCAGTTTTGATCACATATGAGGACTATGTTTTTTAAAAATATATTACCGGCAAATATATTATACTGAGTAATATATTGTTTTTTAACGGCAATAGGTTTTTTCTGCTCCTCACTTTTGATACTCTCCGTTTCTCCGGATGTATTAGTATTTTTTTCACCCTTTTTTTGTTTTTCGCTTGTTTTCTTCATTTTTCGTTTTTCTAAAAGTTCTGGCGTTCCAAAAAATATTGTCACTGTGTTCTGACTATTTGGTTCCAAACTATAATTTCCTGTTTGATTTAAACAAAAATGTGAGGGTTCTAAAAAGAAATTGATATTTGCATATATGACAGTATTTTTTAAATGTTTTAAATATTGAGTAAATGATACGTTATTATATAAGTGTTAAACATATAAATGAAATATATGAAGCGTAAGGGGAAAAACCGACAATGTCTCAAAACTAATTTTTAGAAGAGAAAACTGATTTAATGTTGCCAAATACCATGTTAAAGATGCAAAAAAATATTACACAATGCATTATTATTTGTATATCGTTTGTTATATTCAATTACAACTTAGTATAAATTCATATCAAATAAACTTTTAGTCACGTGATTAAGCTTGACCGGCACAGCGTTGCCCACTTTTACATATTTTATTTCATTCAAAATATTTTAGGAAACGAAAATAAATTAATTATAAATATATAAACAGTTATTATTTACATCAACAAAACTCACCTTCTTAACAGCACTTAAGGAACATAAAGGGTCATTTCATTACTTCCGCTTTCCCTAATTAAGTTGGGATGAGTTTTTTACGGCTATTAAGCTATCTTGTACCTTTCGGACTAAAAGAGGTTCTAGAAAAACAATGTTCGACTGCAAGGTCTGCTGGTAAACATTTTTAAACTTAAAGTATTACAACACACCTCATTTAAACCAAAATCTCATAATAATCATTCGTAATACAAAATTAAAGTGTCAAAACGAATGACAATGTCAGGAAATAAGTAAATAAATGTGGTAACTTGATATTTTTTAGAGCAGAGCTATCACCTGAGTCCCCAGCGGAAAATTTAAATTCCAGTTAGTCAGTGCGACGCCGAATATGTCCATGGGTTGGCAACAATGAATTTAAAAATCGCGCCCTCGACTACGTAACTAAAAGTTTAATTGGTATCAAGAATATCTGTTTAGGACTTGGAATTTTCAAGAGATTAAGGTGATTACTTAAAAATTCCTATAAAATGGACAACGTTGGTTTTTCCCCTTAGCCTTCATATAAAAAAAAACATTAAAAGTAGCGATGGGAACTATCGAATGAATTAGACTATCGAATGGTTACTGAATGAATGATTTCAACTATCGAATGGTTTTATTCGAATAAAATTATTCATTCATTTGTATACTAAAGCATATGTGACAACCTCGCCGTGCGACTAAATTAATGGTTATCGTTGCGCCACGACTATCGAATGCTTTTGATAAATGAAATTTAGTATTCGTTTGATTTTTGTGTGCGTCAGTGCATTATTAGTTCTTCCAAATTTTTATAACTTCGCCTTGTAAATACTATGCTATTTTTGCGTTTATTAAAATATTTAAAATACTAAAATAGTATTTTTTTTTAATTGACGATTGTGTGCGAAGTGGTCAAAATTTTTCCGAAAATTTGTGTGATTTTCCGTAGCCCGATCTTTCAATTATATAATTTTATATGGTATATTATGGTTAGGTTAGATTGCATTTTTTTAACGGGAAATTTTGAGAAGTAGCAATTTTTAAGAGAGATGAGATGAACTTACAATTAATTTTAAAAATACATATTTGTATTTTAGATGTTTTAATAATATGAATTAGTTGAACTTAATAGTCATATTTAAGTAATGTGGTTAAGTTAAGTAAATGGTTATCGAACTCAACTTTTGGGGTGAGAAAATTAAATTGAAAGTTTTACACGTGCCAATTTAAAAAAAAAGTTAACAATGTTTGTATTTTGTTTATGCTAATTCTCTTACATGTAGTTTTTTGCGAAGAAATATTTCATTTATTTTTTAAAGTAAATGCCAGCAAAAGTAAATATTATTTTTAAATAGTAATATAAAGTAATAAAAAGTAATATAAATAATTTCGATTTCTAATTTTTTATTTATATTTTCCTTCCATTACACTGCATGCTTAGAAAATTAATAAATGTTTATATTTCATGATTTTAAAATTTGTTGTTAATATAACAAATTAGTTCTGTAATTATTATTATTTAATAAACCAACGTTGCCATTTAGAGACTATATTATTTTTAAATAGGGGCTAATATAAATACTTTTGACTTCTATTTGTTGTTTATATTTTGCTACTACTTAAAAAAAATGTTTATATTATTAATTGATTGTAAATTTTGTTGTTAATAGGTATAACAAATTATTACTGTTATTATTATTTATTAAACTAGTCTTTGCTTAAAAACATTAAAAATCATTTTCCTACATCCAAAATAAAAAGTATTATTGCAGTGTAACAACAGAATATTAATAAAAACATGCAAAACATATAGACATACAGTACATCTGCTGGATCTGTGTCTATGAAAGGAATGCGGACAAAAAACATTTAAATAAACAGCAATATATTTTATACGTCGATTTGACGAGTGCGTCACAGCAAATCGCTCCGCCCACTCATTTTATTGGCTACTTGCAAATTTGTTGAATTTTTATTGATGGGACGCGTCGTCTATTTTTTTACGAAAAACATCGAGAGAATATCGTTTCCCCTCTCACGGATACCCCGTAGCTACAGAACGGACAGACGTACTGTACTATCCCTAACTAATGCTAAAGAATAATATTCTTTGCTAATACCAACTAATACGAATATATGGCAACAGCGCCCTTCATAATATATTTTCTGTGTAAATACTAGCACCTCAATAAAAAAATAATGTGTCCTTATCTTTATTTGACTCCGCAAAAAATCAAAGATGCCGGCTTCATTCATAGCATTGCCACCGACCGCTGTCGGGTTTTTAGGAAAGAAACCTACGTCGCCGGACGATAACTAAAATCCAGTTTATATTTTATTAAAATCGATCCTGACGAATAAATGAATTTGATAAATGAATGAATTTTATAAATGAATGGTTTTTGCTGCCGAATTACTAGAATACAATATTTCAAGGCAGATGACGCATCTATTCGATAATTTTTATTCGAATAGTTTTCGACGAATGTTTTCTTACTAGCTATCGAATTATTCGAATGAATTGCAACTATCGAATGTTTCGATAGTATTCATTCGATAGTTCCCACTACTAATTAAAAGTGTATTATTCACTTCTGATGTGTAATTACATAAAAACTAGGTTTTCCGAAACAAAAACGCTTTAAAATCTAGGACGTAACTTTTTTAAGCTTATAACCACCTGTGAATAAACATGACAGACCTAAGATTTTACAAATACTTACAATTTACTGTCACTGTCATGCGTCCTCTTGTTGTGCATACTGTACTTAGATAAATATAATTTTTTTTTATAATATATTCTGATGTACAGACAATACATCAGAAATTTAAGTATTCACTGCTTTATTTATAATTATCTTTACTGATATTGGTTGTAATAAATTATATTAGTATTAGTGTTACCTTCACTTTTGCTAAAGTTTTTTCTGATGGTGGTTATTTCTAAATCAGTGATGTCATTTGAAAATTTGGTTCCTTTTGGACCTTTCTCTTTCTTATCTTTTTTATCATTTTTATTTTTTATTTTATCTATCAAATCTTCGTTTTTACTAGAAATATCTTCCGGATTGTTTACTATTTCGAACAATTTGATAAATCGTAACGTTACTTCAACTTCAGACAAGTTTGATATCTAAATAACATTATAAATATTTATTATAACATATACTCGATTTCTAATATAGACAAGGTTATAGGAAAATATATTATCATTATTAACTAGATTAATTCAAACTGCATTACAAGAAATAGAAATATAAAATAAATGCAAAGTCAAATACTTTCAGTTGTAATTCTGCCAAGCGATTTCCTTTCACTTCTAATCTGAAAAATGTAACTTCTGGAATTATATTTACATTAATTGGAACAGCTTGCCCACTTAGAATTAACGGTAATATCGTTGATTTAGTTCGTATTTCAAAGTACTCATTTACCTGAAAAAAAATATATCGTATAATCGAAGAAAAAGGCGTCAAGTTGGCTTGAGTATCGATGACATTCACCATAATATAAATTCACACATAAAATTACAGCGATCTTCCTTTCCAAGCCAACTTGACGCCTTTTTTTGGTATAGTATATTGTATGGATTTATCTAGGTACATTCGTTATAAAAAATGATTAAAAATCTCAATTTTCATTCAAATTGGAACATCAGTTTTTAAAATATCTTAAAAATGTGTTAAAATTTCTAAAATTTGATGCCCTCTTACCATTGGCATAATTACAGGGGGGCCTGGGGATGCCGGGCCCATTCCAGGTACTGCTAGGCACCCCCAGAGAAATCTTGAAATTTGACAGAATTATACCTAGCTCTTAGCTACATATGATTTTTTTTTGCTTGTGATGCAGTTAAAATGACTTAATAGTTTTTTTAGTTAATATTATTTTGTTTTGTTAAAAATGTGCGTTAGTTATAGAGTTGATTGAGATCCGCTGGCGAACACGGTTTGATAACCAATTCTATTTGATAACTAGTAAATGTATTGATAGAGAAATTCATGTAAACGTTTTATTCAAAAAATGTGTGTTTATTTTTTAATATTATTAGTTTTAATTTTTTAAATAACAAAAGGCCCTACCTCACCTGGGTTCAACCTACGGCCCCCCTAGGCTGAATTGCTCGTTACGCTAATGCCCCTTACTTACTTTAATTTCAAATGTACGTGGTATTTAGTTTAATGTTCATGGAATATTAGGACGCCTCGTATAAACTATTTTTAATAATATTGTGACAGTTTTTTGACATGAGTTAAAATAGCTTTTGTATTTTTATTTCTTTTCGAGTGCAATTGAACATACATTTTTTCATAATGAACGAGAAACCTTTCAAAACTAATGCTCCTTTCGGAATAGCCACTAAAAGGTTTACTAAAATAGGGTTCCACCCTGAGCTAGATGTCTCAGGAGCTATGAAGAAGGAAATTACTAAAACTGGTCCTGGAAGTTATAATCCGAAGCAACCAATTTGCTCTGGAAAGTCCAAAAAAGGAATGTCGTGAGTAAATATTTTAAATAGTCTTTTAAACATAAGTATATTGAGACCTACGTCACCGCTATGTCGAAGTAACGAATAGTTCAGTAACGAGTTTCGTGTCCTCTGTCCTCTGTTCGTGCACTTCCAGGGATTACGATTAGTGACAGCGTAAAAGTAACGAATTATCTTAGTAACGAGTCCAGAAGTCAAATGGTAAGCGTTACTTCGATTCCCTGTAAAGTAACTGTTACTTTGTAACAATTGAGCTTCATTCAGAACCTCCCAATTAGTGGAATAAATTAGTGGTTTCAATTACACTTTATACTTTTGAAGCTTCATTCAGAACCTCGAAATCAGTGAAATAAATTAGTAGTTTCAATTAGCCTTAGAAGTTTGTTCACCTAATTTTAATTTAAGCATTCAGAACGTCATAATTAGTGGTAGTAATTTTCAATTAGTCGAAAAAGTTAACAAACTTTTGACATTTTGGCCTTTAATTATCACCCGTCAAGAAAAATTTTGGTTAGAAATCAAAAGTTTAATGTTTTATAAGCTAAATATTATGCTTTCTCTTGGATACAACAGACTACCGCAAGCTGTTGCTAGGATATTTTATTAATTTTAATTGTGTTTTTTTAGACATTGTGAATGATTGTAAACTAAAGCTTTAAGCTTCATTCAGAACCTCGAAATCAGTGGAATAAATTAGTAGTTTCAATTAGCCATAGAAGTTTGTTCACCTAATTTTAATGTAAGCATTCAGAATGTTATAATTAGTGGTAGTAATTTTCAATTATTGGAAAAAGTTAACAAACTTTTGACTTTTCCACTAGTTATACTTCAAAATTTGCGAGGAATGTCATTTTTGCCTTTGATTATAACCTTTGAATAAGAAGACTAAGGAAGGAGCATATCAAAAATCTTATGTACACCGCGATGGGCCTCAAATATGGTCGACTTAAATTCCGGTTTATCAGTTTCGTTCTAATTTTATTTAAAAAATGTAAAACTATGATGTAGGGTAGACGTGGGGTAGACTCAATAATTTGTTGTTTTATTTTACGTTGTGAATAAATGTTGGTAGTTATTAAAATTGTTATAAAAATATATAATTCTAATAAAAATAGATAAGTTATAATAAGTATTTATTAACACAACATCCGATACGCTACTGAAGCAGGTAAGTCAAATTAACGTAAGTACAACAAGTAATAAATGAAAGCTAAAATGCAAGATAAATATATAATTTAGTTAACTTAAGTGAATTTCATAAATGATCGGTTTACTACACGTATGTATATTATTTAGTCACTTACTAGCGAAAAGTTGTTCCATTATATCACTCAATTTTTGCCGAGATCTAACGCACGCTACACAACCAACTATTTTAGAGTCTTTTTCGATAAATCGCGATAATGTCACTGTTAATTTAAGTTCTGCCACAATTTCCATATAGATTTACTACCTTTATACAACTATCAGTAGTAGAATAAATAGTAAATAACATAAAATAAGCTCCGTAAAGATTGACAAATCCACAAAATTTCAAATCAAATTCAAATGTGTCAAATGAATCGTCAAACAGAACTGACAAGGATCCCCACCCTAGAGTGCTTTTTCCGCCCACCATGCATGAATACATGGATAGCATTATGCTCCTTCCTTAGTCTTCTTATTCAAAGATTATAACCCATCAAGAAAAATTTTGGTTAGAAATCAGAAGTTTATTGTTTCATAAGCTAAATATTATGTGTTCTCTATGGATACAACAGACTACCGCAAGCTGTTGCTAGGATATTTTATTAATTTTAATTGTGTTTTTTAGACATTGTGAATGATCGTAAACCAAAAAGTATAAAGTGTAATTGAAACCACTAATTGGGAGGTTCTGAATGAAGCTTCATTCAGAACCTCACAATCACAATTAGTGGAATAAATTAGTAGTTTCAATAATTAGAATATATACGTTTTAGTTTACGATCATTCACAATGTCTAAAATACACAATAATAAAATATCCTAGCAATAGCTTGCGGTAGTTTGTTATATCCATAGAGAAAGCATAATATTTAGCTTATAAAACTTTGATTATAAAACAATAAACTTTTGATTTCTAACCAAAAATTTTCTTGACAGATGATAATCAAAGGCCAAAATGACATTCCTCGCAAATTTTGAAGTATAATTAGTGGAAAAGTCAAAAGTTTGTTAACTTTTTCGACTAATTGAAAATTACTACCACTAATTATGCCGTTCTGAATGCTTACATTAAAAATAGATGAAAAAAACTTCTACCTAATTGAAACCACTAATTTATTCCACTAATTGGGAGGTTCAGAATGAAGCTTTAAGGTTCTGATCCCAATTAGTGGAATAAATTAGTGGTTTCAATTACACTTTATACTTTTTAGATTACGATCATTCACAATGTTTAAAAAACACAATTGAAATTAATAAAATATCCTTATACAGGGTTGTTAACCACATATGACACGGAGAATGAATGACACTAAACGATTAGATTTTTACAAATTATAAGTTTTGGGTTCGTTGAAGGACTATTAGAGCTACAATTTAAAAATATTTTTACAAGATACAGAGTGTCCCAAATAAATAAAAAATATCAAAGTTGTATTTTTTTAAATGGAACACCCTGTATATTATTGCATTTTTAGTTTCTACGATTAAAATAAAGGTAAATTTGATTAAGGTTTATTACACTTAAACCTTACCGTTTTTGAAATATTTTCAATTTTGCGAAATTGCAGTATAAATTTTAAGGCTTCATTTCTCCGAGGGTATCAAAGTTTTTAATACTAAATATTTACTGAAATTTATTTATTGACCAGTTATTGTGTTGCAATAATAAAAATTATACTACCTTATACAGAGTGTCTAAAAATTTATTTTAAATAATTTCTAGCTTTAAACGGCAATAACTTGTTTAATTTAAATGGAACACCCTGTATATTTTATGAGAATCAGATGCACAACTTAATTGTCTATCAAATTGTATTATACCACTTTTTACCTATCCCTTCAAGTTTTCGTAGAAAATGCATTTTCTCATAATTTAGACCTCATTTATACATTACATTAGATAGACATTTTAGATTGTTTTTAAAACAACCAATGTACAAAATGCACAGGCTAGTAATATTATCGTTTTTAGTAAAACGATAATATTACTAGCCCATTTGTATGCAAAAAGAAAACTATTTAAATCTTTATAAAAGAGTATACCATTAATTAAATATACCACCAGTATTTCCGCCCAAATACTAATTAATTACATACTTAATTCTGTTCGTTAATAAATTATTCTAAATAAATGTGGATTTGAATCAGAAATTAATATAATAATAAGTTATGAAAATGAACGTCTCTATTGTTATAAATAAGCATTTGTCAAAAAATGAAATATCATTTTTAAGGTGTTAGTTTTTTACCACACTGTCTAATACACATACATAATTCAGTTTTTTAGTATTTGGAGCAATTATTATTAATCAACACTAACAGTCAATTAATGTAGTTTGAATACTGGAATCATATTAATTGGTCCTCTTTAACAAATATTTAAACAGTTTTTTTTTATTTTTTAATGAAATCTACGAATTATATCGACAATATTAGTATCTGTACTCTTTAAAAATTTGGTACATGTTTAAAAATAATCTAAAATGTCAGTATTCCATGGGTATATTGATAAATGAGTTCTAAATTACAAGAAAATGCATGTTCTACGGAAACTTGAAGAGATAGGTAAAAAATTGTATAATACAATTTGATAGACAATTAAATTGTGCATCTGATTCTCATAAAATATGCAGGGTGTTCCATTTAAATTAAACAAGGTATTGCCGATTAAAGCTAATAATTATTTAAAACAAATATTTAGACACTCTGTAAAAGGTAGTAAAATTTTTATTATTGCAACACAACAACTGATCAATAAATAAACTTCAGTAAATATTTAGTATTAAAAACTTTGATACCCTCGGAGAAATGAAGCCTTAAAATTTATACTGCAATTTCACAAAATTGAAAATATTTCAAAAACGGTAAGGTTTAAGTGTTATAAACCTTAATCAAATTTACCTTTATTTTAATCGTAGAAACTAAAAATGTAATAATATACAGGGTGTTCCATTTAAAAAAAAATACAACTTTGATATTTTTTATTTATTTGGGACACTCTGTATCTTGTAAAAATATTTTTAAATTGTAACTCTAATAGTCCTTCAGCGAACCCAAAACTTACAATTTATAAAAATCTACTCGTTTAACTACAATATTCCGTGTCGTATGTGGTGAACAACCCTGTATAGCTTGCGGTAGTCTGTTGTTTCCATAGAGAAACCATAATATTTAGCTTATAAAACAATACACTTTATCCACGAATCATCTATAATTTGATTATTATGCATGAATTTATGAAATAATAATAATATTCATTATTCACTAGTGATCATAACTATCCACTTAGGAATGCAGAGCACGATCTTTATCTGCCAACCCCGAGCTCAGAACTAGTTAAGGGTTCAATACTGTACAATGCCAAAAAAATGTACAATCATCTGCCTTTGAATATCAAATCGCTTTCATTCTTTCCCGCATTTCGCAAGGCTCTAAAATCATACCTACTGGAGAGAGCCCTATACGCGGTAAACGACTTTTTTGTTGATGTTTGATTATGAACAATTTTGAATTTTAAAATTTTGATCATCTCACACACTGGTCAAAGGTCAAGTATTTAATATCCTATAACTTTAAAATTATATCTATTTACTGCGTACTGTTCTAAAATTGTCCATGTATATTCTTTTTGTAATTTTAAAGACTTAAATTTTTTTGAATTGTATTATTTGTATTGTGTATTTTTTGTTGTTTGTATTTTTTTGTGATTTTGTTGTTTGTGAGTGCTTTGTCGATGAAGCTGTTTTGGCTTTTTGCACAATAAAGCGTTGTTTGTTTGTTTTGTTTGTGAATAATGGTTTCATTATTCACTGCTTCCACGGATATCTCGATCCAAACTCGTCACATTGTGTGAACACAAACATTACCATTAATGTAAATAAATAATTTTTGTTTTAATTAGTATTATTACAATACTATTTATATATATATATATTAATCGGTTTAAAACGTTCTACGTCTTCCGATGCCATCTCTCCATGCCTGTCTGTCTCTCCATGCACCGTCTCCGAGAGATCTTTCCTCCATAAACGTGTCAATCCCTTCCTGCCAACTTCTTCTCGGTCTACCCGGTTTTCTTCTTCCTGCAGGTTTCCAGTTTATAATTTGCTTTGGGATTCTTATTTCTGCCATTCTTTGGACATGCCCGTACCATATGAGTTGACTGTTCTTTATGTCGTCCACTATCGTATGTTTAACTTCCATAATCTCTCTTATGCGTTCATTAGTTATTCGCTCGAGTCTTGATTTGCCTGCTGATCTCCAAAAATCCATCTCTGTAGCTTCCAGCATTCGTTTTGTTGTTTCCTTAATTGGCCAGACTTCACAGCTGTACGTGGTTATACTCTTTATGATGGTATTGTATATTAGAGTTTTGTTCTTGTTGTTTATGCTTCTGTCCCACAGTATCCCATTCAATACCGTGATAGCAATACTATTTACTACTATTATTTAGTAGTTTTAATTATTATTATTACTACTACTATTTAGTAGTTTTAATTAGTATTATTTGATTATAATAATTTATATTTAGATGGTCTAATAAACTGGAATTAGAAGAGTTTTCCAAATTTCTTGGCTTTAAAAATGCTCATATATTACGTGAAAGAATATTTCAAAAATCGTTGCGTGGACCCGGATCGCAAGAAATAAACGAAAATCTTTTTAAGACCAAGTCGGCATCTGCGTTCGAAAATGTCGGATTCGGATCTGGTAGTAGAATGCATAAAGAGATAATGGGACAAGATTCCCCTCCGCCAGGTAGATAAATATACCGGGTGCCTCTCAAAAGTGGCTCACCCCTATAATTTTATTTTATAAACATATATAATAAAAAACGAGATTTTGTACGTTACTATATGACATATATTAGGATTGATTGACGTAATCAATTGTTTCTGGTCATTTCCTGTTTCACCGGAAATGAAATTGATTTTTAAATGGCACCCTCGGTATTTTTTTGCTTTATTCGATAGAAAATGAGATTCTGAATAGAATGACATATCATATGTCAACTTTTGACATCCTCGCTAAATAAAAAATCGTATTTTAAAATTCAATCTAGATCGAGTGCCATGGCTATGTTAAAAACACTAATTCTTAATCAAGGAGCCCAAGAAAAATAGATTTGACCGTTTAATGTTTTTAATGTCTTATCCTGGCTAGTTAGAAAATGCTCCCAATCGTATTTTTAATAATATCTCAGTTTTATCAAATGGAACGAGGGTGGCTCATTGGCATATTGGAAAAAGTATTTTTCTACGAATAATTTGATACTACACACTTGATATTTGGAGTCAAATTTTCGTTACGAACAGCAATTTATAATTTCAAATAAACGATATGCGAAAATGTCAAAAGTTGACATATGATATGTCATTCTATTTAGAGCATTATTTTCTATCAAATAAAGTAAAAAAATACAGAGGGTGCTATTTAAAAATAAAAAGTTGTAGTCATTTCCGGTGAAACAGGAAGTGACCGAAAACAATTGAATACGTCAATCAATCTTAATTTATGTCATATACTAACATACCAAATCTCTTTTTTTTTATCTGAAAAAATAAAAAAGTTATAGGGGGTGAGCCACTTTTGAGACGCACCCGGTATACAAGATAAATACATTAGTATTATAAAAAAATTGTGCGTGCACTATATGCGCATGTTTGAAGTGAAACTTCTTACCAACAGCCATTAAATAGCAGGATTTGAAGGACAGGTTTGAAAATGCGTAGTTTGAAATGTTTGGTTAAAAAAAAGTTAAAAATTAAAAAATATATTTCTTTACACGTAAAAAAATAGTTTTTTACCTGTAACAAATATTTTTTTACGTTCAACAAATAGTTTTTTAAACACGTAAAAAAAACGTTTTTTGCATGTAACAAATAGTTTTTTTTACATCTAACAAATAGTTTAATACGCGTAAAATACTAACTGTGTGTGACACTAGGGTGTCCGTTATTTCCCAAGTTGATATTTTTTTTAATTAATTCGATACAAGTAATATTTAGGATAAAAATCACTAGAAATTTGTCCATTCTTTTCAATTGACGCACATATTTACGAACACTGAAAGGCAATGAAACAATAACCTTAAATTATAGTTTTGATCAATTGTTCATAGATGGCGCAATATTAGTTTTCCATATTAAAGTTGGTAATGAAGTATCGTTTTATTGAAAAAAGTATGGCTGTAGATCCTTTTTTAATCAAAATCAAAAGGCGCAATTAAAGTTGATCATATTTAAACTTTAATGCCTCGGAAAGTATCCATTATTTTCGAATAAAAGGAATGACTAAAATATTTTTTATTTTTAATGAAAAAACTATCCAAAATCGAATCCATATTGGTGCATTTAGACTTGAGCACGTACGAGCTGAGCGTGCGCGCACGGCATTCGTTTGCGCTCTCGGCTCCGTTTAAATTAAAAACTTATTTTTCGACGAATGAAGTGATCCATTTGTGCGCGCACAGCAGAGTTGTATTGGCGAAAATAATGGACGACCAAGAAATAGTCGAGGATGCAGTCATTGTTATGCACAGCTTAATTATTAAAAAGGAGAAAAATCGAAAACATCGTTGCTGGTGGCAAACCCAAATTTTTAGAAATCGATATAATTTACTGCGACAACTTAGTGTCTGAGGACGGTTGTGATCAGTTCAAAAACTTTACAAGAATGACCAGACCCGACTTGGAATATTTACAAAATTTAATAATACCAAAAATTACGAACAAAAGATACAAATTTTAGAATAGCAATTTCATTAATATCGACATATTCAATATTAATTTTATTTACAAGATCTTGCCACGCGATTTTTTGATTTTTTAATAATACAAAGAATGTTTAACATCCCATAATATAGGCAACTTTTCATATTCTTCAATTAATAATAACGAAGATTCATTGATCCACTCCATAATTTTAATAAAGAAAACGAAAAAAAATCACACACGCACGCACGAACGCAGACAAAACAAATTGCTGGTGCAAACTGAGCGTTCGCGCACACATAAAATCCCTTTGAGCACGGACCAAAAACCGACACCAGACGGCTCACGTTCGCGGCTGCTCGCGCACAGACAGATTTAGAGTGAGCGTGCGCGCACAGCCGTTTACACTTGAGCATTCGCGGAGGATCAGTGCGTGCGTGCTCAATTCTAAACGCACCATATGATATTCTGGTTTTTGAGGTTTGCCGCTTATATTGACGGCTGTGAATTTTCTTTCAGATGCGTACTATAGAAAACTAATAGAATCATTTTCTCCATCAAAAAAATCATTTTCTACCATACCGATTTTTGAGTCCGACGGCTTGAAAAATAGGTTTAAATCAGAAGCAAGAACTTATCATTTACCGCCAAACTTATATACTCTACGAGATGGGAAACATCTTGTAGATATTACTAAGAAGAGGACGTCCATTAGGTATAATGTATAAACATAATATAAGAAAAAATCCTATATGGGTTTTTCGCCACTGCAAAAACACAAATCTAAGATTTGTCAGCATTCATGGGACACAGGACACAGAATAAATTTTAATAACGCCAAAATTATAATGAAAGAAGCGATAGCCTCTAAAAGAAAAATAAAAGAGGCTTTTTTAATTCAATCTAATAAAAATAAATGTATTGTTCATGCATCTGTAGATGTTAGTAATGTATGGCAATCGCTTTTTTGATTTTAAAGAACATAACATAAATAAACACAACATACGTAAAAATTAAAAATAATCATACAGAAAGTTTGGGCTTTTTGATTTTACCTTATTAAGTAATTGTTATCAGGTAGTAATCGTTAATTTTGAAGTTTAACTTGATATAATGTCATTTTAACAGAACGTCAACGGTTTTTGCAGACGTATCTGTTTTGAAAAACTGTTCTCGAATAGTTGAATTTAACTATTTTAATTAGTTTTTTCTTTATTCTTTGTATTTTTTTGCTTCCCACGACGGAAAGAGATAAACTTTCCGAAACGTTAAGCATTTTTTTGTTGGTTAGGCAAATTTGTATATCTTTAAACCTAACTTCTGACAAGTAGTTTCCGTTTGGGATTAACACAGAAGTGTTTACATAAAATAATTATTTTATTTTGTAGATTTTCTTTGCAGTGGCGAAAAACCCATATAGGATTTTTTCGGAGAGATGAATCCGCCACATAAGTATAGACATTCTTTATAATATACGAGTAATTCTTTTGATTCATTAATTTGAATTTGTCAATTTATAAAAAATACGTAGTCTTTCGTATTGAAAGAACTAAATAATTTAAAGAAATTTAGAGTGTTAACAGTTTTTCTAACTATTATTATATTTAATAATTTAATGTTTTAATGTTTATTTAACAAACCAGTTACTATTATCTTTTAGGGGGCCGTATGACTGTTTTACAGGGCCAAGAGATGAAACAACAATAAAAAATTACTTTGCACGAGCGCCTAGAAAAGGTGCTGATTATTTTTATATTAACCCCAGTAATACTGATCACTTGTTGCATCATCCATCAAAGAAAAGGTAATAATGAGTATATAAGATTTGTTTTGCAACTCATCAGTAATTAAAGGGGCTTGAATTAATTATAGATGTGGTATGTTTTTAAAAGCAAATCGTTTCCAATCAAAACCTACAGAGAGAAGCTTGCTGAATGATCTTAGCTTGTGTTATAGAAATCCGAATGATCCTGGACCTGCGCATTACGATCTAAGCGGTACAAACTGGTGAATATACGTCATTATATTAACGTATATATAGTCTGCCCAAAAAGAGAGTGATTTCAACAGACGACATCCATAAACGACGAAAAATGTTATTCTAGGTTACAATTAAAATGACATAAAACAACTGTCACTTTTATATTTTTTTTTTGCTGGACAAACTATACGCAAGTATTCTTGGACATAATCTGTCCGGCAGCATAAAAGGGCGATAGACGATTTGTTAAGAAGAATATTAGACATAACTGATAAAAAACGAGTTTCAAAATGGTTGCCGGGTGATCTTTATTGTTTTAAAATAAAAATATTATTGAATTTCTTCCTTTTTAAGGTTTTTTGTTCGATGGACTATAAAGTCTGCTCAGTCGAAGTCACGGAAGATGTCGGCAGACAACATCGAAAAAGTGACTGAAAATACAATTTGTCTTTAAATTGATACGACGGCGACGGACACAACTGTCAGTATCAGGGATCCTCTCTTTAGCCAGACTATACTTAATATTCTAACATGAACTAAGATAATTACGTTTTCGCTAATAGCATTAAAGTAAAGAAGAAGTCTCTTCATCCATTTGATACTTCGAATATGAACGCAAGACCGCCGATAGACTGGCGAATATCACCTGGTCCAGGAAGATACACTCCCAAATTACCACGATGTATGAAACAAAAAAGACAATCTTGGGTATTTCTATCCCAGCAAGATCGGCAACTTTATAAAGTTATTTCCTATTCATTGTATAAGTAAGCAGTTAATATTCATTATATGAATATAAAAATGTCTTGTGATCGTTTTGCATTTTAATTATTCGCGTTATTATGCAACTCCTACTTAGTTTAGAACAACCAGGCTGGTAATATAGATTATGAATACAATTTTAAAATACCAAGCGTTATTTCATAATTTATCTGGATACGATGGTCCTTTTATTTCTTAACTTCTTTTGATCTTCAGTCATATAATGTATACTTACTTAGGTAGTATCTAAATAAAATTATATAATACTTTTCTTTGATAAAAAATTAATATTGACAAGATATACTTGAAGGTTACATTTGACAAGGTTACATTTTAGATAACTTCTATCATGAATTTAACTTATAACTATGATAAAAGAATTTAACCAAATAAAATTATTATTTTTTATAACCTACCTGACCAACGGCATGTGGTGAAAATTTAAGAGGCAAATTTAAGAAATGTTCAGCTGGAACCTTAAATTTTGGAACACAAGTAATTGAAAATGATCCTAATGGATCAAGAAGGGACGTCCTTAGTTGTATACTATGATCTGAAAAAGCAATGTTTTCTATTAATAATACGAATATTATAACGAAATTGTATAATTTTTGTACAGGGTGCTATTTTCGTTTTTTGGGGTATCTCGTTTATGAGTAGAGGACAAAGCAAAATAAAACACTAAATCACCACAATACACCAAAACACTTTTACACTGGACGCGCGTTTCGCTAACCATGTTAGCATCATCAGTAGATGATTATAAACTAAAATACAATCTACAATTGGAGCGTTTATATACTCGCTCAGTGGGCACATTTATTAATTCTGATGCTTTCATATGCATCTAATTGCCTGTAATTTAAGACTTGTTTAAGTAATTTTAAGTTATTAAGATCTATACAATGTTCTTTATCAACAATATGTTCGGCAACGCAAGATTTATCAGGTCTACCATATCTTATCTGAGCTAAATGTTCTTTAAATCTAGTTAATATTGATCTTCTAGTTTGCCCAACATATTTCTGATTACAATCTTTACAAGAAATTTCATAAATACCCGACCTTTCAAGTAGAGGTGTTTTATCCTTTGGATTACCTAATAATTGTTGTAATTTATTATTAGCCCTATACACAAGTTTATAATTGACATTCTTAAAAATTCCTTTTAGACCACGGGATAACTGTGTATCAAACGGTATTGAAAAATATTTTGATGTATCTTTCTCCACTTGAAAAGTCGAATTTTCAGAAATCATTAACCTATACCTACGTTTTCTAATTATTTTATCAACTAGTGAAGGAGAATATCCATTACACTCAGCTACAGTCCTAATGTAATCTCTTTTTATTTCATATCTTTCGTTGGAAAGTGGAAAACTAAGTAATCTATGAACTAAGAAATTTAAACTAGCCATTTTATGTTCAATACTATGATATGATTCATGAGGAATATATCTGTGTGTAGCGGTATTTTTCCTATAGATATCAAAATCCAGGCAATTATTAGTATTTCTAACAACTAATACATCTAGAAATGGTAATCTGTCGTTGTTCTCAATTTCATGTGTAAATTTAATGGAAGGAAAACGATTATTTAACTTAGAAATAAAATTATCTATGGTGTCTGAATGTATGTCAAAAACAGCAAAAATATCATCCACATACCTAAACCATACTCCTGGAAAATACTCAAACTAGCCTCCACTTCAAACCTGCTCATGAATAAATTAGCCAAAAATGGAGACAATGGATTACCCATTGCTGTACCTTCCCGCTATTCAAAAAAGTTGTTATTAAATTGAAAACAATTTTGTTTCATACATAATGATGTAAGCTCAATATATTCAATCACAGTTTTGTTGTCGAGACCATTTGCGTTCAGTAATTCCTTCAAGTAGCCTAAAGTATGTGGGATTGGAACACTTGGGAACAACGAAGAGGAGAGGACCAAAATTTCACCTTCATGCAATGTTATATTTTCAATTTTGTTAATGAATTCAATATTATTTTTAACTGAGAAAGAAGGTTCACAGCCGAAATAATTGGGCGCATAGACTTGTCCGGTTTATGAATTTTTGGCAACGCATACAATTTTGGTAATGAGGGATTGGATACTTGCAATTTTCTCTTTAAAGAAAAATCAATAAGGTTGTTACATTCTTTTAAAGTTTTTTTAACATCTGTTACCATCTTAGACAAAGGATTCTTTTTCAATTTTATGTAAGGACCATTATCGATTAAGTTGTTAACCTTATCGTAATAGTCTTTTTTATCTAATATAACAACCTTATTTCCCTTATCAGCTTTTAGGTAGAAACAATCTTTGTTACGCAAACTCTTGACAATATTGTGCTCCTTGTTAGATTTTAATGATTTACTTGAAACGATATTTTTTGATAACTGATTTCTACAAGCCTCTCTTGTAAATACCTTAGAAGCCTGGTGTAAGTGCTGAATAGCAGTTTCAACACCCACGACGATTTTCTCCAAAGCGCTACCAGAGTTAGGTAATGCAAGGAAAACGATTATTTATATTCCTAATGATCCTATCATATTCCTAATGATTCCTATCATAGTATTGAACATAAAATGGCTAGTTTAAATTTCTTAGTTCATAGATTACTTAGTTTTCCACTTACCAACGAAAGATATGAAATAGAAAGAGATTACATTAGGAATGTAGCTGAGTGTAATGGATATTCTCCTTCACTAGTTGATAAAATAATTAGAAAACGTATAGGTTAATGATTTCTGAAAATTCGACTTTTCAAGTGGAGAAAGATACGTCAAAATATTTTTCAATGCCGTTTGATAGAAAGTTATCCCGTGGTCTAAAAGGAATTTTTAAGAATGCCAATTATAAACTTGTGTATAGTGCTAATAATAAATTACAACAATTATGTTAGATAATCCAAACGATAAAACACCTCCATTGGAAAGGTCGGGTATTTATGAAAATGCTTGTAAAGATGTATGTAATCAGAAATATGTTGGGCAAACTAGAAGATCAATATTAACTAGATTTAAAGAACATTTAGCTCAGATAAGATATGGTAGAACGGATAAATCTTGCGTTGCCGAACATATTGTTGATAAAGAACATTGTATAGATCTTAATAATTTAAAATTACTTAAACAAGTCTCAAATTACAGGCAATTAGATGCATATGAAAGCATCAGAATTAATAAATGTAAAGATAGTATGAACAGAGACAACGGTCCAATTCCTTCAAGTTCTTTGTTCCTACTACTCTAGTTGCGGAAATCTAACTGTTACGCTCGGTGGGTTCGGACTCGGTTGGCTAGATCTTGCCACGCCCACTCTATGGCCACTGAGCGAGTATATAAACGCTCCAATTGTAGATTCTATTTTAGTTTATAATCATCTGCTGATGATGCTAACATGGTTAGCGAAACGCGCGTCCAGTGTAAAAGTAAAAGTGTTTTGGTGTATTGTGGTGATTTAGTGTTTTATTTTGCTGTGTAACACCAAAGGTTCCAACCCTCAACTGTAATAGAGGACAAAGATGAGGTTTTTACATCATTAATGCTACTTTTTTATGAACCTAAAGATACACAGTGCTGCCACCATCGGAGAATATCGTAAACAACTAGTACATACAAATACACGGGTTTAAATACCGAGTATACGAAAAATGTATTATTTAATTTTCTAAAAATGTTAGGAAGTACAATTTGTGAAGATTCTAAAAATAAAAAAGTAAATATTTTGATATCTTCAGATGGTCCAACTTGTATAATAATTTATTATTCCAGTGAGAAAAAACTTTTTAGATGAGTTCAGTTACTGTAGCGATGTAATTCTCATTACTATACTTTTTAAATAATTTCCGTTAATATATTCTTAGTTATACGATTGTGTTCAAGGAGTTTTATTTTAAAGAAGATTATAATATGTTAAGCATTTAATATTTCGTTTAAATCAAAGAACTTTTTATGTAGTTTCAGTAAAAGCGGATATTTTGATTATTACAACTCTAGTTTTAAGTTGAACGACTGACTGATTTATAAGATTGGCCTTGTATGGAGCCCTGTTCCTTGTAAGGCCGTTTGAAACAGCTTAATAAAAGTTAAGTTTAATAAATAGTGATTACATCTAGAATAAAAAAAAGTATTGTATATGTTACACAATAAAACAAAGTTTTTATTAATTATTTGTTTCGTTCATTTGTCCAGTAAATGAACTAATAAATAACGAAGTAGAAAAATGCAATAATTTCAAATTCGCCCTGTATTTTAGGAACTAAGATGGCTAGGAGAAATCTGTATGTAGCATCTTTAGTTTCATAAAAAGTGGCATAGTAATGTGAAAACTGCATCTTTCAACCTCTACTAAGCGAGAAACTTGTAACAATCCTGTAAAACACATGAAAATGGGGTGTTCTATTTTCGTCTGTTGTATACTTATTTATTGATAAGTTAAATATTATTTACATACATTTTATGTTTTGAAGCGTAATAATTTTGAATATAGAACCTCCAACTGCACACCTTCCAAAGTCTATCCTTTGAAGATTTAAGTTTGTGATGAAGTCGGGTTGAACAACTCTACAATTAGCTTGGAAATACAGTCGAAATTCCTTTCTATAAATTAAAAATTGCAATGAATATGTATACCGGGTGTTTCTCAAAAGTGGCTCCCCTTATAACTTTTTAATTTTTTCAGATAAATAAAAACGAGTTTTAATGTTAGTATATCACATAAACCAGGATTGATGACGTATTCAATTGTTTTCGATCACTTCCTGTTTCACCGGAAATGACTACAACTTTTGATTTTTAAATGACACCCTTGTTTTTTAGTTATTTTTGATATAAGACGATCCGACCGAAAAGATTAATTCACGAGCGATGAAATCGCGAGTGAATTAATTTCGGGAGACGATAATGCAATTTTATCGTCGTGTATAAAACAATATTTTTTTCCATAGCGAGTTACGTTTTAAAAAATATTCAGAAATTATTATTTAGGAAGGAATTTATTACGAGTAGAAAAAATATTGTGCTGGGTTGGCGTTGGTTTCTATGTAATTTGACAAATAAATAAAGCTGTCTTTTTAGTTGTCAGTTTTGAGTCAATATTTTTTAATTCTCTTTCGTGTCGATTGCTGATTGAATTGGAGCCAGAAATGGCTCAAAGCGAAATAATTAAATTATCAACAGATATTCAGGCTGAGGCGACAAACGCCATATCCAAACTACTTCCATTTAAATCCCGAATAACTTATGAAAAGGAATACAAACATTTTAAGCGGTTCAAGTATTATTTTATCTACTATTTTTGATAGATATAAGGCAATTTTAACAGTTGCTATGGAAAAAATAATTTTATTCGATAAGAAATGACACTCTGAATATATGATATAAAAATGTTTTTTCCAAATATTGTAGTTGTAGTCATATAATATTTCCAAGTTGTAGTCACTTTTGGTGAAACAGGAAGTGAGCGGAAACAATTGAATACCTCAATCAATCCTAATTTATATCATATACTAACATAATCAAATCTCGTTTTTTTATCTGACAAAAAAGTGGCTCCCCTTATAACTTTATTATTATTTAAGAAACATTTGATTATATTGCAATTTTTGAGAAACACCCATCATATGGTATGTCCAATGAGCGAATATAAATGACAATGGCAGTTGTCTTTCATTTTCGTTCCAAAACCATAAATTCAATTTTCTGTCAATTTTTTAATGTCCTCTGTCAAAATCATGTATTTTTTGTTGATCAGACTCTAGTTTGTTAAATTTGTCAGACTGTAGTTGTTATATTAAAACACTCAATGTGTTGAAAAAATATTCCAGACAAAATTTTATTAATTAAAATACTTACATTGTATCATCATTTTCGTAGACCGTTTTACATATGAAGTTAGCTTTAATATAATATGGTTCCATATTTCTCCAGTAAACCATTTCAGCAGGAAAAAGATCTAAATAACTATATTCTAAATCTTTTTCTGGTATTACAATAACTGGCTCTTCTTCAGCATCTTTTTTATCTGTTTCCATCTCTTAAGAATAATTATAGGTATGACAATTAATTAAAGTTTAGATCGATTAAAAATATATTGATAATGTTTTTTTTTATAAAAATGAAAATACAACTTGAACTCAAACCCAATAAAACATGTTTATTTTATATTTAATAAGGTATAAAAAATAAATAGAAATATTAAATTCTTTTCCTATTTTTTACAAAGCTAAATTATTATAGAAATTTTATGACATACCATTTTTTATTTTCTTTTTTGGGGTAGTCGTCTTTTTGCCCTTTTTAGAATTTTCGCTTTCTTTAGATTTCACTGTGCCTTTAGATTTTGTGGATTCAATTGATAATTTTTTAGATTTGTTTTTATTTTGTTTACCATACTTCTTCCCCTGGGAGGCTTTAAATTCATTTAATTTCATCTCGTACAATTCTTGATATTTTATTGATTTCGCCGTCTGATCGAGAATATCTTTAGGTATCAAAGGGTTTGCCAGTAGGGTCAGTTTGATCGACTAAAAAAATAATGTAAAATTACTTATTAAATTTATTATCATCTTTTTTAAGATGAATGTTATATTTTATAATGAATAATAATTAACATGATGTATCACCGAAGGAATAACGGAATTTCTATAACGGATCTATTTATGGCAATAACTGGAAGATATTGGTATTTTTTATGAGCTATATAGTATTCTATAGTAATTATAGTACTCTACAGTAGTACTCTATAGACATTCCAAAATTGACATTGAACATAATTTGCCTGTGAATTAAAATGATAGATATATCTGTCCTTGTCGGGGATCCAACCGGGAGACTATAAATAATTTTTTCTGTCTTTAAAAATAAGTAATGGTTAAAAGTGTTTTGCTTTGGTGTATTGTGGTGAATTAGTGTTTTATTTTGCTTAGAGGCTGTCTTCAGAGTGGCTTTTCTAGATCAATTAATATTTAAACAAAAATAATTTTACTTAATTTTTCCAAACCCTAATGAGTTTAAATTGTACTACAACCTATTTTTTAGTTGGCCTGCTCATATTTTTTGTCTCTATTAAAAAGGACTAGATATCTTTAATCTGTGGTTTATTTATAAGATACTGGTGGTTACATATTAAACAGACACAATTAGGATAACATTAACCATTAATCAGCCTGTAGAATGTAGAATGTTTGGGAGGGGGCTTAATCACTGCGACCTTACAGATCTATTGTGTGTTTCCCTTTCTTGAGTTATAGTTTACGTAAACGGAAAGGAAACGGAAAGTAGCGGATACGGAAGGTATAGTGAGAATTAACCTTAAAGCTTCATTCAGAATATCGAAATTAGTGGAAAAGATTAGTGGTTTCAATTACACTTTATACTTTTTAGTTTACGATCATTCACAATGTCTAAAAAACACAGTTAAAATTAATTGAATGTCCTAGCAACAGTTTGCGGTAATGAGTTGTATCCATAGAGAAAGTTACAGCAAATTACGCCACCTGAATCCCCAACGGGAAATTTAAATTCTAGTTAGTCAGCCTAGCGCCGAATATGTCCATGGTTGACAACAGTTTTCAGAGTTGTTTTAATACGTAAAATGTGAACGTCTTGTATGTGTGATGTTATTTTAATTTACGACGACTGCAGAATCATTGGGAAAAAGCAGTTCACAATAGAACTCAATGGAGAAGAATTGTAAACTCAGTTAACATCGACAACCAAAAAGTAAAGAGGCAACAAAGAAATGAGATTTTTGAATGTCCGGAGTGCGGTAGGCAAATAACATCACGTATCGGGCTTTTTAGTCACAGAAAGAAAACGCCTTGCGTGACCAGCTTTTGATGCGTGCCGAATACTCGTCAGCGAGTAATGGCAGTATGTATATGTATGTATGGATGTATGGTTGGCAACAATAAATTTAAAAATCGCGCCCTCGATTACGTAACTAAAAGGTTAATTGGTATCAAATATATATACAAATTATTACATACTTGACCCGTTTTGATTATTCCACATCTTGGTTCAACTGATATTTCGGAGTTATCGCTGGATATATTAAAACGTATAGTGATATTCTCTTTGTGCTTAGTCTTTTTGTTTAATGTTTCGCATTCTAGTTCCATTCTCTTTCTGATCATATTGAGAAATATTTCCATCGTTGAATAGGAGCCACAAGGTGTGTCGGGAAACTCCACTAGTTGATGGGATAATTCAACTAGAGGTCTTTTCAAATTTACCTTTAACCAAATATCTTTACGACTACTGGTTTCGAGAATAACGAAGTTTTGTATGTTTAAAGCAGAAAGATTACACTGTGTGGTTTCATCTACTTTGGTTTCATTGTCGGTTTGTAGTGTTTTCTCTTCTAGGAAGGAAAAAGAAAATAATATAAATGTAATTAAAAATTAACAGTGATTATTCTTTAGCCTTATACATATATTTTTTTTAATTGTTTCTTGGGTCTGGTGGCTATGGTTAGATTAAAACAATAGTTTTTCGACGACGTTTCGTATTTATTGTATCATGCTTCTTCAGGATTTTTTTTTGTTTTTCCTATGTCTTGGAGTGTTTAATACCGTTTTAAACCGTTTCTTTACTGAGACTCAGACTCTTTAGTGTCTAATAATAATGTAATTAAAAAGCAGACGAAAAAAGATTCAAAGTCTCGATCTCAACGTTTATATTAAGTTAAACAGTGACACGTGTTCCGCTCATACGAGTATCATCAGACAAATACAGTTAAAGACAATCCACACACACGTTCACATTTTACACATTAAAACAACACTCCTCAGTGTTGTTTTGGAAGTGGGAAAGAATGGGGGCGCCTTCTTTAAGTATAAAAGTAATTATAATCTTTTAATAATTTATTATTTAAAACATTTTAGTAATGAGTTAAAGTTGCCATGCAAATATTTTGAAAAAGAATGTTGGATTTAGGCCATGTTATTATTATATCTTCAAAATAGCGTGTACTCTCGCCTTTGTTCGCGTCCAATTCATCATTTGTAATGGTGATGATAAAGCAAAGCAAGCATATCCATTAACATACAAACTGGAGCAGAATCATAGTTAATCATAGTTAATCAATTACCCAACTTTCAATTACCCAAGACCCTGTATGATTTTTTAAAAAATTTCAAAATATGTAAAAATACAAAATAAATTATGCGGGTCCAAGCGTTTTCCCGAAAGACTAGCCGTGTTTTAAATAACAAATATTGTTTTATTTGAGGGGCGTTTTCACCTTCTTGGAATTTGAGATTCGAGAAACCCCTCCTTATCGAACCTCTACACCCCACAGTCAATCCGTTTGCCAAAAATTAAACGTCAAGCAGTTTAAGCAGAATCGTGATTACTCAATGGTCGTATTTTATGAAACACCCTGTATACATTTTTAAAAAATCTTAAAATATGTAAAACAACAAAATAAAATATACGTGTTCTGTTTTTCCGAAAAACTCACCGGTTTTTAAATAAAAAATATTCTAATATTTGAGGGGTGGTTTCACCCCCTTAGAATTCGAGTTTCGAAAAATCCCTTCTTATCGAACTTCTACACCCTAAAGTCAATCCTTTTTCCAAAAATCAGCTTTTTACATCAAGCGCTTTAAGCAGGATCGTGATTAATCAATGACCAGATTTTTCGACCCTGTATACATTTTTAAAAAATCTTAGAATATGTAAAAAACAAAATAAAATATACGTGTTTAAGCGTTTTTTCGGAAACTTGACCGTTTTTTAAATAAAAAATATTGTAATATTTGAGGGGTGGCTTCACCCCCTTGGAACTGGAATTTCGAAAAATCCCTTCTTATCGAACCTTTATACCCTAGAATCAACCTGTATGCCAAAATTGAGCTTCTTAGGTTGAGTGATTTGAGCAGGATCGTGATTAATCAGTGAGTCACTTAAGGATTTTATATATTAGTATAGAAAGTTCTAGGGTATTTCGCTACTGTAAAGAAATCTACAAAATAAAATAGTTATTTTTTGTAAACACTGCTGTGTTAATCCAACGGAGACTAATTGTCAGCAGTGGTTTACTAATAAACAAATTTGCCTAACGGACAAATTAACGGGGGAGTTCTCTTTCCATCGTCCGTCGGAAGCAAAAAATACTAAGAACAAATCAACAAAGAAAAAAACTATTGAAAATATCTAAATGCAAGTATTCGAGAACACTTTAGTTATTTTTCAAACAGATAGAGTAAAGCCGGGACCCCATTAGGCCACGCCACGCCACGCCACCTCACGTCATGAAGATCTGTGCTTATCTTTTTCCATTTAATTACATTTGTTGCGTAGACACTAGAGCTCACGCCACCCCACGCCATCCCATGCTATCACACGTATGATGGGCGATTCGTCTGTCCCAGATCTCACGTGTACACTCTTTCCCACGTCGCAACACGTGGATTCACGTGGGAATAAGAATAAGTCTATAAAAACCGTTGATGTTCAGTTAAAAATTTCAACACGGCAATAGAAAATTATTGGTATAGACTTGGTTTTACATGAGATCTCACAACTTTTTATAGTGGGAGAATTGTGTTGTGAGAATTGGCATTTTTTACATTCTATGTTTTTGATGGAATTTATTTTGTGTTTTATATAGTGAATTTAATAAATTATTGTAGTCACCTCTTGCTTCTTGAATTTCAAAGAATTCTGCCCATGGTGTTGCTGACAATGTTTTTTTAATATTCGCTACAAAGCCTATCATACTTTGTATTAGCTCTGTATCTTTCTTAACTATTTCACTTAACATCATATCGAAGGAACCCTGAAGTTTTTTTGAGCTGATTTCCTATAAAGCAAATAAACTAAAAATTATTTTAGATACCTACCTTGTTTGCATAATATAAAATGTTTCAAACGGTAATATATTATTCCAGTGAACGAAAATATATAAAATGGAAAATAAAATTCAGCAAAATTTGTAAAAATTACTTCTTTAGTAACAGAAATATTTAGTTAGTTATAAAGGTAATGGTCGTAATAGTAACGGTCCGGTAATAGTGCGTCGGGCATCTGTACATACATATCTCAGGATTATGTAAAGTGATCTGAAAGGAAGCCAAAAATGCAATAATATACAGGGTCTCCCATTTAAAAAAGTCATCCCTATCCACTCATACCTTTTTGAGTTACCCTATAGAAGTTAACATATTTTTCTGATATACATCCTAGTACATACTTTATGTTTGCACTTAAACAAAATTTCCCAATTTTTTATTCTAGCTACGATGCCCGACACGCTATTGCCGGACCCTGTATAGTGAAGTGTGTTATTAATTATTGATTATTACCCGTTTTAATTGTCCAACGTTATATACAGTATCAATTGCTAATTTTAAATAGCATACGCTATTTTTTAAATTCCCCGCGCCATAACTTGGATAATCTTGAATTTCAGGGCTAACGTATATTCGAATCTTTTTACGCCGATTTGGAAACAATCTGATAAACCCATAATTGGGTTCCAGTTTAACACACTAAAATAAAATAGGATAGAGTCCTTTGTCCTTGCTAACATTGTCCTTTGCTAACTAAAATATGGATAAAACATATCGAACCGAATGAATTGAAAATACACTACTCAAAACAATTATTGCATATATTCTAAAAAAATATTTAATTTCAAAAAAACAAGGCACTTCTTAGGTCGGCCTACAATACCAGTATTTTTCACAATTTACCTGGATACAATAAACATTTCTTATTACCAGTACCAATAATTTACGCTATCGAAAGATGCGTACAATTTATCTTAGATAGTAACTATCGAAAACAGGAAATTGCCATCCTATCCGATAGTCAAGCAGCACTAAACGCGATCAACTCAGTAACCATCAATTCGAAGTTGGTCAAAGAATGCCTTGAGAAGAGAAGCTCAACAAATTAGGCAAAGAAAATAAAGTCCTCCTACTCTGGGTGCCTACTCACCAAGGGATAGAAGGCAATGAAAAAGCAAATGATCTAGCAAGGAAAGGAGCGAACACTCCCACTAACTGGACCAGAACCGTTCTGTTTTCAAAACGGAAACCAACTGAAAGCGGAACTGAAGAATCTGGAAAACTGGAATCCGTAACTTGGAATGGGTGTCCTCCAATGGTCTAATATACTCGAAAAAGTTCCTCAGAACTTACGACCGAGAAAAATCAAAGGTTTTCCTTGATTTAAGTAAAAACAATCTCCAGATTGTTACGGGGTTTCTAACAGGACACTGTCTCCTCAACCAACACCTCAGTAGGCTGAATCTGAGAAACAACGGCGAATGCAGATTCTGTGGGGAAAATGGAGAAAGAGCAGAACACCTTACCACTGAGTGCACCAAGACGACGACCATTCGTGCCATGAACTTTGGTACGGCTGATGTGGAGGATGGAGAGCTGGCCTCTGTGGAGCCGTCTCAGATACTGGCTTTTGTTAAAGCCCTGAGACTGTATGATGAGTTATAACTCGTTATAACTCAAAAAAGGGGAACACACAATAGATCTGTAAGGTCGTGGTGATTAACTCTCCTCCTAAACATTCTACATTCTACAACATTTCTTATCACCAGTATTTTTCATAATTTACCTGGATATGACAAACATTTATAATTGGGTAGAGTCTTTCCAACGAGCCAGGGAGGATTTCGACAGACGGTATCCACAAAATACTTCCTCTATGAGATGCTAGACCTTGTCGTTGGCGAGGAAGCTCCCTCAGGTGCTAGGGGGAATCCCCTCTAGCACTTTGGCTGGGTCTAAGGAGCATCTCATTGTCTTGTCCCTGGCTGTAGTGTGTAGTGGCCAGGGAATTACACCAAGACGTATAACAATGCCGGATGGGACGACCCTGTCCGTCATATCAGGCACCCTCTACTGTCTGTGGTCATGTATCACGGGCAGAGGGTGTGGGGGGTCTAAACTTAACCGCCCTGACCAAGAGGCGACAATCTCACCAAAAACTTAAATCCTATGATGCCGGGACCAGGTCAAAGGGATGCGTGGCTCGATAGAAGACTCCTCTACTGGTCTCAACCTTGGGACACCATGGGGCAAACCATTGTATTCTCATCTCCCTTACTTCTACATGCGGGGCTCTGTAGAAGCGGACACCCTTGCGGTGTAATTTACCTCAAATCTAATGAGGTAATAGAGAAAGAGGGATATATCATAAAGAGGTAGATGCCCACTTCTTGGAGGATGAACATCTGTTGTTGGAGGAGGACGGGGAATACCCTGTTCCCTCTACAACAGGAAGATCCCTATGTATAATAAGTTATAGACTGTATGATGAAAGAAAAGAGCTAGTACGGCCTGTGAATATTGCAGCAGTACCCTTGAAAAAAGGAAAACTTAATACACTCTATTGTGAGGGAGGAATATATATGGAGGCTTTCGTGGCGTTTATATCACAAATTCTACGACACAAAGAGCTTGATCAACGAAGGGCTGAAGAATGACCAAATACTAATGTAGAGGGCATCTGCGCCGAAGTGATGCGTGAGCAGTTCCAGCGCAGTTTGTCAGGCAAATAGGGTGGAATTTTTTTAGTTGGTAGGAATCCGGCACACCGCGGTCGCTGGAACAACAGACCAGTTGTCTAAGAAGATTTTTTTACTATCCCCAGAAAAAAACTGTATGATGAGCTATAACTCAAGGGGGGACACAATAGAACTTTAAAGTCGCGGTGATTAACCACCTTCTTACTCATTCTAAATTCTGTATCAACAAAATAACTGAAAATACAATTTACATGTTATATAAAATGATAGAACAAATATTAATTGTGGTGCATCCTCTCATTTGAAAAACTATAATTTTGACATTTTAAGTTTACGAAAGAAGGAGTAAAAATGTCGATACTCAAATTTATTATACAGGGTGCTACAAATTCGAGGTACGAGCATTGGTATCTCGGAAACCGTAATAGATACGAAGATGGTTAAATTGGGGCAAAGTTGCGCCTTGGGCTGTTCACCAAGATGCCATCAAAAAAGTTTTAAAAATTTCAAGGATTGCTGAGTTTTTTGGAAAAAACTGATTTTTTTGAAAACTAATTTTATTTTTTCCTGTCGTTACTTTTTAGAAAATCAAAAAACTAATTACGCATTTTCATAGCCACTTTATTAGGACTATCTGACAGTATTTTTAGATTTTCAAATTAGCTGATAATTTGTGAGATACAGAGGCCAACTTAATTTTTTTAAATACGGACTTGCATTTTTTATTTGAGATTTTGAAAGAACTCAGTCTCCTGAGTACAATGATATGCCACACTTTATACTTTTTTTGTTTTGGGTACCGGGAACAGCAACAAAACTATTTAATTATTATTTAAAAAAATTTCAAGTCCGATTCTTTTTTAAATTGTTTAATCTGATTATATTCATCGCAACAATATTGATCAGTGCTAATTAAAATTGAATAAGGAAAATTGAGCCAATTGAAAGATTCAAATAAATAATATACAGATCAGCAATTTAAAGATATTATTTTTAATTTTTCTTATTGTGAATTTGAAATTCTCAGTGTAAGATCTAATAATTTGCATAATATTTATCGTAGTTATTATGAATAAATTAACTTCTACAAATTAGTTTCTAAAGCTTTACATAGTCTACATGTTCGAAAGGGTTACTACCCTCCCTATTGCACAAATTTATTTTTCGTTCAATTTTATTTATAGCTTTTGAATAGAACTTCTTATACTTTCGAATGCATTTTGTACTCTTTATTGCAACTGCCGAGATGTGTTGATTTCACTTTTGTGTAAAATTTGGACCTGTCGAATTACTTGACGTCATCAGACGGTCCAGGATCCTTGCTTGCCATTATAGTGCTCTACCATTTCCAATCCATCTTCCGGGGAAATGATTTGCAGTGGCGTGCGGTGAAATTTATACAAGGAGAAGCGATTCGATAAAGTTAATAAAAAAAGTCGAAAAATGTGTTTAACAGATCACATATAAACCACTACCTAGATTCATATTACTTGCTATGAATTATTAATTAAAAAGCTTGGTCTCAACATATAGGGAAGCACCGGCGCCGCTTCCCTCGCTTCCATGGACCGCACGCGCCTGATGATTTGATTGTTTATATTATATGTTATTTATATTTTTTTTTTATTATTTTATTGCATTTGATTTTCCGTATTCAACCCACGTCACTGTTAAGTTTGAAAGCTTATCAATATTGTAACGATGAATATATTAAATATTAAAAAAAAAACAGAGCCGGACTTGAAATTAGTATAAATAAATTGTGTCCAAATTTCCAAAACAAAAAAAATATATTAAGTGTGGCATATCATTCTACTCAGGAAATCGAGTTCTTTCAAAATCTAAAGTAAAAAATGCAGGTCCGTATTTAAAAAAATTATCAGCTGATTTGAAAATCTAAAAATACCATCAGATAGCCCTAATAAAGTAGCTATGAGGATGTGTAATTAGTTTTTTGATTTTCTAAATAGTAACGACAGGAAAAAATAAAATTGATTTTCAAAAATATCCGTTTTTTCCAAAAAAACTCAGCAATCCTTGATATTTTTAAAACTTTTTTGATGGCATCTTGCTGAACATCCTAAAGCGCAACGTTGCTCCAATTTAACCATGTTCGTATCTATTACGGTTACCGAGTTACCAATGCTTGTACCTCGAATTTGTAGCACCCTGTATACTTTAGATCTTCTCTAGATCATATAGTCTAGGTTATATACATACATCTGGTAAATTAAAAAATCCACATGTTTGTGTTGCACTGGAACTGTTTGTCAAATAAATATCGGTATAAACAGTTTCGTAGATAGAGCATGTTCCCAAATCCACCATTATTGTATTCAAAAAATTATTAATATTTTCGGTAGATATTGCAGAAATATCCAGTTCATCGGAATTCGTTACGATTGCATAAACAGGTATTTTCAGTGGTGGATAATCTAGATAGTTCTTACTAACGAGCTGTAGATGAATGTAGAATTCTAAAATTGATGTCGATTTACAGAAGTAACTGAAATTGCTTTTGAGCATATAATCGCTAAAAATAATAAATAAAATTACATAATTATTTAAAAAAATATTATGCAGGGTGTCCCAGAAATCACCACAGAAGACACCTTTTATATTATATGAATTTTACATTATCGTTGTGACCTCAACCTTCATTCAGAACCACGCAATTAGTGGAATAAGTTGGTAGTTTAAATTAGCGTAGAAGTTTGTTCCTTTAACTTGAATGTAAGCATTCAGAACGTCAAAATTAATGGTAGGTATTTTCAATTCGTGGAAAAAGTTACAAAACTTTTAACTTTTCCACTAACTATACTTCAAAATTTGCTTCAAGGAATGTCATTTTGGCCTTTGATTCTCATCCGTCAAGAGAAATTCTGGTTAGAAATCAAACGTTGATTGTTTTATAAGCTAGATATTAGACTTTTTCTATATGGATACAACTGATTACCGCAAGCTGTTACTAGGATATTTTATTAATTTTAATTGTATTTTTTAGACATTGTGAATGATGGTAAACTAAAAAGTATAAAGTCGAATTGAAACCACTAATTTATTCCACTAATTCCGAGGTTCTTAATGGAGCTTCATCGTAGACTAGAGAATTACAGTTTTAATTTTACAGGATTATATTTACCATACGAAAAATTTTAACCACATTACACGACTACTTTGTGATGCCAGATAAATCGTCGAAACGTTTACTTCAAACATGTCACACAAATCTTGTGGAATACGTATAGATATTGCTTGACTATTATTAGAATTGTTAAAAACTTCGAAACATAATTTATAGCATGAATTAACTAGGCATGTCCCAAAATCTAACAATATGGGCTTTACTGAAATGAAGGGGCCAACTGTTTCAGCAAATACAGTTATCTCCTGAAATGATTCATAGTTAGACAAACATAATTTTATGTAGTAATAGAAAAAAAACTCAAAATTTAAGTGAGGGTGCAGTCAATAATCACCACACAGGCTAATAAAACTACTTTTTCAAATTTGTCAAGCTTTCGAGAATTTTATTCCCCTCATCAGGAGAGTTTGACTGAGTCAATTAGCAAAAAAAAACATCCTCTGCACAAAAAGGCCTTAAAACTAGCATCATATGACATTGGAATACAAGGACATTTCCTTTATAAAATATTAAAATACATATCCAACGACATTATTTTTCTTTAAACACAAAACAAAAAAAAAATTAAAATTTACTAAACCAATTTCTAGATTGTTGTTTCGAGCTCGATCAAACAGTGACTGAGAGATAAAATTCTCGAAAGCTTGACAAATTTGAAAAAGTAGTTATTGTACGATTTATATCATTACGAAAGTTTTATTTTAAAAATTTGTATCTTTTGAAAAAGGTAATAGATTTAATTAAGAGGTGAAAGAATAAATAAATATCAGCAAAATTTTAACAGAGCTGGTAGAAATGTAAGAACATGACAACGCTGTTTCTGATACGCTTCAGTCCGTCCGCCAAAAAAAACAAAAAAATGTATGGAAGGAAAGGATATGGAAGGAAAGGATATGGAACGGAAGGGAAACTGAAGGAAGCTGATATGGAAGGTATAGTGAGAATCAACCTTTATTAGCCTGTGTGGTGATTATTGACTGCATCCACACTTAAATTTTGAGTTTTTTTCTTAACTTAGTCAGTCACGACTAACTTGCTATTTTTTGTAGTAATATATGTAACAGTAGATATCATAACTATTTTGATTATACCTTTATTTCATGTCCCTATTGATACTTTACTATCACAAGTTAATTTTATTGATATTTATCTATGATTTTTTTAATAATTATATTTTTGTATAAATTATTATACCTGGCAACCACATAATATATTCAAACTTTCATATGGAACATCTTCGTAAACATCAACAGAAAATTTTTCGGAATAGTTGCCAATGTAGGAAGGTTTTTTGAAATGAACTTTAATTTTTTTCTCTTCTGCTGCCTTGAGAGTGATTCGAGTACATTCGAATTCAAAGGTATTTCCTATGTTTTCTAAGCACAGATCTAGGATAAACCGAATACATTCATAATTTTCATCGTTTTCTGTAATGCCGTTAAGTGTTTTTTTTTGGGATTTTAAGTTTTCATCTATGTTTCTGGAATTATCATGTTTTAGGTTGTCCTCTATTTCTAAATCATCCTGTATTTTTTTAACATGTAGTTTACATGGTTTCGTTCCTCTATTGATGAACTAGAATTGGGAAAAAAATAAAATTGAAAAAAAAATGATAATTTACATTATTGCTTCTCAAAAATATATATCACTCTATATTTATTTTCACTATTTACTGCAATATTTAAAAGTTTTTATTAAAACATCATATTTATTAGTAGGCCATGATTGATAATAAAAGAAACTAAAGAATTATTAAAAGTATACTGCTATCTGTCTCTTGTTTTATTTTGGGAGCCGCTAATAAATTCTTTATATATTAGGGAAACTTAACTCTCTACCGCTATTTGTAAATGTTGGAATACGTGTATACATAAGAATAATCTATCGTATCGGAAATTTTAGATATTCCTTTACCTAATTTACGTGAAATATACTTTCAGCAAGATGGGGAACATTCCCTCTTATAACTATGCAAATATTAGAATACTGTTAAATTATTATTTTTCAAATCAATGAATTGGAACCAATGAACGCATATTGATAGCCTCCTCGATTCCCGGATTTCGCCGTTGTCGATTTCTGATTTTGGGAATTTTTGAAATACGAAATATATCGTAGGCACTACAACAATGTCGAACACCTGAAAAATGCTTTAATAATTCAAGATTTAGATATTTGCAAACCCATCCCGTTATAAAAAAAAAGAAAAATATATTCACAGTTTCAGTGGTAACAGTTATTTCAAAAGTAAAATATATCAATCCCAAATAAATTTTAATATGTGTATGACTATTTTAGTAAATACCATTTTGATTTTTTTGTTATTTATCACGGCCTACTAATCAGAAAATGATATATTTTAAATATTGCAGTAAATAGTGAAAATAAATATAGAGTGATATATATTTTTGAGAAGCTCATAGCAAGACAGATCATATGATTTATAAATATACAGGGTGTTCCATTTGAAAAAACACAACTTTAGTTCATATTTTCAAAAATATTTTTTTGGTAGAAAAACAGACTACGCCACTGTATTCTACGTAAAAAGTTCTACAATAAGCAGTTTTCGCCTTCTCGATACCTTTAACAATAACAGAGATACAGGGGGTGTCCCAAATTGCAAAATTTTCGAAAAGACCCTGTAGCTCAGAAATGAAGAGGGCTATGAACATTTTGTTTGCAGCATCTTCCGTTTGACGAAAAAGTGGGACAGGTTTGTGCAAACCGCACCCTTCTATCTTCACTAATAACGGAGATACCCTATGATTTCAACCAAAATGGGACACACTGTACAGGGTTGTTCACCACATACGACACGGAGTATTGGAGCTAAACGATGAGATTTTTACAAATTGTAAGTTTTGGGTTCGTTGAAGGACTATTAGAGCTACAATTTAAAACTATTTTTACAAGATACAGAGTGTCCCAAATAAATAAAAAATATCAAAGTTGTATTTTTTTAAATGGAACACCCTATATTGTCAAGAGCAAGAATTTATGTCGCGACCATGTCGCGACCCCGTTTTAGAGGGTTGCGGCTAGGGACGTTTTAGGTATCGAAGATCATTAAAACAATCAATATATATAAAAACAAAATATAAATTTATTAAAGAATTAAATGCATTAGTTTAGGTAGGAGAAATGTCAAGCAGAATACCTTTTGACCAATAAAATATACTTAGAGAAAATATATAAAAAATATAAACTTACTTTACTGTCATTATGATACTTGGAGAACTCAACTCAACTGAACAGCATGACTTCTTCATTCGTTCTCCCCCGAGAGAGCCGAGACTCTCTTCTCATTTACTTTTTAATTATTCTCCATATTGATATTTACAACAATAAGAATTAAACAAAGTTCACCTTCAGACCTTAGTCTGACGTCAACTTGTTCTAGTTTAATTTTTATTGTGCAAACATTTATATTCTATTTAATATATTGGGTGATTTATTTTAATGATAAATACATAAATTCTTGCTCTTGACAATATATTATTACATTTTTAGTTTTTACGATTAAAATAAAGGTAAATTTGATTAAGGTTTATTACACTCAAACATTACCGTTTTTGCAATATTTTCAATTTTGTGAAATTGCAGTAAAAATTTTAAAGCTTTATTTCTCCAAGGGTATCAAAGTTTTTAATACTAAATATTTACTGAAGTTTATTTACTGATCAGTTATTGTGTTGCAATAATAAAAATAATACTACCTCATACATAGTGTCTAAATTTTTTTTTAATAATTTCTAGCTTTAAACGCCAATAACTTCTTTAATTTAAATTGAACGCCCTGTATATTTTAGGAGAATCAGATGCACAATTTAATTGTCTATCAAATTGTGTTATACCATTTTTTACCTATCCCTTCAAGTTTTCGTCAAATGCAAAATGCATTTTCTTATAATTTAGACCTCATCAATATACCCATGGAATATTGACATTTTAGATTGTTTTTAAAGCAACAAATTTACAAAATGTACAGGCTAGTAATATCGTTTTTAGGCAAAACGATAATATTACTAGCCCATTTATATGCAAAAAGAAAACTATTTAAATCTTTATAGAAGAGTATACCATTAATTACATACTTAATTGTGTTCGCTAATAAATTATTCTAAATAAATGTGTATTTGAATCAGAAATCAATATAATAATAAGTTATAAAATGAACGTCTCTGTTGTTATAAATAAGCATTTATTAAAAAATTAAATATCATTTTTAAGGTGTTACTGTTTACCACACTGTCTAATACACCTACAGTCAGTTAATGTAGTTTGAATACTGGAATCATATTAATTGGTCCTCTTTAACAAATATTTATACAGTTTTTTTTTAATTTTTTAATGAAATAAACGAATTATATCGATAATATTAGTATCTGTACTCTTTAAAAATTTGGTACATCTTTAAAAATAATCTAAAATGTCAGTATTCCATGGGTATATTGATAAATAAGTTCTAAATTACAAGAAAATGCATTTTCTACGGAAACTTAAAGAGATAGGTAAAAAATGGTATAATACAATTTCATAGACAATTAAACATTTTTTTTACAATTTGTAAAAATCTCATCATTTAGCTACAATACCCCGTGTCGTATGTGGTGAACAATCCTGTATAAAGTGTAAACAGAAATCCTTATAGTCCGGTCGACATTGATTTTTAAAATACAATTTTCAAAATGTTTTATTTAAGGAAATAAAATCTATATCTAACTCTATGATATCTAAATATAAAAAATTTAGGATTACATTGTACTGTTAAATATAGAAACGTTAAAAAGGAACAGCAAGCGAAAAAACTAACCTAATATAGAACAGTATTTTATAAACACACAAATTATTATTTGTGTATTATTTACTAGGTATATATTTTATACTTACGTGGATAAATCAACGCCATAAGTTTAGCACTAAACATCAAAGACTAAAAAATATGTCTCCAACATCACGACATGCCATTTTCAAACCTTTGAAACTTGCACTTATGAAACGTTCAATAGGTTTGTCTTTCTCGAGAACCTTACTTTGCGCATGCGTATTAAAAGTTGCACGTATTTCCATAATAATCACAATTTTATACGGTTTAGAAAGTACAAATACATTGTTATGGAAACCAACTTTTCATTGTCATAATCTTGTCATAATCATATGTCATAATATGGTCATAATTGGTCATAATCTTATTTCCATTATTTAAGGACGCTTGTTATTTGCGTTTTTTAATTTAAAAAATGTATTAATTCCTCTTTTATCGACCGCTTTTATATAGCCAAGGATGCAAGTGTGTTCAGTGAGAAGTTAATTTTAAATTTGTGCAATTATATTTCTATTTTTTTTTCGTTGGACTTTCTAAATACTCGTAAAAATGACTAGAGTGTGTGAAAGTTCTAATATAAAGGTCCCCGAATTATCTTTTCATAGAAGTAAAGTATTCAGTTGTTCTTTTATTTATATTAAGCCACATTGCATACTTTCTTGTTAGATTTTCTAAGAATATTGATATTCGTACGGAGAGGCTAAATATATTTTTTATATAATTTAATTTTTGTGAAAGTAAACATTCAATTTATTGTTCAAATAAAGCATTTTACAAATTAAATTTTTAAAATTAATGTTCAAATTTGGCGCGCGGACGATAGGTCCTCTACAAGGATAGATGGAGTAGAAGCATCGCGTGTGCAACAAAAACAGAAGATAAATGGAAATCGTTGATATGTTTGCGACAGTTTCCATAGTGATTTACTTATCCACGTAAGTATATATGATCTAGGATAGAATATGTATTTAATTGTGGTGATTTTTTTAAGATAGTTTAATGTTGGTGCATTAACTGAAAGTCTAAAGGGCCCTTAAATTACCTTAATAGTTTTAAAACTCTTCCCATAGCCTGCTTTCCAAATTGGTATTTTTCCAAAATTAATTGTATTAGGTAATATCTGTAAATTAACGAATTTTGGAAGACAGTTCAAATTTACTTCAAGTTGATGGTATTGGTGCCTTCGAGTATTATAGGAACAAAAAAATATTTTGCCATTATACGATTTAGAACTGTCGTACGGAGAAAAATGTATGTAGAAAAGTGCGGTGCAACCAGGATATAATTTCTTAATTCCCAAAGGGTGTATTTTGAAAAGGAGTTGATCGTATGAATCTTCAAACCAAAACTTTAAAAATCGTAATTTTCTTGTCTCAGTAGAAACGTTCGTAATTCGGATCGATTTTGAATAACTTTTGTGCGTGTCATAATTCTAAAAAAAAATAAAAAAATAAACAATTATAAATTATTAACCCTTTTGCATAGATAAATGAAACAAGTTTATATTGGAAAGTGCCCATAGGGACAATGTAAACACTATTTGACGCCATTCTTACAACGGCAACGGTCGCGATCCAAAGCTTTTGAAAATTTCGGAGCGGTTCGGCTTTTACCGGAATTATATCGCCAAATATTATTTATTCAAATTTATTATTAATTTATTTTAATTTTATAAATAGAATACAGTGTGTTGCAAGCAAGAAACTTTATTTTATATTAGGACATGTATGAAATACCTATGAAACATTGGAAACCGACGTTATGCCACGATCCACCATGGTTTTTGCAGTTTACAGTTCACAGCATAACTTTTTAAGTTTTTAATGCCACTTTTTCGTAATTATCACGGGTTTGAGTAAATAAAACTTAAATTAAACTCACGAGATAGCAATAATTACTTTGAAAATTGACGCTTTAAACACCTTTCGGAATTTTTTCAATGAGAGCGGTTTAGATTTTGAAAGATTTTATAATTTTTGAACATTCTGACTTGACGAGGGATATGGACAAGAGAAAATTATTTCTGTTTTTGTTTGCGGTTGTTCTTAGCAATCGCTATAGCAGCGCCAGATTGCGTACAACGGTCGCGACCCAAAATTTTGACGGGCATTCCAATCTAAATTTATTTCCTTTATCTATGCCATTTTCATTAGTCAAAATTGCAAAGGTAATTTTAGGTAGGTTTCTAAATAACTTTATAGTTATTTCTTTAGTAATGCAAAAATGTATTCCAAATGATTTTGAATTAAAAACAGTAAAGCTTCATTCAGAACCTCCCAATTAGTGGAATAAATTACTAGTTTCAATTACACTTTATACTTTTTTTGTTTACGATCATTCACAATGTCTAGAAAACACAATTAAAATTAATAAAATATCCTAACTATAACTTGCGGTAGTCTGTTGTATCCATCGAGAAAGCATATAATATTTAGCTTATAAAACAATAAACTTTTGATTTCTAACCAAAATTTTTCATGACGGGATAATCAAAGGCCAAAATGATATTCCTCGCAAATTTTGAAGTATAATTAGAGGAAAAGTCAAAAGTCTGTTAACTTTTTCCACTAATTGAAAATTACTACCACTAATTATAACGTTCTGAATGCTTACATTAAATTTAGGTGAACAAACTTCTATGGCTAATTGAAACTATAGTGGACGTCACGAATGTTTGGGAACGATTCATCAGTCGCAGAAGTGTCTAGTTCTAGCAGTCAACTATTAAGCTTGACCAATCAGGTTGGTTAGCGTGGTTATTTGGAGTGTGTTAATTCATTCGTGTTTGTCAAAAACTCTAACGTGATTGGTCGGGCTTAACAGTTGCCTGCTAGGGCTAGACACAAGTATCGGTCGCTACCATGTGAACTAATCTGTTCAAGGCCTTGTTTTAAAAATTCATATACAAGGGTTCAAGGTCACATAAAACTTAATTCCAGTGTCGTGGTGTTTCAAGTCATATAATAATCAATATATAATCTGTTGTTTATGTTTTTTTTGTGCGGATAATCAAAGGCCAAAATTATATTCCTCGCAAATTTTGAAGTATAATTAGTGGAAAAGTCAAAAGTCTGTTAACTTTTTCCACTAATTGAAAATTACTACCACTAATTATAGAATGCTTACATTAAATTTAGGTGAACAAACTTCTATGGCTAATTGAAACTACTAATTTATTCCACTGATTTTGAGGTTCTGAATGAAGCTTAAGTAATAATACAGGGTGTCCTAATATTCCGTGGGCATAGAATTATTACGTATTATTTGAATCAAAATAAGTTCATTGGACACAATTTACCTCTATACAAAAGTGCTTCGTTTGTCCGTTAGAGGACATTAATCAAAACTAAACCCGAACATTAATTACTTTAAAATTTATGAAGCTTATTGTCAATGTTGTTAGATGTTAGTTAGTCTTTTACTAGATTATTAGCCCATACTATAGGCTTGGTGTATTTCAGTTGATTTCAACAAATTCCGATCGCGGCGCACTCTACGGAACAAATCAGAAATTATCAATATATAGTTCATGCCGCCGGCGCTGTCATGTCGATCGCATTAAAATAATATTGAAATCGGGGTTTTGTCATAATATTTAAGTATTTTAGTTTTTTGCTAGTACAGTTATTTAGACTATAAAACACTCAGGTACGAGGTTTGTGTGATGTAACGCTGTTTCGGGTAGTAACAAATAAGTGAAAAAGATTTCGAACTAGGCGTCTTGTTGTGTTGTGACAATTTCAATGTTAATAAAATTGCCTAAAAAAATGTTAACGCGTAAAGGAGAGCGTAATTAAGGCGTTCTTGGGTGCAATAACATTCAATAACTCAACTTTCCCGGATATTCAACTCTCCCGAAACAACACTTTATAGCTTCATAATTTCTTACACCGATTTGAACAATAGTCAACAGTAAAAATGGATTCAAGCAGTTCGACGAAACAAGTGAGTAAACAAAGTGCTCGTTACATAATCAAAAAATTAAATAGACATATACTAAGAGGATGAAACATAATTTGCAATATTAATGGTATACTTTTTTAATCAACTATTGATTAAATGTTTTATGAACATCTTCTCAAATTATAATTATAAACCTTTAAAAAATTTCGTTATAGCCGAAATAGTTCCAGTTATGCCCCACAACATAGCAAAACATAGGCACCCCAACTCTTGTTTAAATCGGAATAACGGTTGTCAAAAAAAATCTTAAAAAATGTGTTTATTTTTTTAAACTTTGATGTTCTCTAACGGACAAACGAAGCACTATTATTGTACAGAGGTAAGTTGTGTCATGTGTAGAGAACCTAACTTATTGGTTCCAAAATACGTAGTATCTCTATTTCAACGGAATATTGGGACACCCTTAATTCGTTAATTACTAGAAACCTAAAGTAAAAAAAAAACAACTTATCAAATCTTTGAATAAAAGCTTTCTGTTACCTTAAATATAACTTCGTTTTGTTTTAATAATAAGCCATAATCTTTAAGGCCATGACTGTCATATCCTTTTTTACAGATTTCTGTATCTTCCAACATAGCATCAAAGTTTTGGAATTCTTCTATTAGATCTAATAATTTTGTGGTATTTTCTGGGAGAACTTTAGATCTTGGATTTATTACAGGTATTACTGGCAATTCAAACTGTTGATGCTTAAATGCGAAATTAACAGGTAGTTTCTTTCGATAAGGTAATGCTTATACAGGGTGGTCCGAACTGTATTTCGGAAACTTCGGCAGCATATTCTGCAGATAAAAATAATTTAAAAAGTTCCTATGAATGTATGTCCTAAAATGCTTAGTTTTGGAGATACAGGGTGTAGAAGTTTTCTTTTTATTTCGATTTTTTCCAAACAATTTCTGAAGTAGCTTTAATATATGGATGAAAATTGGTATCTAGGAGTTTTTTTTGACATGAGAAATTTGATTTTTATGTCAATATGACTTTTAGAGGGCCACCTCTAAAAGTCATATTGACATAAAAATCTTTTTTTAGCCACCTACATATTTTTTAACTGGTTTGAAGAGTAATAACTTTTCGTCCGTACCTGTATAAAACTACTGAGTAATATACATTTGCGACGTTTTTTACGCAAAAAAAGGTCTCTTGGTAAAAATCGCTACGTGTAATGGTTCTCGAGATATTTGGAATCGAAATGATCAATACCTGTCATCATTGACATAAATTAAACATGTTGACTAAATACCTTATTATTGTAAAAAACGGCGTCTAGTTGGCGTGGAAATGACCATCGATGACAGTTCCCATATAATTTTACATATAAAATGACAGCGATCTTCATTTCGTAGCCATCGCTGACGCCGTTTTTATTCGAACATACGATAGTTATTAGATTGAAATCCTAAATTTAAAATGTTTTTATGCCAAAAGTTGAACAGAAACTGTTTTATCATCATTTATGAAATTATTCATATATAATAATAATTAAAAAAAATTCAATACTACTCAACGTGTTTATTTTTTGTCAATAATGCCCATGTTTGGATTCTAAATATCTTGAGAACGGTTGCTCGTAGTGATTTTTACCAAGAGACATTTTTACGCAAAACGTCACGGAAATGTATATTTTTTCACTCAATAGTTTTATACAGGTACGGACGAAAGTTATTACTATTCAGAACAGTTACTATTCAGAACATGTAGGTGGCGTCCCCTGCAAATAGGAGTGACATCACTCATTTTGATTGACATCAAAATCAAATTTCTCATGTCAAAAAACTCCCAGAAACCAATTTTCATCGAACTATTGACCTTACTTCGGAAATTATTCGGAAGAAATGGAATTAAAAATGAAACTTCTGCACCCCGTATCTGTTAGCAATAGTTATTTCACTGAAATAATAAATTTTGGAAATTTTTATTTTTTAAATTAATCATAAATTTTTCTACAAAAAAATGATGACAAATCAGTTTCTGTTGAACCTTTGGCACAAAAACGTTTCAAATTTATGATTTCAGTCTAATAACTATTTAGTCAACATGTTTAATATATGTCAATGATGACAGTCATTGATAATTTCGATTCCAAATATCTCGAGAACCATTACTCGTAGCGATTTTTACCAAGACATCTTTTTTACGTAAAACCCGTCGTAAATGTATATTTTTTACTCGGTAGTTTTATACAGGTACGGACAAAAAGTTATTACCCTTCAAACCAGTGAAAAAGGATGTAGGTGGCGTCCTCTACTAGTAGGAGTCATATTGACATCAAAATCAAATTTCTCATATCAAAAAACTTCTAGACACCAATTTTCATCAAAATATTGACGTTACTTCAAAAATTATTTTTGAAAAAATCGAAATAAAAATGAAATTTCGACACCCTGTATTTCCAAAACTAAGTATTTTAGGACATAGTTTATAAGAACATTTTTACTTATTTTTATCTGCAGAATATACTGCCTAAGTTTCCGGAATACAGTTCGGACCACCCTGTATAATCGTACTCGCATATAATATGTATAACATTTAATAGTAAATTTAAGAATTTTTTTTTAACAAATTATAACTTTAAAAGATGCAAATTTATATTTACTTTGCCCCGTGGCTCCTTTAGCTCTTTTTTAGATTTCTTTTTTTCTTTGTTTTCTTTATCTTGCGTCGTATTTTTATTTTGTTCTTTTAATGCACCCGGCTTTTTAGTTGTCTTCATTTTTGTTTTTTCTTCGGTAGATATAGTTTGTTTATCTGCTTCATTTATTACATCTTTAGAGGAAGAAATTATTTCTTGATTTTCAATTTCTTCTCCACATATCTAATAGAAATATTAATTTAACGTTTAACTCAGAATATAAACAACAATTTCTACTAATTTCTTGACAGGTTATGTTCAGACATGATATACCATACGATCGAAAAAAAACGGCGTCAAAGACGGCTGAGGAATGACAATCGATGATCGTTTTGGCGAGGTCAAGCCCTAGTCAGGCCCTTACTCTTCTTTACTCTTCTTTATTCTTTTAATGGTTTCTAGCAACTTTATGAATGTTGTAATTTATTGATGAATTGAGTAAAGATGATTTTTAAATCGTGTAGTTCGGACAAAAATAATTTTTTGTAACCCGATTTGTGTGTCTGGAAACGTTCTATCCTTTTTTAATCTTTCTATGATTAGTGCTAAAGTTTTACAAGTTTTATGTCAATTTTTAGTAAATGGAGTTTAGAGATTGACCTCGTCAAAATTATCATCGTCATTCTCCAGCCGTCTTGACACCGTTTTGTTTTCGATCATACCGTATTTTTTAATAATTTAAACTTTTTTTTAACTTAATTTAATAGTTCAGTCATTAGGGATCAAAAAAGGGGCCTGCTTGGAAAAAAGTCCGGAAGTTTTGAAACTTTGCAGGTTTATAAGTTTTGGGGTCCCTAACTAAAATCCATAAAATGCACATTTTCAGACATGCCGCCGGCGCCGCCATCTTGCCAAGATGGCGCCCAAAATTGGTATTTTGTAAATATCTCGAAAACTATGCGTTTTTCGTAAAAATTTGAAGAGAGAAAAATTAAAGAGAATAGAATTTCTTATAAAAAGGTTCTATGAAAATTTTCGCGAAAGTCAACCGTTTAGGCACAAAATCCCTGGAAATTTTACAATTTTGCGTGATATATGTACAGTACAGTACGTCTGTCTGTTCTGTAGCTACGGGGTATCCGTGAGAGGGGAAACGATATTCTCACGATATTTTTCGTAAAAAATTAGACGACGCGTCCCATCAATAAAAATTCGACAAATTTGCAAGTAGCTAATAAAATGAGTGGGCGGAGCGATTTGCGGTGACATACTCGTCAAGTCGACGTATAAAATATACTGCTGTTTATTTAAATGTTTTTTATCCGCATTCCTTTCATAGACACAGATCCAGCAGATGTACTGTACGTCTGTCCGTTCTGTAGCTACGGGGTATCCGTGAGAGGGGAAACGATATTCCCCGATGTTTTTCGTAAAAAATTAGACGACGCTTCCCATCAATAAAAATTCGACAAATTTGCAAGTAGCCAATAAAATGAGTGGGCGGAGGGATTTGCGATGACGTACTCGTCAGGTCGTCATAGAGGTTATGTTGCAATGGCGAGCGATACGTCGGATTGCATCAGTGCCGCAAAAAAGTTGAAAAAAGTGTGCAATCACTGCAATAAAAAGGTTGAAAGTGATATAAAGTGTATAAAGTGCAACGGTGTCTTCCATCCAGCATGCTTAAAGCAAGCTGCCGGCCAAAAAAACGCTGTTTGCATTCATGAAGCTGAAATCGAACAAGTAACCTATGAAACATCTGGGAATGAAAATGAACTGTTGAAGACCCTAGTAAAGGAGTTACAAAGTAAGAACAGAATATTAGAAGAAAATGGAGTTTTATTAAGGGAAAAGATATCATATTTAGAAGAAAAAATTAAATATTTGGAAAACAAGAGCGAAAAAAACATTGTAAACAATCGTAGAATAAATAATAGTACTGCGAAATCTCCCGAGAAAACGATGAGCTATAGCTTGGCTGTAGCGAACACTGTAGTCGGACAGGCAAATAACTTATCTAGTATATCACAGATGGCGTCCAGTTCGTCAAATAATGCAGATAATGCAAATAATCAAATGAAAGTCGATGTTTTGGAAATTCCAAGGTCAAAACATCATGACTTACGTAAACGACCACCCAGTGTATCTAAGGAGAACGATGAATCAAGGAAGGATGCAACTAAACTAAAAAAAATAATCAAAAGGAAGAGATGAAGCATCAGAAAAAGAACATTGGAAACAGTGAAGAAAATTCTTCTGTTTTTGTGGGTGTTCCAAGGAAGATATGGCTTCATGTCTCAAGAGTGGCTAAAGGTGTGACAGATGATGTTATTCAAAAATATATACATAATAAAATCAAGGGTGAATTAAGGAATATTACAGTAAAATTAACAAACAATAGTAATGAACAAAACAGCTTTATGGTGGGAGCACCCTATGATCAAAAAGAAGCAGTATATGAAAATAATTTCTGGCCAAAAGGTGTTGCTTACAGAAGGTACAATTTCAGAAGAAATAAAAATAACAAACAGAGTGAATCTTTTTTAGAGAAAACAAACCGAATAGGTTCACAGGATTAACACAGCGAAGTGAAAATTTAACATCTGAAATCACCATAAAATTAGTTCATCAAAATATGCAGTCAGTAAGAAATAAACTCGATGATAACATATCAATTCTTCACTTGAACATACAGAGCATTAACCAGAAGATCCTTGAGCTTGAGGTGTTACTCTCTGATATATCCCCTAGTCTGGTATGTCTTTCTGAGCACTGGTTGCAGGATCTTGGCATGGAGAAGATCAGTTTAACAGGATATCAACTGGTGAGCTACAATTCAAGAAGTAATTTTCGTTGGGGAGGTACAGCTATCCTCTCAAAGCAAGAATACCAATTTACTGGTCTGGACTTGGGCGTATCTTCAATGGAGAAAGTTTGTGAATACTCAGCTTGTGAAATTGCAATACAGAATATTAAATATGTAATTGTTACTTTGTATAGGTCACCAAATGGTGACTTTAACACATTTATTAGTATGCTTGATGTAATTTTGAATTGTATATACTCGCGAAATAATTTTATTGTTGTGTGTGGAGATTTCAACACCGATTTTTCTGTCGCTGGGGATAATAGTAGTTCCTTGGTTCAACTTTTCCGCAGCTTTGGCATGGGGCCCTTGGTGAATTGGATGACCAGGGTAACGGCGAACTCTGCTAGCAGAATTGATAACGTTTTTACCAACATAGACCAGAGTCATTTAATGTGTAGGAATGTGACGACATTCATATCTGACCATTATGGTCAACTAACAACTATCCAAACTCCTACTTCCCACTCCAAGGTAAATTATAAGCGGAAGAGATTCTTCAATGATACCAACATTTTCGGTTTCTGTTCGTATCTGGAACAAGAGAGCTGGGCCGATTTGGAAGAGTACTTGGATGTAAATAGTAAGTACGAATGTTTTTTCCGAATTTTCTCCTATTATTTTGAACTAAGCTTTCCTTTGTGTAACGCTAGGGAGAAGGCGATCCCAGATTGGGTGAATAATGAAATTAAGCACTACTCGGCACATATTAAAGATCTTTACGTTACATACAAACAAACCAATAGTCCAATAATTTACTCTCGTTATAAACAAGAAAGAAAGAAATATAGAAAGTATGTATCTAATTATAAAAAAAGTCTTAATGAGAACAAAATTTTAAATGCAAAAAATAAATCAAAAACTGCATGGAATATTATAAATAAGCAAACTAATAAATCAAATTCGCATAAGGATATTTCAATAAAGTACAAGGACACTAAGGTTCGTGAGCCGAAGGCGGTGGCGGAACTGTTTAGTAAACACTTCAACCTCCCCTTTTCTTACAACGATACTTATATGGATGTTGGTGAATCCATTACACCCACAATTTTTCTCAATCCTGTTAATTCACAGGAAATTTTTAACATTCTAATGAATCTTCCAAACAAGCATTCCGCAGGTCTGGATGATATTCCGGTATTTCTGTTAAAACGCATTGCCTCCTTCATATGTACACCTCTTGCAGCATTCATAAACGTATCCTTCTCATCTGGGGTTTTTCCTTCAGCCTTGAAGGTTGCTAAACTTATCCCGATCCTTAAAGGGGGTAATGCTTGTCTCATGAACAATTACCGTCCAGTGTCACTTTTGTCATCTTTTTCAAAAGTGTTTGAGAGGGCTCTTTGTGATAGACTTGCATCTTTTTTGGATCGAAATAGTATATTATCGGATACTCAATATGGGTTTAGGCCAAAAAAGTCATGCCACCTGGCAATATATAATGTGCTGAATTTTATTATTGAAAGGGTCGACAGAGGTGAGAAGGTAGCAGGTAAATTATGGGTGGAGGCGCCCCACGTCTCGGAACGTCGCTAAACGCTTGCCGTCAGTTGCGATGTAGCATTTACAGTGCTGTGAAGCCAATTCTGTTTTTAAAGCCTATTTTGTGCGTTTCAAACTTCTACGTGGCTGCAATAGTTAACCACGCTCTCGACCACGCTATATTGAGGTAAGTATTATGCAGAAGTTCGTATATATATATTATATATTTCGTATATATATATTATATATTTCGTATATATATATTATATTATATATATATATATATATATATATATATATATATATATATATATATATATATATATATATATATATATATATATATATATATATATATATATATATATATATATATATATATATATATATATATATTTGTTTAATAAACAAAAAAGCGTATTATTGTTGTGTTGTGCTTATTACCACTTATAGCATAGACCATGCGCATTTGAGAAAATACAACAATTTTTGAAATAAACACGATTTAAAATTCAGAATTGGGCAAAGTCACCCCACTTCACGGTACACATTTTCAATAATTAAAATTAATTATTCATAAATTAATGAGTGAATTAATGATACGACACTGTTTCATGACAAAATTGAAGAAACTAAACTAAAACTAGTTTTAGTGAACCCTAATCGACATTTGATTTCGGAAAATCCACTATACGTAAAGTACGTCTGCTGGATCTGTGTCTATGAAAGAAATGTGGACAAAAAACATTTAAATAAACAGCAATATATTTTATACGTCGACTTCATTGTAAATTGCTCCGCCCACTCATTTTATTGGCTACTTGCTAATTTGTCGAATTTTTACTGATAGGACGCGTCGTCTAATTTTTTACGAAAAACAGCGAGAGAATATCGTTTCCCCTCTCACTGATACCCCGTAGCTACAGAACGGACAGACGTACTGTACATCATATTTTACGCAAAATTGTAAAATTTCCAGGGATTTTATTCTCTTTAGTTTTGCTCTCCTCAAATTTTTGCGAAAAACGCATAGTTTTCGAGATATTTACAAAATACCGATTTTGGGCGGCATCTTGGCAAGATGGCGGCGCCGGCGCCGGCGGCAAGTCTGGAAATGTGCATTTTATGGATTTTAGTTAGGGACCCCAAAATCTATAAACCTGCAAAGTTGCAAAACTTCCGGACTTTTTTCCAAGCAAAAATCCCCAATGACTGAACTATAATAATTAAACTTAATTTAATAATATTAAAATTAAATTAAATTAATTTAATAATTCATTATTTTTTGACATTATAAAACGTTTTCTAATAATTTAATTTACCAACTCTATTTTTGTGCCAACTATTTCCATATTATTAATAATTCTTTCTGTATCTCGAATTTTAGGAACAGAAACTTGTGGACGTTTTTCTAGCTTTTTTGCCTGCTGCTCATTAACTAATTTTCTTAGAATGTTCGTCAGATTTTCTTGTCTTCTTTTTTTTGACAGATATATATGTCTTTCCAAGTTTCTCAATCGTTCCAAAACCTCAGCTTGTGCTTTATTTTTAAAAGAATATAAATCTATATTTAGTTTTTTAGTATATTTGTTTAACAGTTTATTATTTATATTTCTCAATTTTTTTGCTTGGTTATCTTTAGAACATTCAAAAATTTGTTTTGCTGCCTGAATTTTTTCCTAAAAATAATTATGTTAATATAGTTTATTATATACAGTGTACATGAGTGGAATAATATGTATATTTCAATCACACTATACCGGGTGCGTCTCAAAATTAGCTCACCCCTAGAATTTTTTTAGATAAAAGAATGGAATTTGGAATGTTAGTATATGACATAAATTAGAATTGATTGACATATTCAATTGTTTTGGTCGCTTCCTGTTTCACCGGAAATGACTACAACTTTTGATTTTTAAATGACACCGTCGGTATTTTTTTACTTTATTCGATAGAAAATGATATTCTAAATAGAATGATATGTCATATGTCCACTTTTGACATTTTTGCATATGGTTTATTTGAAATTGTAACATTATGCGGTTCATAACGACAATTTAATTCGAAATACCAAGTGTTACCAAATTGTTCGTAAAAAATGCTTTTTCGAAATATGCTAATGAGCCTGCACCCTTGTTCCATTTGAAAAAAATTGAGATATGATTAAAAATACGATTTGGGCATCTTTTAACCGGCCAGGACAAGACACGAAAAACATTAGACGATCAAATCTATTTTTCCAAGTCTCCTTGATTAAAAATTTGTGTTTTTAACATAGCCAAGGCACTCTAGATTGACATTTAAAATACAATTTTTTTAAACGAAAAAATCAAATTGGTATATGATAGTGTCATTTTCTATCGAATAAAGTAAAAATATACTGAGGCCTCTGAGGGTGACATTTAAAAATCACTAAAGTTGGTAGTAATTTCCGGAGAAACAGGTAGTGACCAAAAGCAATTATTGAGTACGTCAATCAATCCTAATTTATGTCATATACTAACATACCTACCAGGGCAACGGCCCAGCTACGTCGAAACACCGGTTCCCATTAGAACACCGAAGTTAAGCGACGTAAGGCGATGCTAGTGGGTGGACGGGTGACCGGTTCGAAACTTTGCATCGTGCTGTTGTCCAAAAGGGAAAAGTGTAAAATCTATTGATACACACTGCTCATTCACGCCGGTTCAAGGCCGGATGAGATCGGATATCTCGTGAGTAAGAGTTAATTTAGACCACAGATTTAGTAAGAACAGATATCACATTGTGCATTTTAACCCGATCAAACAATCGGAGGTTGACTACGTACTGTAAAAACCAACTGAGATAGAGAAGGCGACATTGCCACATCTCAAATTTGCGCCTATCTACTTAGTTTGATTTGCAGAAAAGGTGACTTTAAAACCTTCACCGGATATCAATAAATCTCAATTTCTTAATTAAATTAATAGTTTATTTTTAAAGAAGCATGCGTAATAATATGTTATTAACCAGAGGATATATGCGTTACTATTAAAGGACATGTTTACTGTTTAATGTGCTGAAACGTCTAGAACTATTGGTAACGTCGCTGCTAGTCTTCCAGAATGAAATGAGCCGTCCGTCCCACCACCCCTCGCGACGGCCCATAGTCCGTTATAGCGTACTACGTTTAGCAAACTTTGGTTTAGCTTACGTTGTGTTTGCAGTCGGAATCAAGGCCGAAGTGAACTTTTCAGTGGTTTTCAGTAGTTTTTGTTTTTGTTTAACGTGCTTTTAAATCTGCGAATTTTCAATATGCTAGGACAGTGTCAAATGTGTGGAAAAATAAGCTCAAATTACCCGAATTTGTCTTTTCACAGGTAGGTATTGTTTCCGCCGTAATCGTACATAGGCGTCCCACAAGGGAGCCTCTCGAAATTAAAATAATTTCTAATTATATTTGTTGAATTTTGATCTATTAAAACAAGAACGTAGTAGCCGGTAATTGAATTATAATTCGTCTCAATTACTACCTAACTGTTGTAGATCATAACAAATTTGAATATAAACGTTGCATTTGAAACTTTATTATATGCCAGAAAATGACATTTTTTTTAAATTGCGTCATATTTTGGTCATTATATACGATATTCTAAAGGAATTAAGCTACCTAAGTAATGGATTTGTAAATAAACGTAATATTCATTATTATGCGACAGAAATCCCATACTGTAGCACACAGATTTGATACTTTTAATGATAAATGCCCTCTATTGAGAAACTAAAAGGATTAAAATAAATATTGATTTTAGGTATAGGAAGTTATTAATAATACAAGATTAAAAACTATTACACAGTACTTCACAGGAAGCTATCGATTGCGAACTAACTAAATCGTTACCAATTACTAATTTTGAAAAGTTCTTTTTAAGATCAAAAAAGGTAAAACTAAAACCTAAACTATCATTTGAGATTAAACGGGAAATTCTAAATAATGTTGCCTATTCTAAACAAGAAAAATTTACTTATAAGTTTTATAATATCTCTAATTAAATTTGGACGAAAAGAATATTTCTGTTTGCTGTATGTAATTTTCTCAGAGATTAAACGGGAAGTTCTAAGTTCTCTTCTTCTCTCAGGGACAATACGTAAATAAAAATGACTTTTTAAGTCAAAAAAAGTCAAAAGGACAAGTTATTCAAAAAAGGACTGTCCTTTTCAAAAAAGGACAGGTGGAAACCCTAGGTATTTCTGGAATGGAAATTTAATGGCAAATCTACAACTTTAGTTTGAAAATATGTTCCGGCCACCTATGATTACAAAAATGTCTAAAACGTGCTTTACCATTGCCTCCATATTCTAAAAAAAAATGGAAGAAAAGTCACTAACCACAAACCTAATATAGAACTGTTTCGGAAGCCTGTGTCACCCTGTAAGTATTCAAAAGTAACTGAGTGTTTATATAGAAGTAACTGAAAGTTTAAATTGAATATCGACGTTGGAGCGATTTTCGAAAACTACCTACTAACGTTTCAACATAAGTACAGTTCGTCTGCTGGATCTGTGTCTATGAAAAGAATGCGGACAAAAAACATTTAAATAAACAACAATATATTTTATACGTCGACTTGACGACTTGAGTACGACACCGCAAATCGCTCCGCCCACTCATTTTATTGGCTACTTGCAAATTTGTCGAATTTTTATTGATGGGTCGCGTCGTCAAATTTTTTACGAAAAACATGGAGAGAATATCGTTTCCCCTCCTACGGATACCCCGTAGCTACAGAACGGTCAGACGTACTGTATACATATGTGGGATATTAATTATATTATTATATTAGACTTTATAACAAAACTCATCTAACGAAAAAGTGTTAATGTAGTATATTAATATGGAGTAAGAATTTTACTAATTACTTTACTTTTACTTTACTAATTAAATTCGTTCCAAAAAACGATACGCCACTGGCCATTAGAACAATCCAAATGCGCCTAGTTGCCGGGGTCGGAAATTTTAGACTTCTCTGTCTCTTCTGTCTTTGTTTGACACATTGGAATGTTTGATACACTATCAACGAGTATTTATGAATGAGATGTTCGGTCTATCTTTATAATGTCTTTGATTTAGACACGTCCTAAGTCGGTAAGCCATTGACCATTGTTGACGCGGTTCGGATTCCGCGTAAACAAGTAGGTCCCGTCCAGTTTAGCCATTGCAGCAGAAAGGAGCAAAGGAGACGTTAACTTGAACCTCAAACAAAAATATACCTACCAAATTTCATTTTTTTATAAAGTTATAAGGGCTTTTTAGACGCACCCGGTATATATATACTAGTACAAATCTTAAATAGGAAATCTGATTGGAACTTTTATGGTCATCCTGTATATTAAAAAAAAGATTAAAAATATTAATTTCCTAAAGTTATTTCATTATGCCTGAATGGGCAGATTGAAATTATTTAAACCTATTATTTATTTATTATATTCTTAATTTTATGACCTACCTTTATTATCTTTATACCGTTTTCTTGGTTTTTAATTTTTTGTAAATTTTTCTGCCTCTCTGTAAATTTCTCAAATTGAATTTTAAACGCGTGCATTTTTTTCTGCTCTTCAACTAATGAACAGGTTATTGTATGTCCTGCTTGTACATAAGCAACATTTATATCATTTAAATCGTACTGTGTGGCTTCGTTCTTTTTGGCAATATTTCGTTTCTCTGTTATGTATTGTAGGTATTCTTCCGAGTTGATAAATTCGTCAATAAAATTATACAAATCTTGTGTTCTTTTAACATCTTCACTTATAGCATACTCTACTGCTTCGTTAAGTATATCCTCTTTTTCACTGTTATCATCTGTGTTTGTATATTTAATGCAATAGTTGTATGACATTTTGTCAAAATTCAATTATTTTTGAAATGTTTTTTGAAGTATGAGAATAATTGGTTTTTTACAAAATATTTTTTTATAGTTTTAATTTTTTCTTTAAATGGATTTCATTAGTCATTTAATAATACAAAAAAAAAATATATTTATATTAGATAAATGAAGCAAAAACACTAATTATAAAACAAAATTTATATACAGGATTGTAAATGACGTATGGGTATTTGGCTTTTTGTTCAAAGGTATTTAATATATTTTTTATTATTTTGGTGCTTCCCTACAAATTTATTTGTATAAAATAAATTTGTTGTTTAGATGATAATAATAATAATAGCTCCCGTATATAGCGTTTGACGCCTTGGGAGTAGCAAGGTACAGCTTGCCATACTAGAGCCGTTCGGTATACAAGGAAGGTAATGTGGCTAGCACCATAAAATAATTAACTAGAAAGAAGTGTCAACTCTGTGTTAAATCGTGGAAACACGATACGCCACCGAAAGCCTTCGTTGAAGGCTGAGTCGACCTAGGTACCCAAACTATTTTTATTTTAATAAAAATAGTCGGCTGATGAAATGCCGGGTGTGGGATTCGAACCCACTACCTTGAGATTGGTAGACGAGAGCCTGTACCTCTACGCCACCGGGCACCTAGTGGGTTTAGATGATAATAAATCAAATAATCTTGGAATAGTAGATTATAAGATTATTTGTGTATATCATATATACCTTTGACTATATAACGGGGTGTTATATCAGGTTATATAGTCAAAGACCCTTATTTACTATATTATATTTATCAATGACCTTTCTATGTCGACATCTTTTGACAATGGACAGATAGTGAAGTATGCTGACGATACTAATTTGATTGTTGGTAATAAGAACCTAATAGATTTAAAACTAAATTTTATAACAGCTGAAGCATTTTTTAAGTTGGTTAGTGAATGGTTTTTAAAAAACAAAAAAAATTGTTTTAAATAAAGACAAAACAGATATGATCATATTTACCCCAAAACAGTCCAAAGCTACTAAACCGACACATGTAAACATGGAAAATATGGAAATAAAAATATCACAATCTGTAAAATTCTTGGGCATATATATAAATGAATATTTGGACTAGTCATATCATATTAAAAATGTAATTAAAAAATTGAATTCGGTTTGTTATGGCATACGAGTGGTGGGAAGGTACATGAGAGGGAGCACCCTTAAGGTAATGTATTATTCTAATTTTGAATCGATACTAAAATATGGAATCATATTCTGGGGATCTGACAGTGGGGTTGAAAATGTGTTCCTAGTTCAAAAAAGATTAATACGAGTTATTGGAAAAAATGAAATATCGAGAAACGTGCAGATCTGTTTTTAAAAATCTGGGTATAATAACAACTTATGCTATATATGTCTATGAATGTTTAATGTTCTTTTTTAAGATTAGGTTTTAGCATAGGTTTAATACAGAAACTACACACAAACACAATACACGAACACTACAGGTAAACTATCCTAAACACAGACTTACTCTATCAGAAAAAAACCCGCACTACATGTGTTTAAAACTGTTTAATGCTTTGCCAGACAGAGTTAAGTCCTTGCAATATCAAAAACAATTTCAGAGAGAAAACAAAAAATTATTAGTAGATTTAGAACCATATAGCATAAATGAATTTTTAAGTAACTGGTGATTAGAATATTTCATTTTATATTAATTTTGTTAGCAACTTTTATAATTTAAATTTTTAATATGTATTTATTTTTGTATTTGCTGACGTCATTTCATTTTATGTTCGATTTATACACATGATTTGAAATAAAGTTTATTTATTATTATTATTATTATTATTATATTTTATATAATACATATAGTAAATAAGATAATAAGATATTTTGACAAGGGGTTATATTATAGTTGATTATAGTCAAAGACCATATACACAGGTTTTTCTAACTGTTAAACCCCTTTGCTCCAACGGCGTTCAGTTACTCGTGTGAAGTTGGCACCCTTTTTTCAAAAAATGAACTGGAATTGGAGAGTTCTGGATAGATTTACAATAGTTCTATAGTTCTTGATAAGTTAGAAAAATAGTTCTGGTTAATTTCGGGAGATATGACATGGGGGTGCCAACTTCACGTAGCACTCTTTTTTTATTCTGGAACAGTTCTGATAGTGGAAATATATTCTAGAACAAGAGTTCTATAGTTCCTGACTATTGATCAAAATAGTTCTATTGTATTAACCAAGTTATGAACAAAAATAAAACGGCAGCCTGAGCAGTTTAAATCGATTTTCTAGGTAAAAAATGATTTAACAAATAGTTCTAAATAGAGTTCTGAATAGCACCCCAAAAGTTCTATAAGATTTACTATTTGATTATTAAAAAATACCAATAATTAAAAATTTCATTGATGCACGACTCTATAGATAGACATAAAAATCAACTTTACGAAGGAAATGCAATGTTGAAAAACAGTTCTGAATAGCACCCCAAAAGTTCTATAAGATGTACTATTTGAATTTTTAAAAATACCAATAATTAAACATTTCATTGATGCACGACTCTATAGATAGACATAAAAATCGACTTTACGAAGGAAATGCAATGTTGAAAAACAGTTCTGGTTAGAGTTCTGAATAGCACCCCAAAAGTTCTATAAGATGTACTATTTGATTTTTTAAAAATACCAATAATTAAAAATTTAATTGATGTCCGACTCTATAGATAGACATAAAAATCGACTTTGCGCGCAAAATACAATGTTGAAAAAGAGTTCTGGTTAGAGTTCTGAATAGCACCCCAAAAGTTGTATAAGATGTACTATTTGATTTTTTACAAATACCTATAATTAAAAATTTAATTGATGTTCGACTCTATAGATAGACATAAAAATCGACTTTACGAAGGAAATGCAATGTTGAAAAACAGTTCTGGTTAGAGTTCTGAATAGCACCCCAAAAGTTCTATAGGATGTACTATTTGATTTTTTAAAAATACCAATAATTAAAAATTTAATTGATGTCCGACTCTATAGATAGACATAAAAATCGACTTTACGCGCAAAATACAATGTTGAAAAAGAGTTCTGGTTAGAGTTCTGAATACCACCCCAAAAGTTCTATAAGATGTACCATTTGAATTTTTAAAAATACCAATAATTAAAAATTTCATTGATGCACGACTCTATAGATAGACATAAAAATCGACTTTACGAAGGAAATGCAATGTTGAAAAACAGTTCTGGTTAGAGTTCTGAATAGCACCCCAAAAGTTCTATAAGATGTACTATTTGATTTTTAAAATACCAATAATTAAAAATTTAATTGATGTCCGACTCTATAGATAGACATAAAAATCGACTTTACGCGCAAAATACAATGTTGAAAAAAGAGTTCTGGTTAGAGTTCTGAATAGCACCCCAAAAGTTCTATAAGATGTACTATTTGATTTTTTAAAATACCAATAATTAAAAATTTCATTGATGCTCGACTCTATAGATAGACATAAAAATCGACTTTACGAAGGAAATGCAATGTTGAAAAACAGTTCTGAATAGCACCCCAAAAGTTCTATAAGATGTACTATTTGATTTTTTAAAAATACCAATAATTAAAAATTTCATTGATGCCCGACTCTATAGATAGACATAAAAATCGACTTTACGAAGGAAACGCAATGTTGAAAAACAGTTCTGGTTAGAGTTCTGAATAGCACCCTAAAAGTTCTATAAGTTGTGCCAATTGATTTTTTTTTAAATATTAATATTTAAAAATTTCATTGACTCCCGACGTTATGCAGTATGTCCCCGGATTTGAGGAAAATGCATTTTTTATAAAAAGTTTTACTTGTTCTTAAATGGTTAAACCCGTTCATACTTTTCCAAATTTCCATACCGCTTTAGAAAAAATTAAAAAAAAAACATGGAAGTATTATTTAATTTGTCCTAAAAATCAAAAGGCATTTCTATGATAAATACTACAACTTCGACTAAATTCTTTGATGGATGGTTATTATAAATTTTTATTAACGTCATATTTTTTGCTCTTTTAAAATATCACACTGTTCGTAGTATTGTACTAAAAAAGATTTGTGCTTCTTTAACATTTCAAAACAGCAAAAAATATGGCTTTAATTAAAATTCTATCAATCACAATCAAAGAATGAAGATGAAATTATATTACCACAGAAACGCGTTTCGATTTTTAGGATTTTTCAACCATATTTTCATGTTTTATTTAAATTTCTTTAAAACGGTATGGAAATTAGCAAAAGTATAAACAGAATTAACCATTTTAGAACAAGCCAATATTTTTATGAAGAATGCATTTTTCTTTTTTCTCAAAATAGGTGTCATAGAGGTTGACATTAAGAGCAAAAAATAATATTGAGTAATAGCAAAGTAATAGTCAGACCAGAGTTTTTAATAACAGAAATTTTATAAAAAGATGGAATTACTTTGCATCTATAAAACTTACTATATCGAAAATTTGGTTGGCTCTGATTGATTCTAAATTACGTGGCAATAAAACTAATTAAATGAATATTTATGTAACATGATATATTAATTTTTTCCTCCGTAATAGTTAGGTTAGTTTTGTCACACTGAATATCGTTATTTGGTGTATGTGTAACTCGACACCCAAACAAAATACAAGGGCGAGTTGTTCAAGAACTGGCCGATTCGTCCTAATAAAAACAAAGCCAGAAAATTTATTACAGAAAGGCTGCGTCTAAAAAATACCATGGGTTTATTACATCTTATAGAACTTTTGGGTTGCTATTCAGAACTCTAACCAGAACTCTTTTTCAACATTGTATTTTGCGCGTAAAGTCGATTTTTATGTCTATCTATAGAGTCGTGCATCAATGAATTTTTTAATTATTGGTATTTTTAAAAATTCAAATAGTACATCTTATAGAACTTTTGGGATGCTATTCAGAACTCTAACTAGAACTGTTTTTCAACATTGCATTTCCTTCGTAAAGTCGATTTTTATGTCTATCTATAGAGTCGGACATCAATTAAATTTTTAATTATAGGTATTTGTAAAAAATCAAATAGTACATCTTATAGAACTTTTGGGGTGCTATTCAGAACTCTAACCAGAACTCTTTTTCAACATTGTATTTTGCGCGTAAAGTCGATTTTTATGTCTATCTATAGAGTCGGACATCAATTAAATTTTTAATTATTGGTATTTTTAAAATTTCAAATAGTACATCTTATAGAACTTTTGGGGTGCTATTCAGAACTCTAACCAGAACTGTTTTTCAACATTGCATTTCCTTCGTAAAGTCGATTTTTATGTCTATCTATAGAGTCGGACATCAATTAAATTTTTAATTATTGGTATTTTTAAAAAATCAAATAGTACATCTTATAGAACTTTTGGGGTGCTATTCAGAACTCTAACCAGAACTGTTTTTCAACATTGTGTTTTCTTCGTAAAGTCGATTTTTATGTCTATCTATAGAGTCGGGCATCAATGAAATTTTTAATTATTGGTATTTTTAAAAAATCAAATAGTATCTCTTATAGAACTTTTGGGTGCTATTCAGAACTCTAGCCGGAACTGTTTTTCAACATTGCGTTTCTTTCGTAAAGTCGATTTTTATGTCTATCTATAGAGTCGTGCATCAATGAAATTTTTAATTATTGGTATTTTTAAAAAATCAAATAGTACATCTTATAGAACTTTTGGGGTGCTATTCAGAACTCTAACCAGAACTCTTTTTCAACATTGTATTTTGCGCGTAAAGTCGATTTTTATGTCTATCTATAGAGTCGGACATCAATTATATTTTTAATTATTGGTATTTTTAAAAAATCAAATAGTACATCTTATAGAACTTTTGGGGTGCTATCCAGAACTCTAACCAGAACTGTTTTTCAACATTGCATTTCCTTCGCAAAGTCGATTTTTATGTCTATCTATAGAGTCGTGCATCAATGAAATTTTTAATTATTGGTATTTTTAAAAATTCAAATAGTACATCTTATAGAACTTTTGGGGTGCTATTCAGAACTCTAACCAGAACTGTTTTTCAACATTGCATTTCCTTCGTAAAGTCGATTTTTATGTCTATCTATAGAGTCGTGCATCAATGAAATTTTTAATTATTGGTATTTTTAAAAATTCAAATAGTACATCTTATAGAACTTTTGGGGTGCTATTCAGAACTCTAACCAGAACTGTTTTTCAACATTGCATTTCCTTCGTAAAGTCGATTTTTATGTCTATCTATAGAGTCGTGCATCAATGAAATTTTTAATTATTGGTATTTTTTAAAAATCAAATAGTACATCTTATAGAACTTTTGGGGTGCTATTCAGAACTCTATTTAGAACTATTTGTTAAATCGTTTTTTACCTAGAAAATCGATTTAAACTGCGCAGGCTGCCGTTTTATTTTTGTTCATAACTTGGTTAATACAATAGAACTATTTTGATCAATAGTCAGGAACTATAGAACTCTTGTTCTAGAATATATTTCCACTAACCGAACTGTTCCAGAATAAAAAAAAGGGTGCTACGTGAAGTTGGCACCCCCATGTCATATCTCCCGAAATTAACCAGAACTATTTTTCTAACTTATCAAGAACTATAGAACTATTGTAAATCTATCCAGAACTCTCAAATTCCAGTTCATTTTTTGAAAAAAGGGTGCCAACTTCACACGAGTCGTTCAGTTGGCTTGTAAATGAACATCAATGACATCATTCCTCATAATATAATATTACATATAAAATGACAACGATCTTTATTTCATAGCCTCTGACGCAGTTTTTTTTCGGTCGTATTGTATTTCAAGGAATTTAAATGCTATACACAATGTTACACTATGATTTAACACAAATACAGAAAATTATTAATATGCCTTATTAAACACTTATTATTAAATTAAACAGGTTTAGTCTTAAATAAGTGGAAATATTTTCGGGGCTGGTAGATCTCATAAAAGAAACAAATTTTTCTTTTTCAAATAAGCTCAAAACGAATTATTTTACTTTCAAAATAAAAAAATAATAAGTTTGCCTTAAAAGTTCTGAACCACTGGATCTTTTGCGGGTTTTCTTTCCTGTAAATTTAATATCCTATGTTGCTACATTATCAATATATTATGTTTTTTAACAAAACATTTAAAGTGTCCAAAAATGTTTTTCAAAAAATTCCTAATTTGCGCTTCCATGCAATCCCTATATTTGCATTTATTTATTATCACTCTGTATACCAGGTGCGTCTCAAAAGTGGCTCACCCCTATAACTTTTTTATTTTTTTTTCAGATAAAAAACGAGATTTGGTATGTTAGTATATGACATAAATTAGGATTGATTGATGTATTCAATTGTTTTCGGTCACTTCCGGTTTCACCGGAAATGACTACAACTTTTGGTTTTTATTTATATGGCGCTTTCGGTATTTTTTTACTTTATTGTTACTTCTTAAGCCACTACATTCTACAAGCCCTGTCTACTTTAAACCTTGCTTAAAAATAAGGAAACTTTAACTTAAAATATCTACTTTTCAAATGTTTAGCACCTGATGAACATTGTTGTTTTCTTGACCTATTACTTTTAACTATGAATTGTATCCATGGAAATAATTGTTGAAAAAATTGTAGCTTTATTTTTATGATCCGTAATGACGTCTAAAGACGGTTTTTTGGAAAATATTTTTGATTAAGTTTGGAAAAATTTAATACCAACTTACTTGTAATATTTAATGGAAGTGAAATCGTCTCCGTTTGTGTATCAATTTCAAACGCACTATAAGAAAATATTATTATTATGTGCAGCTGGCTTTTCTTGCTATATGATGAAACGATATATTGAGACGAAGAAAAAAGCCGAATCAAAAAAAGAGAAGAAGACACTTAAAGAATTTCCATCGTTAGAGGAGATACAAAAGTTCATCGAAGATTTGCCCCTTAACGAAGCAAAGTCTAATAAAAATATGACGTTAAAGGATTTACTGGGAGAATTGTCAGAATTTAGTGAAGATGAGGATTGGAAAGGATTGATTGCAAGTGTTCATTCGTTGTATGAACAAGAGGAAGCAAAAGAATGTGCCGAGGAAACGGGTATGTATAAAATGAATTAATATAATATAGGGAAATACTACTGTTCATTGTATACAGTCTACGCATTTAAGCTGCACGCCCACTGGTGCGATCACGGCCGCGATCACGATCACGATCAGGGCAGCGATAACATGAGCTATCATTCTAGCACACACCAACGCGTTCGGGTTCACCGCCGTACCTACAGGGTTGTTCACCACATACGACACGGAGTATTGTGGCTAAACGATGATATTTTTACAAATTGTAAGTTTGGGGTTCGTTGAAGAACTATTAGAGCTACAATTTAAAAATATTTTTACAAGATACAGAGTGTCCCAAATAAATAAAAAATATCAAAGTTGTATTTTTTTAAATGGAACACCCTGTATATTATTACATTTTTAGTTTCTACGATTAAAATAAAGGTAAATTTGATTGGTTTATTATACTTAAACCTTACCGTTTTTGAAATATTTTCAATTTTGTGAAATTGCAGTAAAAATTTTAAAGCTTCATTTCTCCAAGGGTATCAATGTTTTTAATACTAAATATTTAATGAAGTTTATTTATTGATCAGTTATTGTGTTGCAATAATAAAAATAATACTACCTTATACAGAGTGTCTAAAAATTTATTTTAAATAATTATTAGCTTCAAACGGCAATCACTTCTTTAATTTAAATGGAATGCCCTGTATATTTTAGGAGAATCAGATGCACAATTAAATTGTCTATCAAATTGTATTATACCATTTTTTACCTATCCCTTCAAGTTTTCGTAGAAAATGCATTTTCTTTTAATTTAGACCTCATTTATCAATATATCCATGGAATATTGACATTTTAGATTGTTTTATTTAAAGCAACAAATGTACAAAATGTACAGACTAGTAATATTATCGTTTTTAGCAAAACGATAATATTACTAGCCCATTTGTATGCAAAAAGAAAACTATTTAAATCTTTATAAAAAAGTATACCATTAATTAAATATAACACCATTATTTCCGCCCATATACTAATTAATTACATACTTAATTGTGTTCGTTAATAAATTATTATAAATAAATGTGGATTTGAGTCAGAAATCAATATAATAATAAGTTATCAAATTAAAGTATCTGTTGTTATAAATAAGCATTTATTAAAAAATGAAATATCATTTTAAGGTGTTACTTTTATCACACTGTCTAATGCCCATACAAAATTCAGTTTTTTAGTATTTGGAGCAATTATTATTAATCAACGCAAACAGTCAGTTAATGTAGTTTGAATACTGGAATCATATTAATTGATCCTCTTTAACAAATATTTAAACAGTTTTTTTTATTTTTTAATGAATTAAACGAATTATAACGACAATATTAGTATCTGTACTCTTTAAAAATTTGGTACATCTTTAACAATAATCTAAAATGTCAATAGTCCATGGGTATATTGATAAATAAGTTCTAAATTACAAGAAAATGCATTTTCTACGGAAACTTAAAGAGATAGGTAAAAAATGGTATAATATATTTTGATAGACAATTAAATTGTGCATCTGATTCTCGTAAAATATAGAGGATGTTCCATTTAAATTAAACAAGTTATTGCCGTTTGAAGCTAATAATTATTTAAAATAAATTTTTAGACACTCTGTATAAGGTAGTATTATTTTTATTATTGCAACACAATAACTGATCAATAAATAAACTTCATTAAATATTTAGTATTAAAAACATTGATACCCTTGGAGAAATGAAGCTTTAAAATTTTTACTGCAATTTCACAAAATTGAAAATATTTCAAAAACGGTAAGGTTTAAGTATAATAAACCTTAATCAAATTTACCTTTATTTTAATCGTAGAAACTAAAAATGTAATAATATACAGGGTGTTCCATTTAAAAAAAATACATCTTTGATATTTTTTACTTATTTGGGACACTCTGTATCTTGCAAAAATTATTTTTAAATTGTACCTCTAATAGTCCTTCATCGAACCCAAAACTTGCAATTTGTAAAAATCTCATCGTTTAGCTACAATACTCCGTGTCGTATGTGGTGAACAACCCTGTATATGTAGTGAGCTATCCTGTAGGTGGTATACATAGGTACAAATTAAAAATGTGAATTTTGAATACCGAAAAAAAAACATTCATAAATATTTACCTATTACCAATATTTAAACTTAAACAATAAAAATGTATACATATGTACTATCCAATCCAATTGCAACTCTAATTTTGTCTCAAACTTTTTATTTTTAATTCTATTATTTTTGTAACTTGGATCGGATAATCATATAGAATTTTGTATATTTTTACAGCCTTAATTAACTGCTCTGTTAACTCCATTTCTAAATTACAACAAGAAAAAACACAAAATAATGGAAAATTCCTATCAGTTGGGTCGCGATCGCGTGTGGAACGGCTCATATGAATTCTTTAGCAACTTTTGGCCGCGGCCGCGTGGAGATCGTTATCGCGGCCGTGCTCGCACCAGTGTGCGTACAGCTTTAAGCTGTACGCACCCCAACACGTGATCGCGACCCAACTGATAGGAATTTTCGATTATTTTGTGTGTTTTTTCTTGTTGCAATTTAGAAATGGAATTAACAGAGCAGCTAATTAAGACTGTAAAAATACAGAAAATTCTATATGATTTAATCCGATCCAAGTTGCAAAAATAATAGAGTTATATGTATATATTATATGTATAGAGGGTGGTCCGAATTGTATTCCGGAAGCTTCGACAGCATATTCTACAGATAAAAATAAGTAAAAAAGTTCGTATAAATGTATGTCCTAAAATGCCTAGTTTCGGAGATACAGGGTGTAGAAGTTTCATTTTTATTTCGATTTTTTCAAAATAATTTCTGAAGTAACGTCAATATTTGGATGAAAATTGGTGTCTAGGAGTTTTGTGACACGAGAAATTTGATTTTGATGTCAAAATTACTCCTATTTGTAGGGGGCACCACCTACATGTGTTTTAACTATTTCGAAGAGTAGTAACTTTTCCTCCGTATCTGTATAAAACCACTGACTAAAAAAATATACATTTCCATGACTTTTTATGTAAAAAATGTCTCTTGGTAAAAGTCGCTACGAGCAACCGTTCTCAAGATATTTAGAATGGAAATAGTCGATACCATGTCATTATTGACAAAAAATAAGCACACGCGTTGAGTATAGTTATTTAACTGAAATAATAAATTTTAATTTTTTTAAATTAATCATAAGTTTTTCTGGGAAAAAATGATGATTAAACAGTTTCTGTTGAACTGTTGAAACAAAAAGATTTCAAATTTATGATTTCAGTCTAATAGCTATTTAGTCTCAACATGTTTAATTTATGTCAATGATGACAGGTATTGATAATTTCGATTCCAAATATCTCGAAAACCATTATTCGTAGCGATTTTTACCAAGAGACCTTTTTTATGTAAAAAAGTCGTAAATGTATATTTTTTTACTCAGTAGTTTTATATAAGTACTGACGAAAAGTTATTACTCTTCAAAACAGTTAAAACACATGTAGATGGCGCCACCTACAAATGGGAGTCATATTGACATCAAAATCAAATTTCTCATGTCAAAAAACACCCATACATCAATTTTCATCCAAATATTGACGTTACTTCAGAAATTATTTGGAAAAAATCGAAATAAAAATGAAACTTCTACACCCTGTATCTCCGAAACTAAGCATTTTAGGACATACATTATACGAACTTTTTTACTTATTTTACGAACTTTTTATCTGCAGAATATGCTACCGAAGTTTCCGGAATACAGTTCGGACCACCCTGTATAGTAGTAATAGAGAAATAAAAAGTTTGAAATAAAATTGGAGTTGCATTGGATTGGATAGTACATATGTATACATTTTTATTGTTTAAGTTTAAATATTGTAGGTAACTATTTAAGAATGTTCTTTTTTCGGTGAACATAATTCACATTTTTAATTTGTACCTATATATACCTACAGGATGGCGCACTACATATAGGTACGGCGGTGAACGTGAACGCGTTAGTGTGTGCTAAAATGATCGCTCATATTATCCCTGATCGTGATCGTGATCGCGACCGCGATCGCAACAGTGCGCGTGTAGCTTTAAGAGTACAACGGAAAAACTATAAATATTTGAAAAATCTTTATATTCTAGTCTCATTTTTGACTATTTGACATAATTATTGTGCGCGTTCAGGGAACACAGCGGCTGACCGACCGCTGAGTATTTTGCTCAGCGGCTGACTGTTTTTGCGTGGAAAAGGAGACCGTTTAGGGAAACCGCTTACTCAGCCACTCAGCCGCTAACCTGAACGCGCCCATTGTCTTTCTTTTCATTGTAACTCACACTATTTTATGGGGGGAAAGGCTATGGTTTAACCTAGAGAGGGCCTAGGACTTTTGTTAAAAAAACTGAAGAAAAACATTATTAAAAAATAAACACATTTTTTGAATAAAAGGTTACATGAATTTTTCTATCAATAAATTTGTTAGACTTGGTTATCAACCCCGTTTTCCCGTGGATTATTTAAATACCTGCAAATTTTGTAAAAAATAAAATAAAAAACAAATTTTTTAAACAAAACAGTATTATATTAACTAAACAAAATACCCTAGAAAGATTTATTTTTACGTTGCAAGCGAATAAAAATTAATATTTAGCCAAGACTCATAATTAAATAAATTTAAAGATTTTTCTGAGGGATGCCTAGCAGTACTAGAGGTGTAATTACGCCAATGATCTGTTGTCGTTTTTGTAGCAAGCCCACACATTGTATTTGTAGCAACATCCCTAATACTCATTTCTGATTAAATGTAAAATAATATCAATTAACCACGATGGTTGTGGTTCTATAGGAGGGTAATGTAATTTTAATTTTATTCTAGGTAGCGTTATAAGTATCTATGAAGATCCCCATATAATTAATCTGGAAGGCATAACGGAAGATATCGTACAAAATACCAACGTAGAGAAAGACGACTGTTTAAATTTATCAGGTCATTCAGGGTACGAGGGAGATATTCAAACTATAACTAATGGAGAAGTTCAAAACTTAGGGGACAACGATTTTCAAAATCTGTTATTGGACAAATTAATAGAAAGCGCTATAATCGATGGTGCTGACTATCTGGAATGCAGATTTGGAAATGGCGACAGTGCGGGCATAATAAGATGATAAATATTTAATTATATAAAACAAATTGCATTAAATCTTATTTCCTAATAAGATTTTGTGAATCAAATACAAAATTTAAAAAAGTGAGAACATGTATTGTTGGTTGCGTTCTAATATTGACTTACAGGGATGGGTGTATAAAAAACTGTGGTAAAAAAAGTTTTTTACTCTGGTGGTTTTTTTCTCCGTTTTTTAGAAACGTAAAAAATGTACATCTACAGTTTTGTAAAAGTTTTTTAATACTGTTCAATCTGTTCAATATAAACCAAAGATATAAACAGTTACTGAACACAGATTAACTAATAAAATAAAAAAATATGGAGAGCGTATACCAAAGAGGAGGTTTTCTACTCGTTCTCAATATTCTATTTAGGGATTTTTTATATTATCCATTGACAGATATTGGTAATTTTACTAATTTTGGTTGGTGGCACTTTGTTTTCCAGTGATTTTTAAAAATTTAAATCATAAAATACCAAAATACACATTTGAATAATTCTTCTTGTAATTTAAGAATTTGGTGTTAACAATTGGATATAATGGCGGTAAGAATAATCTTACCTAATTTTGAAATATTCAACCTACTATTAAAATTTTGTAGTCGAATAAATTACACAAATGTATTCACATTGCAATAAATCTAACCTTAAATACAATCGTGCCGCTTAAATATTTTAAAATAAATCAAAACTACGCTTATTTGCAGGTTGCAGCTGCAGCCAAGATTGCCGAAGTCCGTGAGACAACACGGGTAGAGAGAATAGGAGCACATTCACACATTCGTGGTTTAGGATTAGACGACAGTCTTGAGGCCAGACATGTAAGTGTGTTTATCAAATTAGTTAGCTTTAACGGGTGTATTGGTATATCTATAGTATTTTATATTCTGGTTTTTGATATAGGTGTCTCAAGGAATGGTAGGCCAAGTATCGGCAAGGCGAGCGGTTGGAATAGTGTTACAAATGGTTCGAGATGGTCGAATAGCTGGCAGAGCTGTTTTATTAGCTGGACAACCTGGTAAATATGTTACTTTTAGCCTTTTAACAGTATAATCTAGTCTTTAACAATGAATTTTTTGAATATATGTATAATATTGATCAAACATGTATTGATTATTTTTGTGAATTTGATACTTCTTCACCTAACTTAGGTACTGGCAAAACTGCAATAGCCACCGCATTAGCAGCTGCCTTAGGATATGACACACCATTTACAAGTATGGCTGGCTCAGAAATATATTCTTTGGAGATGAGTAAAACCGAGGCTCTCACTCAAGCCATTAGAAAAAGTATTGGAGTAAGAATTAAGTGAGTGTTATAAATATTTTTCATAATTTATTTTATAAAATATGATTTCAAATTTATAACTCCTGTTATTAATAAAATGGAAATATATTAGGTAGGAGTTAATTTTAAAGGGGCAATTTTTTTAAAATTATTTTTGTTCTCTATAGAGAAGAAAGTGAAATTATTGAAGGTGAAGTAGTAGAAGTTCAAATTGAAAGACCAGCTACAGGTGTAGGTACCAAAGTTGGAAAATTGATCCTAAAAACGACTGACATGGAGACAGTATATGATCTTGGTGGAAAAATGATTGACAGTATTTTGAAAGAAAAAGTTCAGTCTGGTGATGTAATAACTATTGATAAAGCCACAGGTATTGATATTTAAATTATTTTTTTTATTTTTATTAACATGTATGTACATGATCAGGCAAAATCACCCGCCTGGGAAGATCATTTGCGAGAGCTCGTGATTATGATGCAACAGGACAGCAAACAAGATTTGTGCAGTGTCCAGAGGGTGAGCTTCAAAAAAGGAGAGAGGTTGTACATACTGTTACTTTACACGAAATTGATGTAATTAATAGTAGAACTCATGGTTTCTTGGCTCTATTTTCTGGTATGTATTCTTAAATATTTAAAGAATTATTCTGTAATAAAAATCAATCTTTAGGTGATACAGGAGAAATTAAACCAGAGGTTAGAGAGCAGATTAATGGCAAAGTGGCTGAATGGAGGGAAGAGGGAAAAGCAGAAATTATACCAGGTGTTTTATTTATAGATGAGGTAAGCTTATTATATTTTTGGCTGCAAAGTCCTGTCTAATTTACTATACTTACCTAAAAGTAAAATATATGTATTTGTTTTTAGGTTCATATGTTAGACATTGAATGTTTTTCTTTCCTAAACAGAGCGTTAGAGAATGAAATGGCGCCTATAGTAATAATGGCTACAAATCGTGGTATTACTAAAATCAGAGGAACTAATTACAAATCGCCTCATGGTATTCCATTGGATCTGCTTGATAGAACTATAATAGTCCCTACCACACCTTATGATGAGAAAGAACTTAAAGAAATTCTTAGGTTTGAATTCGAAAATTTCACTCGACTAAATCAGTTTAATTTTTTCTATCTGCAGTATTCGTTGTGAGGAAGAGGATTGCCAAATGTCAGATAATGCATTAACAGTACTTACTAGGATTTCTAAAGAGACATCTTTGCGATATGGTATGCAACTTATTATGACTTCAAGTTTGATTGCAAGAAAGAGAAAAGCTCATGAAGTTGATGTAGAAGATATAAAAAGAGCATATCAGTTGTTTTTTGATGAAGGTAGATCAGTACAGTTTCTTAAGGAGTATCAACAAGAATTTATGTTCAATGAAAGTAAGTTATATTACCTGTTATAAATATATTTCTTAATATATTTGAAGCATAATGACCACAAATACAACCCAGCACATCTAATATATTTTATTTTCCAGTGGAGGGGGAAGACAAGATGGATGTAAATTAGATCCAGACTTTTCCAGGTTTGATAGTATTTTAATTCACTCTATAATTATTTTAATTAATGTAATGTGCGTTTTAAAATATATTTTTTTAAAACTTTATTTAAAATAATTCTGAATTATTAATAAATATATTTTTTTTAGTAGGATGCTTGTATATTTTGTTGGTTTCTATCTGCTTGTTACATTAATTATAGATTATATTAGTTATTATTTTACTGCATTCATACAATTTGTGATTAGTCAGATGCAAAATCAAAAACATGAACTAATAAAAGATACAAAAAATATTGTAATATTAGCCCCCAAGAGATTTCTCTCATTCCATTACACTCCCCTCTATTTTATTCTTATAGGGGGTAAATAACTTGTCTGTGGTAAAATATACAAGGTACCGCAAAAAGTTAAATACAAAAGGTATAGGGTTTCTAAATGTCTATTAGCTAGTAGTAAAATTAAGTATACAGAGTCGGTCATAAACTTGTGGTACATCAAAATTATTTTTTTTAAATGCAACCTATATATTGTATATTGCATATTTCAATTATTCTTCTTTCAATTTTAAGCAATAATCGTAATACACATAATGTACCTAAATTCAACCATTTCCGAATCATGAAGTTTTGATTTAATCTCATGTTATTCATCTATAAATGCTAACTTAAGAACTAATGTCAAATACTATTTAGTATCACAGTTTCCGCAGAATGGCATCGTTAAATGAAACTAAACGCATCGAAATTAATTAAATGGAATTGTTTAAGTGATATTTTCAAAAGTCAATAAATCGGAAACGCTGTATACATTGTGTGTACATATTTCGGTTTTTGCTTAGAATTGAAGGAATAATTGTAATATGCGGTACCTCGTATATTGTATCCATTAATCGACCGTTCCTATTAGCGATGGGAACTATCGAATGAATTAGACTATCGAATGGTTAATGAATGAATGATTTCAACTATCGAATGGTTTTATTCGAATAAAATCATTCATTCATTTGTAAACTAAAGCATATGTGACAACCTCGCCGTGCGACTAAATGGTTATCGTTGAGCCACGACTATCGAATGCTTTTGATAAATGAAATTTAGTATTCGTTTGGATTTTGTATGCGTCAGTGCATTATTGGTTCTTCCAAATTTTTATAACTTCGCCGTATAAATACTGTGCTATTTTTGCGTTTATTAAAATAGTTAAAATACTAAAATAGTAGTTATCTTTAATTGATTGTGTACATGTGCAGGTGGTCAAAAATTTTCCGATAATTTGTGTGGTTTTCCGTAGTCCGATCTTTCAATTATTTCATTTTATATGGTATATGGTCTATTTTTTAATGGGAAATTTTGAGAAGTAGCAATTTTTAAGAGAGATGAGATGAACTTACAATTAATTTTAAAAATACATATTTGTATTTTAGATGTTTTAATAATACCTATGAATTAGTTGGAACTTAATAATTATATTTAAGTAATGTGGTTAAATAAATGGTTATCGAACTCAAACTATGGGGTGAGAAAATTAAAATGAAAATTTTACACGTGCCAATTTAAAAAAAAGTTAACGATGTTTGTATTTTGTTTATGCTAATTCTCTTACATGTAGTTTTTGCGAAGAAATATTTCATTTATTTTTTAAAGTAAATGCCAGTAAAAGTAAATATAATTTTTAAATAGTAATATAAAGCACCTAATATAAATAATTTAGATTTCTAATTTTTTATTTATATTTTCCTTCCATTACACCGCTTGCTTAGAAAATTAATAAATGTTTATATTTCATGATTTTAAAATTTGTTGTTAATATAACAAATTAGTTCTGTAATTATTATTATTTAATAAACCAACGTTGCCAAAAAATTAGAGACTATATTATTTTTAAATAGGATCTAATATAAATAATTTTGACATCTAATTTGTTGTTTATATTTTGCTACTACTTAAAAAAATATTTATATTAAATGATTTTAAATTTTGTTGTTAATAGGTATAACAAATTATTACTGTTATTATTATTTATTAAACCAGTCTTTGCTTAAAAACATTAAAAATAATTTTCCTACATCCAAAATAACAAGTATTATTGCAGTGTAACAACAGAATATTAATAAAAAAATGCAGATTATATAGACATACTATCCCTAACTAACTAAAGCCAAACAATAATATTCTTTGCTAATATCAACTAATACAAAAATATGGCAACAGCGCCCTTCATAATGTATTTTCTTTGTAAATACTAGCACCTCAATAAAAAAAATAATGTGTCCTTATCTATATATGACTCCGCAAAAAATCAAAGATGCCGGCTTCTTTCATAGCATTGCCACCGACCGCTTTCTCGGAAAAAAACCTACGTCGCCGGGCGACAACTAAAATTCAGTTAATATTTTATTATAATCGATCCTGACGAATAAATGAATTTCATAAATGAATGAATTTTATAAATGAATGGTTTTTGCTGCCGAATTACTAGAATACAATATTTCAAGGCAGATGACGGATCTATTCGATAATTTTTATTCGAATAGTTTTCAACGAATGTTTTCTTACTAACTATCGAATTATTCGAATGAATTGCAACTATCGAATGTTTCGATAGTATTCATTCGATAGTTCCCACTACTAGTTCCTATACATATTACCGACCCTGTATGTATTGTTTATATACAGGATGGGTCTTAAATAAGTGCAAATATTTTTAGGAGTGGTATATTTCGACCTATGAGGTCTATTGAGGTTTTTTATCAAAAAAATATATTGAAAATCGTGCATTTTCTTTTAAAATTTTCTGTATATTTTAGAAAACTTTTTAGAACTGCCTGACCGCAAATTTTCCCACGGTATAGTTTCTTAATCTCTAAAAGGGATGCAAATACAGAAAAAAAACGGTGGCTCAATTTTTTTAAATATCATTGTTTAATTTTCCATCTTTAATAACTCGGGTATTTTGGACTTTTATAAGCGGGCGTAAGAAATTCTTATGTATGTAAAAGAAAAAATAAATTAATTTAATTCAGTTCTTCAAAAAGTTTTCTGGGGATTTCGCCCCTGTAAGAAAATCTATAATATAAAATAGTTATTTTTGTAAACACCCTGTACACTTTTTTGTCCGTTAGGCAAATTTGTAAATAACTATTTTATTTAGCAGATTTTCTTATAGTGGCGAAATACCCGGAAGACTATATTGAATAAATTAATCTAGTTATATCGACAGATATTAGTCTAATAGCTAGCTACGTTTTCGAGAAGGTATTTTAAGACGTCTGGCTCTTTGATATATCTTTTACTATGCTCTCTGGAACAGCATGCGGCCGGTCTGGCTGCCGATACCCGTTGCGTTCACTACTGCGCATCGGAAGAAGATCTATTTTTTTATTAATTTAGTCCTATAAATTCTAATATTGAATATAAATCGAACATGTCTCCATAGCGTAGTGCATAGAGTTTCCCACCACGAACCGATGATTCAGAGTTCGAATCCGGGTCAAGTCAAAGACTTTTTTATTTTATTTTAGTATATATTCTGATAGTAAAGTGTTAAATAATTCTGGTAATTAAAAAAAAACAAATATTTAATACTTTACTATCAGAATATAAACGAAAATAAAATAAAAAAGTATTTGCCCTGACCCGGATTCGAACTCTGGATCATCGGTTCGTGGTCGGAAACTCTACGCACTGCGCTATGGAGACATATTGGATTTATATTCTATACTAGAATTTAAAGGACTAATAAAAATATAGAATCTTCTTTCAATGCGGAACGCAACGTTTACGGGCAGCCAGTTAAAAGATATATCAACTGGGCTGGAACTCTGTAACTAATTAGCGATCGGTAGCGATAAAGAATACTGACCTTGGCCGTACAAACTAAACGGCAAGCGACAGTATTCTTCATCGCTACCGATCGCTATTTCGTTACAGAGTTCCACCCCTCTTAAAATACCTGTTTTTCCGACGTTGCTAGCTCTCGTGCTATATAGACTGAAAGAAAACATGGAAACAAAATAAAATAAAGGTTTGACAGGTCATTTTTAAAATATAATATGTATGAATGAAATGTTTCAATATTAATTTTTTCTAAATAATGTTTGAATTATAAGTAAATGTTTTCTTTTAATACTTAATAAAATCGAGTGTTTGTAAGGTTTCTTTGGCTTAAACTGGCTTGTCGTCTTGAATTCTAGGCTACAATTAAGTCCTCCCACATTAAAATATGACGTTATGTACTCTTGTGTGATAGTTAATCTGGTCTTTGGATCCCTAAAATAAATAAGGCATTATAACAAATAGTTTATATCCTAATATACTTTAATTATTTTTATAGTTTAGTTGTTATTATAATAATTCTCAAACCTACTCGACATTACATGGAGGCACCTCTTTAAAACAAGTCATTCCAATAACGTTAAAGAATATTTCTCCAATTAAGTTACCAACTGGACTTCTAAGGTTTTGTAAACATGTTTTAAATTTATTATCGCACTCACAATGGGATCTAAAACATGAATAATTAAAGTAAACAGGGTGTTTCAAAAAACATGTGCCATATCTTGTGGGGAGATTCTTCACGTAAAAATAGGAAGTATTTTTCATATTAACATAGGTCCGATTCTGCTTTGTTTCGTAGCTACAGGGTATTAAAGTCTTAATAATCTTTCGATTTATTATAATTTTCTTCCAAGCGCATTTAGCGATTCGAAAAAAATTTTGAGGGTAAAAGTTACTACTCGTATAAATGCTACCTGTGGTGCTGGTGCTACATATTTTATTCTTAAAAATGTCGACAAATTTAGCAGGTTTACTAAAATATTTTTCTAAAAATAACATGTGCGCCACTGACTTTTTTTCTCTTGTTGGTAAAATTATGTAGACTGTTTAATGTCGTTTAAAAATTGTCCCTTGATATTTTGTCGCTTTCTGTCTCCTTCATGAGATAAACGCAGTTTTATTAATTTGCCTTAATCTAATAGCAATCTTTAAACATTTTTAATGTCAACTGAGGGGCTAAAGGGAAACAATAACTCTATTAAAACTTTATAAAAATATGTCTTGTATTAAATTTTATTTGTAATTTTTTTAAATACATGATTTTCTTGAATTTGATGTAGGAATGTAGGTAGCACTAAACATCAGTGTTATACAGTTTAATAATAAGTTATATTAAAGAAATAATTTACTAATTTTATTTTTATTTTATTAATTATTTAGTTATAAGATAACTTTTAATCGGCATTAAACGCCCTATACAATTTTATTAACAAGAGAAATGTCAGTTATTTCTAGAATGCATTTGGCAACAGATTGCACATGTTTTCTGAAAGACCCTGTGTTATAATACAATTTATTTGATTTAAAATAATGTATTTGAAATATAACTGAGTTGTGTGTTCTTTTGAACTAATTTTTTTTATAAGGTTAATTCGTTTTTTTTCTGATATTTTATGAGCAATTAAACATTGTTTCTCCAAATAAATGGAAAAATCACAAATAAAGTCTCTCCAACGAGAGGATACATGACAGTTGTTCTCTGTCATTTTATTTCAGAGATAATTTGTAATTTCTGTCATTTTTGTCATGTCGTCTGTCGAAATCTTTCCTGGCTTTTTGGACATACTTTATATTTTACATATAAAAATATTACATAATAGTGGTCTAGTTATACGTACAAATCGTACTTTGATCTATTATTTTATTGTTTAGTATAGTTTTAGTAGACATTGGATAGGCAATATTGAATATAGTAGAAAATCTATTAATATTAATATGTGGTGTGGAAGGGAAAATATATAATTTATAATAACCTGGTATATGGAGAGTCGTTACACACACCTCCTCGGCAAACACCTGTATCAATATATCTTGAACAGCTATCATGCTCTCTGCAGCATTCATCTTCTTGAAAGAAAACTCCCAATTCTCTGTTACTCTTTGCAGTATCTCCTAAAACGAACTAAAACATTTTTAGAATGTTTATTTTATATATTTTAATTATATTATTATAGGAAATGAAGTGGCCAAGGGAAAAACATGATAAGCGCCATTTTACTAATTTACAGGAGAGCACTGGACGGCTGGTGGTTATCAGGTTTTCTCCCTGTATTTGATATTTTTATTAGGTATATATCATAGGATTTAACATGCCACCTGTGTCACTTATTGCCCTGCAGAGTTTATACATTTTGTAGGGACTAGTTACACCTACTATACAGGGTGGTCCGATCTGTATTCCGGAAACTTTAGCAGCATATTCTGCAGGTAAAAATAAATAAAAAAGTTCGTATAAATGTATTAAAAATTAGTTTCGGAGATACAGGGTGTAGAAGTCTCAATTTTATTTAATTAAAAATCGCTAAAAGTAACGGTTCTCGAGATATTTGGAATCGAAATTATCAATACCTGTCGTCATTGACATAAAATGTAAAAAAAATGACAAAAAATACGTTGACTAAATAATTATTATTAGATTGAAATCATACAATTGAAATGTTTTTGTGCAAAAACTTAAACAGAAACTGCTTTATTATCATTTTTTCGAAAAAAAAATTATTATTGATTTAAAAAATAAAAAGTTCCCAAATTTATCATTTTAGTCAAATAACTATCTACTCGACATGCTTATTTTTTTGTAAATAATGACATGTATTGACTGTTTCCATTCTAAATATCTTGAGAATGGTTGCTCGTAGCGATTTTTACCAAGAGACATTTTTTAAGTAGAAAATCATGGAAACGTGTATTTTTTCATCCAGTAGTTTTATACAGGTACAGACGAAAAGTTATTGTTCTTCAAACTAGTTAAAACACATGTATGTGGCACCCCCTACAAATAGGAGTCATATTGATATTAAAATCAAATTTCTCATGTCAAAAAACTCCCAGATACCAATTTTCATCCAAATATTGACGTTACTTCAGAAATTATTTGGATAAAATCGAAATAAATATGAAACTTCTACATTCCTGTATCTCCGAATCTAAGAATTTTAGGACATTTTCTTACCTATTTTTATCTGCAGAATATGCTGCCGAAGTTTCCGGAAATTTCCGTATTGTAAATATTGTAAAATCCTAAAATTAAGAAATTGCCGATTATCAAGTTTTTCCTGGACCCCTCAAATGGTATATATCCTAAAATTATTTGAAATTATTATTTTACAGAATCTCTATCCTCTTTTTTAAACTTGGTCATGTATGCTATGTCAACATTTTATTAGTATATAGTCTGACCAATGATGTGATATATGACAGTCATAGTTATTATCTGTCATTTTTACTGAAAAGCAGATTGTCATTTTTTGGACGTCGTCTGTCGAAATCAGATATTCTCTCGCTGGTCAGATTACATCTACTATTTACTAACCTGGTCCGCACCATTTTGTTCCTGGAAAACTAAATATGTTTTGTAAATTTGCATTGGCTGTTTTATTTTTGCATATTTCTACATATTTCATTATATCCGTTTCTGGCACTCTGTATACCTTTGAAACATCAGCCATTCGCAAATTTATTCTTATACGATGTCTAAAATATTCCCTACATGTTAGAATGACGGCTGGACAACACATAAATTATGTATTATCTTACCTATCAGTTTGGATATTACAGTAAGGATGTTTACTGGATAACTCTATCATGACATTTGTTCCTTGGTCAACAATAAGAATTGGATTGAAATCATATCCTACGGTTTTTCCAATTGCTATTAATATAATTTGACTTGATAAGATGTACTCAATCTAAAAATAATTAGCAAATTTATAGAAAATTTATTAAAAATAAATTTTAAATTTACTTATTAATTATACTTATTACTTATTATACTTAATTACCACCAAACATGATTTGGAAGAAAAGATATGGATTCGCATCCCGACAAGAGAAGAATGGGAAAGCAACCGAGTAATGAACACTGAAGAGATAGCAGTCTACATAGATGCTTCCGCAACTTCAGGAGGCACATGTATAGGCATCTTCTAAGAGGAACTAGACATCCGACGATCTTTAAGGCTATCGGATGGCTGTCATGTTCTACAAGCAGAGGTTTACGCCATAAAGGAAGCGGCTAGTTGTATACGAGAGAAAATTGCTGATAGACCAATAAGGGATATAGTGATATACTACTGACAGCTTGGCCGCTTTAAGAAGCATCACCATACAATCAGTGAGATCGAAAACTGTGATGGAATGCCGAGAAACACTGTCCTGGCTGCGTCAGGGCGGAGCTACTCTGTGCTGGGCGCCAGGCCACAGCAATGTGGTGGGCAATCAGGAAGCAGACAGACTCGCCAAAGACGGGGCCAGGGGAGAGGCCGTGGCAAATAACCCACCACTTGTGACGATCAACACACTGAAGGAAGCTATAGGAACTGCCATCAAGGCCAAGCAGCAAGAGACGTGGCAACACCGTGAGGACTGCGCTACAGCTCGAAGACTATGGCCAGTGGTAGATAGCAAAAAGACAAAACAACTACTAGAGCACAAGAAGGACCTAGTACGCATAATTGTAGGTGTCATCACTGGAAACTGTCCCACGGACCTTGTGAGATGGAAGGTTTCCAACGACGACTGCTGCAGAGAATGCGGAGAGGAAGAAGAAACTATAGAGCACCTGCTGTACCACTGTCCGGTACTGGAATACCGACGCTTTAAAACTCTAGGGCAAGATTTTTTGGAGGGACTAGAGGAAGCAGCAGTAGCCAACATCAGCGATATCGGGAACTTTGCATGGAGCTGGAAGTGCTTTAACGCAAAGAAAGAATGAGAGGAAGGTTTGGTACAACAATAACAGGGGTATCGCAATGGGCCCAAGGACTCCGAGTGAGGGATCAAACATGATCCCAAACCCCATCAACCTAACCTAACCTAAACGCTTTTTGATCAAGTTTTATGATCACGCGTTTTTTTGTGATTAGAGATAAAATCTTATCTTATGGGAATTTACATCGGAATTTCCTAATTTGTCAAAATAAAGATCCTGGAATCGTGAAACTTTTTGATCATACAGTAGATTCATACATGGTCCACACATTGGATTGTTCATTTCTTTTTATTATGTAGTTTTTTCTGTTATATGTTTAGATTTGTAATTTTAATTAATTTTTAATTAAGAAGTAATATGTAGATCATAAATAAATAATTATTATTACACTTATTTGTTTTCTTCAATATCTATAATGGTAGTAATTATATTCTGTAATACTCGAACCAACAATCACTCTAATGGTACGTATACATTGGTGCGCTGCCATAATGGTACGCCATAACGCTACCATAATGGTACGTTATATTTTTCATATTAACATAGGTCCGATTCTGCTTTATTTCGTAGCTAAAGCAGTTAAAGTCTTCATTTTTTTTTGCTTTATTGCACGTGCATATGGGTTATCATTGTAATATTTTTCGAAAAAAAACACGTACGCCACTTTTTTTTGTATAGACCGTTTAATGCCAATTAAAAGTTGTCTCTTGATATTTTGTCGATTTCGATCTCCTTAATGAGATAAACGCAATTTTATTAATCACAATAAAATTAATTTAAAAATAAAATAGATAAATTATTTTTTTATCTAATTTATTATTAAATATTATTTCTATTAGTTATAATTACTATTAGTCCAACCTACAGCAAATTCAAATAAAAAAATGGAAGTTAAAATAATTACAAAAGACCTAATTTACGCTAAAAGTACTTGGAAGAAAATTATAATAAATCGAAAAAAAAATAAAACTTTGATATCTGTAGCCCCGAAACAAAGCAGAATCGGATCTATGTTGATATGAAAAATAAATCTTATTTTTACGTGAGGAATCTCTCCACAAGAGTTGCCACAAGTTTTTTGAAACACCCTGTAGGTATACTTGGTATAAACCGCTTTTGTTTGCCACTATCCACTATCTAAATTTATCTTTCAGCCTCGTATTCATCTTTTGTCTACATAATATCGCATAACCATACATGTCTAATCAATATACCAGTTTAAAATACAATGCGTTATTGATGTTTTAAGCAATGAATAAAGACATTGGTTTTTAAGAGTTTAAGATGTACTTTAGGTCAAGGTCATCAAAAGAATGTATTACCTGTGGTATTACTATCATTTTTAAGAGCGAACACCATATAATGACATTTTTAAACATCATCAAGGTTGGGTCACCTAAAATTCATGGTAAGTAGGTATGGTAGCTGGTTTAAATCAGGTTGGTAGAAGATGAACTACATACGAGTTAATGTGTATTTTAGAAGACGAAGAATTTAAAAATAGAATAATTTTTCGTAATATTTAAATAATAGAATTAAAAATAAGTTAGTGGGTTTAGATGCATTGCTCTTGGGTTAGAATTCAAAAATGATTGTATGAATATACACTGTATGATTGAAAAAAAAACACTGCGTCGAGACTTGTGTGTGGCTTAGAACTCTTAGAAATGACTATGGATGACATTCACCATATTATTTTACGTATAAAATATAATAAAAGACAGCGCTCATCATTTCCAAGCCAACTCTGACGTTTGTTTTTCTGTCGTATAAAGGCTTTTGGAAATTCCGGACAAGTGAACTCAGAAATCCGGACAAAATCCGGACGTCGCAAAAAAGAAACTATAAATTTATTTACGAACTTTTATAGGAGGCAAATAATAGTCCCGAAATATAAACCAAAAAAACATTCACTTTCCAGGAGTGCACCAGAACCGAAAAATTTCAGCGCCAAAGTATAGAAATGGGTACTTTTGAACATGCGTCGGTTAAGTAGAGCTGTAGCATCGTAGAGACTAAAATATTCAACAAAGTAACTGAGAAATTAATTCAACTGTAACTGTGAAATAAAAAATGTCTATACCTATTGGCGGATTCATTTCCAAGATTAGGAAAACGATATAACATACCAATATCTTCCAAAACACAAAATACACTTAGATCCATTTTATCACATTGCTAAACCAATGAATACAGAACAACAAATAAAAAATGTAATATACCAAATACCATGTGAATGCGATAAATTTTACAGTGGTGAAACATCTAGACCCTTAATGTTCGAATTAAAATTTATAAAGATTATTTAAGAAAGGGAACTTTTCACAAATATAAGATTTGTCAGCATTCATGAGACACAGGGCACAGAATAAATTTTAATAACGCCAAAATTATAATGAAAGCAGCGATATCCTCTAAAAGAAAAATAAAAGGAGCTTTTTTAATACAATCTAATAAAAATAAATGTATTGCTCTTGCATCTGTAGATGTCTGGTTTGGTACATAACATAAATAAACATAACATACGTAAAAATTAAAAATAATCATACAGAAAGTTTGGGGCTTTTTGGTTTTACTTTATTAAGTAATTGTTATCAGGTAGTAATTGTTAATTTTGAAGTTTAACTTGATATAATGTCATTTTAATAGAACGTCAACGGTTTTTGTAGACGTATCTGTTTTAAAAAACTAAAGTGTTCTCGAATAGTTGAATTTTAAATAGTTTTTTTTTCTTTTTTTTCTGCTTCCGACAACGGAAAGAGATAAACTTTCCGAAACGTTAAGAATTTTTTTGTTCGTTAGGAAAATTTGTATATCTGTAAACCTAACTTCTGACAAGTAGTTTCTGTTTGGATTAACGCAGAAGCGTTTACAAAAAAATAACTATTTTATTTTGTAGATTTTCTTGCAGTGGCGAAATACCCATATAGGATTTTTTGGAGAACTGTAAAATGTTTTTTACAGTTCAGGTTTCCCGGTCAGGTTTTTGCGGTCAGGTTTCCCGGAAGATTTTCCAAATCCGGGCCGGACCGGATGTGCGAATAAATCCAGACGTATGGGATTCCTAGATGTATAGTATAATCTGTCCAACGATTAAATACATAATAATGTCAGTTGTGTGTATGTTCACTGTCTTAACGAATTCTTGAACTTATTTATTTATAAATTTCTTCCTGGGAGGAGTAATTATCCCCATTACCCCTCCCGTATATGCACCCTAGAATTATTTTTTTGCTTATTTAGATTTTCTCTAGCGAGTCATCAATCGAGGGAGGAGGGCCATGGTCCTCACAATAGGATTTGACCTCAAATTATAGATTCGGAAAACGAGATGGTGGAGAAAATGGAGACAGATCCTCCAGCCCCCACCTCCCGGGTACCTCAGGCGGAGACAAGTTCTTTTTTGTTCTTTTTCGACTGTGAAGGGCACGGAGGGCTAAAACCCACCTGTGTAAGAGTGTATACTCTCGTAGGAGGTAAATGTCCACTCTCCGGTGTATGAAAATCTGTTGTCAGACGAGGACGAAAAATATCTTGTCCCCCTACAAGAGGAAGATCCTCATGTATTATGAGTTATGCTTATAGACTGTATGATGAGTTATAACTCAAGAAAGGGGGACACAATAGATCTTTAAGGTCGCAATGATTAACCACCTTTCCACTCATTCTACATGCTACAAGGTAAGCTTCGCTAAACTTGCTAACATCACCGATATTAAAATTATCACTAAGGTTGATTTGTAAAATTTTATGTTGCAAGACCAAAGATTTCAAACAAAATTGTATTTTTCCACATATTCGTAAAAAATTATTTGGGTGTTCTTCCTTTGCAATAACTTTGTATAATAAATGAGTTTACTGTGTTGAAAATGTTGTTAGTGATATTACTACTTTACCCATTTCTTAAAACTAAAAATTATTATTATTAAAAACGTATCACAGAACATTGAAACTATTATAGATTATGATAATTTACAAAGCAAACATATGATTATTTACGTCGTTTTGTACCATCAAGGTTAAATATTGTCTAAGAAAAGTAATATTTTTCTAATTATATGTCTAATATTTCGTTTACTCATTAACATGCGTTTGGGCACAAGGTTAATGAGGATTTTTAATTTTAAAAGAAATAACCGATATTAAACTATAAAACTATACCGGGTGCGTCTCAAAATAAGTGGCTCACCCCTATAACTTTTTTATTTTTTCAAATAGAAAAACAATATTTGGTATGTTAGTATATAACATAAATTAGGATTGATTGACGCATTCAATTGTTGTTGGCCACTTCTTATTTCGCCGGAAATTACAACCACTTTTGATTTTTATATGGTACCCACAGTATTTTTTTACTTTATTCGATAGAAAATGTTACTCTGAATAGAATGACATATCATATGTCAACTTTGATCTTTTTGGCATATGGTTTATTTGAAATTATAACATGCGGTTCATAACGAAAATTTGACTCGAACTACCAAGTGTGTGGTATCAAATTATTCGTAAAAATGCTTTTTCCAAATATGCTAATGAGCCACACTCGTTCCATTTGAAAAAATTGAGATATGAGTAAAAATACGATTTGGGCATCTTTAAACCGGCCAGGACGAGACACTAAAAGCATTAAACAATCAAATCTATTTTTCCAAGGCTGCTTGACTAAAAATTAGTGTTTTTAACATAGCCATTGTATTCTAATTTGAAATTTAAAATACGATTTTTTATTATTTTTATTTTTGTGATTAAGCGAGAATGCCAAAAGTTGGCATGATATGTCATTTTATTCAGAATGTAATTTTCTATCAAATAAAGTAAAAAAATACCGAGGGTGCCATTTAAAAATCAAAAGTTGTAGTCATTTCTGGTGAAACAGGAAGGGACCAAAAACAATTGAATACGTCAATCAATGCTAATTTAAGTCATATCTGAAAAAATAAAAAAGTTATAGGGGTGAGCCACTTTTGAGACGAACCCGGTATAACTATGTCAACGCAGAAAAATCCACTCGACAATAATTCTCTATAAGGCAAAATTACAAAAGAAATTAGCTGGCCATTGTACCGCATGATTGAAAAAAAACGGCGTCCAGTTGGCTTGAAAATGAACATCGATGACACACCACATCGATTTTCGTTTCACAGCCATCCCTGACGTCGTTTTTTTCGACCATAAGGTATTTCTTTTATTTAAATTTTCTCTCACAACTACAGGGTGAATAAGTAGGTACAAAAATTGTGGTTGGGGTACAAAAAACCCTCTATTTATAAAACAAAGATCTGAATATTTTCACACATCATACCGTATGATCGAATAAAAACGGCGTCAGCGGTGGCTATGAAATGAAGATCACTGTCATTTTATATGTAAATTTATATGAGAAATGTCATCGACCGTCATTTCCAAGCCAACTGGACTCCGTTTTTATTCGATCATACGGTATAATATACCGTACCAAAGACCGTACCATCGAAACAAGTCAGCGTCAATTTAAGTTACCTTAGTAATATAAACAAGGGTAATGGTAATGATATTATTCACATTAGTAACGCAACTTATTTATAACATATATTGATATTTTTAAAATATAGTTAAACAGTAGGTTAATGTGAGAAGGTATAGTAGAAGTAGGATATAAAAGGGGGAAATAGAGTAAAAAATAATGCAAATAAGTCCAATTTATCGTTTTTTCTAATTATTTTAAAATTTAAACTACACTTACCTTCATGTCTGAATAAAGATGGAATCTCTCGACGTGTTATTTTCTATTAATTGATTTTTTCGAACTAAATCTAAAATAAAACGCAACAACTGTAATTGAAAAGCATCGTAATTAAATGTATTACTTGTTTGTATAATTACATATTGCATTGTAACTCGTTTAATTTTCATTTTTGCCATTGCTACATTTTTTGTTAAGCTTATTATTTAATTAATATTCATCCGAAATATTTGTTTTATCGTGATAAGTAATTTAACAAGTAAATATTATAAATTATAAACTAACAATGGTAGTATAAATCAATGTTACTAATATAAATAGTATGATTTTACCGGAAAAAGATAATATATTTACTACATGATGGATGTAAAATAATTATAAATCCTCAAAAAATTCTTAAAAAAGATCTTAATCTCAAATCAAAGTCAAAACCCTGATTAGATCAACTTTCTTTCATCTTTCATTTGAGAATGTAAAAACATAAAAAAAAATATAAAAATACAATATAATACTTACGCGTTTCTGAAATACTTGTTTTATTGGTTTCATTTATTGAAAAATTTGTAAAAAATAACCGCTATCATTTACAAAAAACTTGAGCAATAGACTGACAAATCAAATGCTAGTGCATCGCCTATTATGAAGTCATTTTTATCTGATCACCCCGGACATACAATACTTTAAATGCTTTTTTAAAATATATCAATTTAATAAGGTTGAGTAGGTCAAAAACTGTTATAATGAAGCAGGTTGGGGGATGGAAAATAAATAATGGTTTAACCAGTGGTTTATGAAAATAAGCCCCGTTCTCAGTACTTTGTATTGTCGAGCGACACGTCAAAAGAACCAATGAGATTTGCACAACATTCAATTGACAGCTGTTTGAATTTTGCACAAATCTGATTGGTTCATGTTGCTGGCGCCCAGGGGCGCATATACGGGAGGGGTAATGTGGGTAATTACCCCTCCCAGGAAGAAATTTATAAATAAGAAAATCTGATCGGTCAATCAGTCATCAAATTAAAATAAAATAAATTAATAATATCAATCAAAATAGAAATCTAGAGCAATCTAAGTTTATTTTTTTCCATAGTCACAATACCTTTAAGCGAAAATTTAATTTAAATCTATTACCTTATTTAAATATTGCCACTACCCCTCCCAGACTCACTCTCTGGATGCGCCACTGCTGGCGACAGTCGATATTCTGAAAACGGGGCTTAAATAATTGTTAATCGGTATTGCATGTAATTTGACTGTCAGTGTTCAAAGTTTATTGCAATTGATTTTTTTTGATCATATACATTATATACCTACATATGCTACATATACCGTATGATCGAAAGAAAACGGCGTCCAGTTGGAAATGAACATCGATGACATTTCCTATAAAGGGTGTTTCAAAAAACATGTGCCATCTCTCGTGGCAAGATTCCTCACGTAAAAATAAGATTAATTTTTCATATCAACATAGGTCCCATTCCGCTTTTTTTCGTAGCTACAGGGTGTTAAAGTCTTAATATTTTTTCGATTTATTATAATTTTCTTTCAAGTATTTTTATTGTTTCGAATGAAATTTTGAGTGTAGAAGTTACTATAAATGCGACATATTTTAAAGCTAAAAAAACGTCGACGTATTCACCAGGGACGTGCATATGGGTTATCACTAGAATATTTTTCTAAAAAAAGCTTGTACGCCACTGACTTTTTTTTCTCTTGTTAGCGAAATAGTGTAAGCAGTTTAATGCCGATTAAAAGTTGTCTCTTTATTAAAAGTACTCATTGATTCCTCATCAAAAAATATAAAAAAAGTTCCTATAAACATGGGTATGGAAATGCACAGTTTTAGAGTTACAGGATGTTAAAACTTTTAACAATTAGGTTTTTTGTAATTTATTATATCTATTATTATTCTTATTATTTTTTTAATTTGTATTTATTAATTTTTATTTGTAAGTTGGGCTAATAGTAATAATAACTAATAATAATAATATTTAAAAATAAGTTAGTTAAAATATTTAATAAACAAAAGATGTTATCGTGGGGGCTATAATAAAAAAGAAGAATGAAATTATTGGGCAAACATACAGTAAGATTAGCCATGAAACATGGCTAAAATACGACTACCCGTAGACACTTAGTGTTTCTGCCTTCCGGCTTCGTCCATACGGGAGGAATCATAAAATCGATAGGATTAGTCGATAGGATCGCTAGTTCATCGTTGCTGATTCCTTCCGTATTGACGAGCCGGAAGGCAGAAACACTAAGTGTCTACGGGTAATGTGTTTCATGGCTAATCTTACTGTAGGTTTGCCCAATAATTTCATTCTTCTTTTTTAAAATATTTAATTTATTATTTTTACTTTTATTTAAATTTTATTAATTGTGATTAATAAAATAGCGTTTATGTCATCAAGGAGGCTGAATTCATTAGGCCTGATGAATTTATCAAAACTTTTTTAGCATTAAAATATGTAGCACTTTTAGTAACTTTTACCCCCAAAATTTCATTCGAATCACTAAAAGTACTTGGAAGAAAATTATAATAATTCGAAAGATTATTAAGACTTTAACACCCTGTAGCTACGAAACAAAGCAAAATCGGACCTGTTGATATGAAAAATAAATCTTATTTTTGCGCGAGGAATGTTCCCACGAGAGATGGCACATGTTTTTTGAAACACCCTGTATAATTTTACATATAAAATGATAGCGATCTTCATTTCATAGCACCCGCTGACGTCGTTTTTTTATCATAGCGTACCATGATTATGCCATGATATATTGATAATTAAATTATATTTTAAAACGTTGTGTTTATTTTAGCTAGATAATTGCATACAAATGACAATGACATAATGTATGAAAGTATATTGTTGACTTCTTTATTTTATAAAACTATTATATTTTCAATTATTCACTTACATTGCCAACTAGTTTTTGAAGAAAAATATGATACAATTGTTATATACAGTATTTATATTTACCTTCAATTAATTTCAAACTGATTAAAAGAACTAAGAAAAAATCAAACAAACGAAATTAACAACACAACTCTTTCACTCAATTCGTAGAGCTCTTTCACTCTAAATGCTTACTTTTTGTTGAAAATTAAATATTTCTTTACTGCAAGGAATGTACAAAGCTGTACCCCCCATCTTCAAAAGTTTTTTTCAGCAACAAGGACGAAGTTTTGTATAGCCGGTGTTAATAAAACCGTCCACTGAAATATGAAAAAGAATAATGAATACATTTTATTATTATTTACATTCTTTAAAAATATTAGTAAGTACGGACAGAATAAATTCAGATCTATATTATATATATATATATATATATATATATATATATATATATATATATATATATATATATATATATATATATATATATATATATATATATATATATATATATATATATATATATATATATATATATATATATATATATATATATATATATATATATATATATATATATATATATATATATAGTCCTAGTCCTATATAATACCAATAATTTTAGTAGTTCATTGACAATCTTTATAAATTGTTAATTATAAAATTTCGCATATTTTAATTAGGTAGTCTAATATTTGTGTCAAAATTTTGTGATTACCTATAGATATTTTTAGTTTCGCGAGAGAAGGAACAATTCGACAAACTACATCTAAAAAATTATAGAGAATACAGAAATCTGATTTCCAAATAAAATTTCAGACTATAATAGCTGTCACCTGACCATCTCTATACCGGGTCCGTCTCAAAAGTGGCTCACCCCTATAACTTTAATTTTTTCAGATAAAAAAAAGAGATTTGGTATGTTAGCATATGACATAAATTAGGATTGATTGACGTATTCAATTGTTTTCTGTCACTTCCTGTTTCGGAAATTATTTTAATTTTTAATTTATTCGGGAATTATTCCTTCCGGAAATTACTACAACTTTTGATTTTTAAATGGCACCCTCGGTATTTTTTACTTTATTCGATAGAAAATGAAATTCTGAATAGAATGACATATCATATGTCAAAAAATGTCTATACCTATGTGGCGGATTCATCTATCCAAAAAAATCCTTTATGGGTATTTCGCCACTGCACTGCAAGAAAAATCTACAAAATAAAATAGTTATTTTTTGTAAACACTTCTGCGCTAAACCTAAACGGACCCTGCTTGTCAGAAGTTGTGTTTACAGTTATACAAATTTGCCTAACAAAGAAAAAAATGCTTAACGTTTCGGAAAGTTTTCTCTTTCCGTCGTCGGAAGCAAAAATTAAGTTGAGTCTAATATTAGTTTTATTGAGTCTAATTGCAGAGCAGTGGCGAAATACCCATAAAGGATTTTTTTGGACATCATACGTCAACTTTCGACATTTTTGCTTAAAACAAAATTGAATTTTATTTTTCTGGCTGTGTTAAAAACACTAATTTTTAATCAAGGAGCCTTGGAAAAATAGATTTGATCGTCTAATGTTATTCGTGTCTTGTCCTGGCTTGTTAAAAGATGCCCAAATCGTATTTTTAATCATATCTCAATTTTTTCAAATGGAACGAGGGCGGCTCATTAGCATATTTAGAAAAAGCATTTTTTTACGAATAATTTGGTACCACATACTTGGTATTTCGAGTCAAATTGTCGTTATGAATCGCATGTTGCAATTTCAAATAAACCAGGAAATAAACCATATTCTAAAATGTCAAAGCTGACATATGATACGTCATTCTATTCAGAGTATAATTTTCTATGGAATAAAGCAACAAAAAACCGAGGATCGAGGATACCATCAAAGATACCATTTAACAATAAAAGTTGTAGTCATTTCCGGCGAAACAGGACGTGACAGAAAACAATTATTGAATACGTAAATCAATCCTAATTTTAGTCATATATTAATATACCAAATCTCAATTTTTGTCTGAAAAAATAAAAAAGTTATAGGGGTGACTTTGAGACGCACCCGGTATACCGTATGATCGAAAAAAAAAACGGCGTCAACAATGGCTATGAAATGAAGGTCGCTGTCATTTTATATGTAAAATTATAGGGGGAATGTGTGTGTGTTATCGATCGTCATTTCCAAGTGAACTAGACGCTGTTTTTTTTTCGATCATACTGTATTATCTTTAGTTGAACAAACTATAGATTCCAGAGTTTTTTCGAGTTAGAACTCTTTGTCGAGTCCCACAAAAATCTTTTAGGACAACAATCCGATTAAAAATTAAAATAAAAAATATGCTTTTTATTATACAGGGTGGCGCTTCACACCATGCGGGGGTTTCAAAGAGAACGGCAGTTTCTGTGTTCTCTTTGGAACTCTTTTGAAAAAAAATATAAGAAATTTTCCGAAAATGGGAACTTATCTTTCAGTGAGAATTGGTATGATCTATATTAGTTGGTGGCTGCAGTGTGCATTTACCAATTAATAGAATCCTTAAAATCCTCCTGATTTATTTAGTCTGGACTTATATATGCGGATCATGGAACTCTTTTGAAAAAAAAAATATAAGAAATTTTCCGAAAATGGAAACTTATCTTTCAGTGAGAATTGGTATGATCTATATTAGTTGGTGGCTGCAGTGTGCATTTACCAATTAATAGAATCCTTAAAATCCTCTTGACTTATTTAGTCTGGACTTTTATATGCGGATAATAGAGAAAGATAGTAAATTGTTTATACTTTCTCTATGCTGTTAATGTAAAAAAACTACATAAACTACATTACAAGTAGTTAATATCGACGTAGATAGTGTAGGTGTAGTTTATGTAATTTTCAAATATCAAAGATTTGAGGCAGGTTTGGGGTTTATAACAAGATAAAGATAATTTTAAGCTTTAGAAAAGAGAGGAAATATGGCTTCAAATATAGCATTGGCGTAACAAAAATTATTTACACCCCTGATCATACAGAGGAAATGAAAAATATTCTTTCTACAAAGTTTTGAAAAGATTACTGACTAGGTGATTAAAATCTTATGATATTTTATATTTGTAAATTGGTTATTTTAAATTTTTTAAGAGTTTTTGTATTTTATATATATATAATAATTTTAATACTTTGTCACAATATTGTGTTATATTCATTAATTAAATAAATAGGTAATGGCAAAGAATATTATAGTTTTAAGAACTCTCGTGTGGAAGCTTTAGTGATTTGTCACACCGTGGCGCTTTTGAACATAATCGAAGCCTGAAAATGCTAATATTTTAAATTTTGAGGACTACGCGCGGCGATATTTCGTATGGTGTTGCCAAAGAAACATATTTTATTCTCAATATTTAAAGAAATATGTTATGTGATTTAGTTATAATATTTCGTATTCGTTAGTACATGAGGCATCTTAAGGCTATGAAAAACGTAGCCTATGAAATAAACATTTTATGATTTTTTAATTAGTTTTAGATACCTTCTAATAAAAAATTACTTCATATTCCAGATAAAAAAATTAAATTTTTAATAGTTTTTCGGATACACGCAGTATTTTTCATATGGCTCTCTCATAGGTAAAATACGAGAGAATAAATAATTAACTAAAAAAAAAAAAAAAAAAAAAAAATATTTTTTTAAAATATCGACCCATAAGGGGTTGTAATTAGATAAAGGGGGTGTAATTTACAAAAAAAAATCTACTTACTAGGAGTATGAACTTATGCACAGATGTGGCGCATTTGAAAATTGATAAGCGTTTTTTGGAAATGTATAGCATAAGGGTAGTGAAACTGGGGGTGAAATTTATGTACAAAAAATGTTAGTATCTAGAATATGAAATTTTGTACAGAGTCTCCTTAAGTGACGAAAGTGAGTACCTGAAAGTAATATTTTTGAATTCATCCCCTAGAAATAAGGGATGAAATTTGTACAAAAGTTTGTTACAATCGGTTTTAGAAGTATTAAATTCTGCACAGACGTTCCTTATGTAACGTAAATTAGCACTAAGTAGCACTTTTTGGAAATTCGCCTCTAAGGGTGTGAAATTAGGGGTGAACGTTCTGAAACATTTCTGTTGAAGGAATATAAATCTGCACAGAGGTTTATTATGTAGCGTATTTGAATAATTAGAGTGATTTTTGGATTTCATTCCTTAAAAAAATGGAATGAACTAGGGTTAAAACTAGGGGTGAAAGATTTGTTATAATTTTTCTATGTAAATCCGTGGTAGAACTAGGAGTATGAAATTCTGTTCAGAGGCCCCTTAAATGATGAAAGTGAGTAACTAGAAGCGAATTTTAGGCATGCATCCCCTAAAAATAAGGGATGAAACAATTTGTATCAAAATTTTTAAAATCGGGTTTAGAAGTATGAATTTTGCAAACGTTCCTTTTGTAACGTAATTGTAGCACTAAGAAAGCAATTGTTTGAAAATTCGCGCCTCTAAGGGTGTGAAATAAGGGGTGAACTTTCTGAAACAATTCTGTTAAGGGAATATAAAATTTTGCACAGAGGTTTCTTATGATAGCCGTAATCTGAATAATTTGAGTGATTTTTGGAATTCTTTCCTTAAGGGGGTAAAACTAGGGTTGAAAAATTTGATCATGAATTTTTTACGTTAAATCCGGTCTAGGACTAGGAGTATGAATTTCTGTTCAGAGGTCCTTAAATGATGATGTGAGTACCTAGAAGCGAATTTTAGGTATGCATCCCCTAAAAAAATAAAAGGGGAATGAAAATTTGTACAAAAATTTGTTACAAATCGGTTTTTAGAAGTATGAGTTTTGCAGACGTTCCTTATGTAACGTAATTTAGCATAAGAGAAGCAATTTTTGAAAAATTCGCCCCTCTGAAAGGGTGTGAAATGAGGGGTTGAACGTTCTGAAACAATTCTGTTGAAGGAATATGAAATTTGCACAGAGATTCCTTATGTAGCGTGATTGAATAATTAGAGTGATTTTTTGAATTCATTCCTTAAGGGGGTAAATAGGGTGATTAAAGAACTTCTGTTCATATTCATTATGTAAAATCCGTTCTAGGACTAGGAGTATGAAATTATGTTCAGAGGTCCCTTAATGATGAAAGTGAGTACCAGAAGTGAATTTTGGACATTCATCTCTTAAGAGAGTGAAATAAGGGTTGAAAATTTGTACAAAAATATTGTTAAAATACGGTTTTTAAGAAGTATATGAATTTTGCCCAGACGTTCCTTATGTAACGTAATTTTAGCACTAAGAAGCAATTTTTGGAATTCGGCCCATTAAGGTGTCAAGCAAATGAGGGGTTAAACGTTCTGGAACAATAATTTCTGTTCAAGGAATATGAGAATTTGCCCAGAGGTTTATTATTGTAGCGTCAATACAAAAAAAAAATAAAAAAAAAAATTATTTGGAATTCAAATCTTAAGGGTGATAAAACTAAGGGTAAACATTTGTATGAAATTTTATGTAAAATCCGTTCTAGAACTAGGAATATGCAATTTTGTACAGAAGTCCACGTTAATGAAAAATGAAAGTGTGTAACCAGAAGAAAATTTTGGACATTGACCCCCTAAAAAAATTAAGCACTCCCTATAAACAATTTAAAATAAAAAAAATTGTCCTAAAAAATAAAAAAAAGTTGGGTGGACCACTCCCTTATCACTTTAGGGTAAAAAAAATAGATAAGCGCTGGAAATAGGTTGACCAAACCAAACCAAACCAAGACCTAACATAATATACGAGTTATAAAAATTTTATCAAAATTTTTTTTTTTTTTTATTTTTAAAAAATGCTACAAAAACGTTGTATAAAAAAAAACAACCCCTCATTTAAAAAAACTAGGGGAGAATGGTAGAACGGGTGTGGAAATTTAAGAGTGTTTGTATTGGTTAATGCCAAATAAAAAATTAAATATTTTTTTTTGTTCAAAAAATAAAAAAAATGGGGGTGAGCAATACCCTTATCACTAAGGGTATAAAAAAAAATAGATAACAAACTATTTCAGACCTACTCAATATACATTAATAAACGTCATCAAAATCGGGCTTAAGCCCGTTTCCCGGAGACGAGGAGGATAACAAGAAAAACAACCACCTATTAGAAATAGGAGATGATGGTTTAGAACGGTGAAATTTAGACGTTGTTTGTTTCTTTTTAGGCCAATAAAAAAATACTTTTTTTTTCAAAAAATAAAAAACATGGGGTGGCTACCCTCTCGGCTAACCTTATCACTTAAGGGTATAAGAATTTATATAACAACCTATTCCTAGACGACTGAAATATACAATTAAAATGTTTATCAAAATCGGGTTAAGCCGGTTCGGAGATGGTAACAAAAAAACTTAAAAAAAAAACAAACCTCTATTAAAAAATAGCGGAGATGATGGTAACGAACGGTGAAAAATTAGAGTTGTTTGTATTTTTTAAGCCCAAATAAAAAAAATTAAAATAATTGTTTTTAAAAAAAAAAAAAAAAAAATGGGGGTGAGCTACCCTTAGCAATTAAGGGTATAAAAAATATAGAAAACAAACTATTTTCAGACCTACTCAATATATATAATAAAACGTCATCAAAATCGACTAAGCCGTTTCGGAAGAGTATGGTAACAAGAAAACAACCCCTATTAGAAAAAATTACCGGAGATGATAGGTAGAACGGTGAAAATTTAGAGTTGATTCTGTATTTTTTAAAGGCCAAATAAAAAAAATTTTTTTTTCCAAAATTAAAAAATGAGGATGGGCTACCCTCTCGGCTAACCTTATCACTTAAGGGAAAAAAAAAAAAAAAAAAAAAAAAAAAAAAAAAAAAAAAAAATAACATAATAAAATTTTATCAAAATCGGTTAAACCGTTTCGGAGATGGTATACAAAAACTTAAAAAAACAACCCCTATTAAAAAAATAGGGGATGATCGTTCATAGAACGGGTGAAAATTTAGGTGTTTGTATCTTTTTAATGTCAAATAAAAAAAATATAACATATTTTTTTTATTCAAAAAAAAATAAAAAATGGGTGTAGCTACCCTATAGCAATTAAGTATAAAAATAATAACAACACAACTGAAAAATGACAATCTAACTCACTACAATATTCTAGTAATGACAAGTAGAAAACTTTAATAAATATAAAAAAAAAAAAACCCCTATTAGAAAATACGGGATGATGGTAGCAACGGTGGAAATTTAGAGTTGTTTGTATTTTTTAAGCCAAATAAAAAAATAATATTTTTTTTCCAAAAAATAAAAAAATGAGGGTGGGCTACCCTCTCGGCTACCCTTATCACTTAAAGGTATAAGAATATATGAAACAACCTATTCTTAGACGTACTGAAAGGTATGACATATAAAATAATTTATCAAAAATAAAAAAAAAAAAAAAAAAAAATAGAACAAAAAAAACTTAAAAAACAACCCCTATTAAAAATAGGGGATGATTCGATAAGCAGACTTTGTGAAAATTTAGGGGTGCTGTTTATTTTTAATGTCAAATTAAAAAAAAATTAAAATTATTTTTTTTTTCAATAAATTAAAAAAAAAATGGGTGGGCTACCCTTATCAACTTAAGGGTAATAAAAATAAGAGGAAAATAAAAAATAAAAAAAAAAAAAAAAATTATAATATAAAATTTACATAAAATAAAAAAAAAAAAAAAAAAAAAAAAAATAAGTAACAAAAAATTTAAAAAAAACAAACCCCCTATTAAAAAAATAGGGGATGAATGGTAGAACGGTGGAAAATTTAGGGTTGTTGGTATTTTTTAATGCCAAATCAAAAAAAATTAAATTTTTCATATTTCAAAAAATAAAAAAATGGGTTGGGCATACCCTTATCACTTTAAGGGTATAAAATAGATAACAACGTATTCTTAGACCTACTGAAGTATTAGCATATAAAATTATCATCAAAAATCGATCAAGCCGTTTCAGAGAAGATGGTAAACAAAAAATTTAAAAAAAAACATCCCCTATTAAAAAATAGAGGATGATGGTAGAACGGTGAAAATTTAGGTTTGTTTGTAATTTTTTAATTGACCAAAATAAAAAAAAATATAAAAATTTATTGTTTCAAAAAATAAAAAAATGGGGGTGGGCTACCCTTATCACTTAAGGGTAAATAAAAAAATATATAACAACCTATTTTCAGACCTACTCAACATACATAATAAAATTTCGGATCCAAAATCGGCTAAGCCGTTTCGGAGATGGCAAAAAAAAAAAATTATAAAACATTTTTTTAAATATTCAAAAAATCAGGGATAAATTAGCCAGAACGGTTGAAAATTAGGGTTGTTGTTTTCTGTATGCCAATAAAAAAATAAAAACAGATTTTTTTCTTTTCAAAAACTTAAAAAAAAAAAAAAGAGGGTGGGCTACCCTCTCAGCTACCCTTATCAGTTAAGGTTATAAAAATAGATAACAACATATAACAGAAAAAAGAAAAAAAAAATACATATAAAATTTTATTCAAAATCGGTTAAGTCAAGCAGTTTCGGAGGAGTACGGTAACCAAAACCATCCAAAACTGTAACACGAGAATTATATTTATAATATTATATGAAAAACTGCCGGAGAAGTGCGGAGAGCGGAGAGCGGAAAGACTGATTATAGCAATAGATGAAATTTAAAACTAAATTTAAAACTATTCAAGAAAGTACATACAAAACAAGGCAACGCCGCGCGTCTGTTCGTTCAATTCCGAGCAAAATAGCGAGGCCCCACGAAGTTGGGGCCTCGCTCGAGGTGGCGGTATTCGTCCTACGGGGTATTTGTCCTACCAACCGAACGTCACTTCGGGCATGTTCGGTAGTCCTAAAAATTCGAGGTGGCGGTATTCGTCCTACGGGGTATTTGTCCTACCAACCGAACGTCACTTCGGGCATGTTCGGTAGTCCTAAAAATTCCTGTTTCAGGAATTTTGTCCTGGCTAACGTACTAAATCTGTTTTTTTTTTTTTTTTTTTTTTTTTTTTTTTTTTATTTTATTTAGTTTGTAATTTGACAAGATTAACCTCAGAAAAGTTTAAAATTAGAATTTTTATGAAACATATTTACTAATACCTTAGGATTATGAAAAGTAATCAAAAAAATAAAAAAAAAAAAAAAAAAATATTTTACAAATAAAAGCATAAACAAAATGAAAGTGATAGCAACACGATTACGGTTTTAATTGTGTTTTTATATAGAGAATACGTCTACATTGGTTGAAATCTCAGGTGTGTATCTAGATAATATTGTATTCAAACCAAAGCTGTAAAACGATTAACAATTTTTTAGAAATTATAAGCTATCCACAAATTCCTGAAAATAAAAAAAAAAAAAAAAAAAAAAAAAAATGTTCTTAATTATTTTTCCCACATGATGTCCTTTCAGGTTCCAGATATGTGATATTGTTTTAATTGCAAGATCGTAGCTTACAAAACATTTCTTCAGGAAACGGCCGGCATTTTGTTTTAGTTAATAAGTAATTATAAAAATATGAGCAAAAATGAGATGGTTTAAAAGAGTGAAAATTTTAAGGTTAAGAAATCTGAAACTCAAAGGAAAACTGATTAAAAGCTGATAAAATAAGTTACCGTTAAACTGGAAAAGCAAAACTAGTAAGTTTTATTATGAATTCTATTCACTATTAACATTTGTGGTATTTTACAAATGTATTTCTTTTGAATTACAGCTATACGCATAATACAAAAGACAATTTATCATCTTTAAAACCATAAGGCATATGATATATGAGATAGGTAGGTATGTACAATGTGGTAGGTACAATATGATCGAAAAAAAAAACGGCGGTCAGTGCATGGCTATGAAATGAGATCGCTGTCTGTTTTATATGTTAAAATTATATAGGAATGTCCAAGGATCGTCATTTCCCAAGCAACTGGACGCCGTTTTTTTCGATTATATGAGACATAAGTGTCAGCCTTGCTACACCACAGACCTTTATATTATACTTCTAGCACAAGGACATATCGGCAAGCCTTAGGTTGGTGTTTACGCGTGTAGGTGTGAATCGCTATGGTGATCTGGTCGGAGAGGATTAGAAAAGTATAAAATATTTATTACATAACCACTTAATCTGATGATTTCATATGCATCTAATACAAGTTCAATACATCTTATTGTAATAAGCATATTGGCCATACTCTTCATATACATGAAAATCGTATCAATCGTGTATCACATAGCACATTTAAGAGGACTGATCCTATAAAGGCATTTATTTTTGTTTTCTATTTATAACCTCGTTAACTCATTTATTTTGTAGATTTATTTTAATATTAAGCTCTAGGATAAAAAACCTGCTTAGACAGAACATGGGTATTTTCGAATACTTTATTTAGAAAATCTTGTCAGGACATTGATATAAGATTACAGAAAAATAGTTGCTGACATAGGACAAATGTATAAAGTCTTCAGGATACCCTTCGGGAACAATTTAGAATGATGCAGCGTAAACTACAGTAAAGTCTGAACATTAAGCATAAAGGTAAATTAAATTATCCATACATGTGTGCAGCAAAGTCGTAAGATAATAAATATTGTTTTCAGAAACAAAACCCACAACTTATTCTGCCAAATACAAATAGTACACATTCTTATTTTACTAGCGTGATTTGACCTTACTCTTCTTACACACAAAAATCGGCACCCAAAGCCTGAAATTGGCAACTCTAGTATACCTATTCTATGCTAATGAAATATTTTTTTTAAGTGATATTTATTTTGTTTATTGATCTTTCTAGATTTAAATATTTTTATCAGTCTGAGATCAATATGAATTTTTTTTTAAAAAAGAACGAGTATACCTAAAATCAAAAATTTTGATTTAAGTTAGGTATGTCAAAATAATAAGTTAAGTATTTTAGAAAAAACCTGTATTTTTAAATTGCAAAGCTGAAGGCGCGCCCCCCCCCCGCCGCCCCAAGACAAACTTTTTTTTTCTTTTTCAAATATTTTTTTCAAACTAAAAAATGTATCGATCTGAATTAATTTATTCAAATATAACAGAAAAAATATCTATCTTAAAGTTGCAGCTGTGGTTGCAATAATCTCTGTATGGCCTAAAAACATTTGTTTTATTTATTAAAATTACAAAATTACGGTATAAAGTTATAAAAGTACTTTATAAAAAGATCTCCGAGAATTGTTCAAGAAAAAATAATAAAAGGGAAAAATTCTGAATTTACAGAAATGTTTCTTTTTCACTTTATTCCAATTATGTTAATGAGAGTGAAAGTAAAGACTATGGAGAGCTTATTCGTAGATAAAGTAAACTAATTAATTAGTTATCTCTGTGTGTATAGCAAGGACTACCTGTAACGACCCCTAAAAGTAGTTTAATAATAATTTACATTAATTAATTAGGATTTTTCTTGCCTGAGTGCCTTGAGACAAAACCGTAAAATAATAAGAACCAAAACAGTTTAATGCCAATTAAAAAAAAAAAAAAAAAAAAAAAAAAAAAAAAACAAATTACATATAAATAAATAAATACTGTTAAAATCAAAAAAAAAACAGCTGGACGAGCAGCAATTTTTTTTTTCCAATGTTAGTACTGTATTGATCGAAAAAAAACGGCCGTCCATTAGCTTGTTAATGATAGTCGATGACATTCCCATATAATTTTAAATATAAATGACAGCGAATCATTATTTTATAGCCGACACTGTGACTATTGTGTATTATTCTTATTACTAATACTGCACCCAATCACTTTTTTTGACAATTAATCTATAAAAAAATAAAAGTAAACAAATTTTCATATTATAAAATAATTTATTTCATTAATAAATAAAAAAAAAAAAGTCATTTTTACTCCGAATAGGACATGCTATTTTTTTCAAATTTTTTTTTTTTTTTTTTAAACATTTCAAACTTTGCAATAATATAACAAGATTTAAAAGTTGAATACCTTGTAACTAATTATTACCGTATGATCGAATAAAAACGGCTCAGCGATGGCTATGAAATGACAATCGATGACATTTCCCATATAAATTTACATATAAAATGACAGCGATCTTCATTCATAGCCATCGCTGGAGGCCGTTTTTATCGATCATACGGTAGCTTGTAATCGAGAAACTATGTTTACGCTCGTTGAATTTGAACTTTATATCAGTTTAAATATATTTTCTCGTACTTTTGTGCTTATGCGGTAAAAGTGCTTTATTGTTATGGCCTAGGCATTAAAATTACTTTATTTATCAATCACGTCGCCAAAATTAATACTTTCGTTGCGTTTGAAAAAAAAAAAAAAAATCTTTATTTGTACAGTTTTATAACATAATCTATTAATTGGGCCGAAAGATCAGTTCTCAACCACACACCTTGGTTGACTGAATCAGTTCTTAATTTATTTTTAAAAAGAACATAAATACCTAAAAAACAAAAAAATTAAAAAAATGGTTTATTTTGTTTAGTTGTTTACTATATTAGAGATATTTTTAGAAACCTGTATATTTATTAATTGAAAAACTGGATGAATTTCATATATCTTTTCAATTAGAAATTGTATACCTAATTAATTTTTACTCTAATTGCTAAAAACGAATATTACAAAAATTAATTATAAGTGAGTTTAGTTATATTAAAGTTCACCATATTGTCAAGAAAAAAGATTATGCTTTAAATTTAAAAAATTATGTGCAAGTTAGGTTAAACTACAAGTTAAACAATATAGATAATTCAAAAAGTTTTTTTTTTTGAAAAATTGCTTTTTATGATGTCAGATCATTTTCTTGATAAAATACACTAGATAGGAATTACAAAAGGGGATTTTTTTTTTTTTTTTATATTAAAAGACGCTGATGGTAATTAAAACATTGACTATAAAAGCTTGTCATTGAATATAAGAGGTCACGACATATTCCCCTTGGAATATTTGTGAAGGTGTAAGGGTGTATAATAAATTAATTCTTGTTTTATAATAAAAACCAGTAAAACATTATTTGTAGCTTAAATAAACGCCTGCCCTCGCCTGTCATAGGCAACCAAAAAATACATATAAAAAAAATCCTTGTAACTTTAGATGACTTTAGTAATTATGTCAGTAAACTCTTAATTGGGCTCTAGTCGTATTTTATTTAATGTACAAATATATTATGAAATTTTAATCATTAACTTAAATATTTAGACTAAGCATAAGTAAGTTAAAAACTATTTTGTGCCCGATTATCATAAGAGGTCACGAAATATACTCTTGGTAGTACACAAAACAGTGTTAGGGGTATGTTAATCAAAATGTTAATGCATGATTTTTTGTATAATATTAACTATAAAACATGTTATTTCTTATTTGTGAGAATAAAAAAACAAAACAATTGTTTACATTACCAATATTTTAAATGAAATTAAAAAAAAAAAAAAAAAAAAAAAAAAAAAAAAAAAAAAAAAAAAAAAAAAAATGTATTTATTAAATATTTCAATAAAGTCTTAATTAAGTCTCTAGTCTATTTTTTTATTTTATATTAATAAGTATAAATACCTTACACTCTTTTTCCGATACAGAAAATTTTGTTTATTGCTTCTTGAAAATGCGACAACCTGACAACGCTGTTTTTAACGTTCGGGACGCGTTCGGGTGGACGACTCTACCCGAACAACTGGTAGGACAGATGCTCATTAGGACAGATGTGGTTCTCCCAAAAATTCCTGTTTCAGGAATTTTGTCCTGGCTAACGTACTAAATCTGTTTTTTTTTTTTTTTTTTTTTTTTTTTTTTTTTTTGTTTTGGAATTTGACAAGATTAACCTCAGAGGAAAAGTTTAAAATTATAATTTTTATGACATTGGACGAATGAATGTTATGAAATAATGTATTAAACCTGCATATAAAATAACCGAAATATTTAAATAAAGCATAAACAACGAATGAAAGGTGATATAGCAACACGATTACCTTTGATAATGTGTTTTTTATATAAGAATACGTCTACATGGGTTGAAATCTCAGGTGTGTATCTAGATAATATGTATTCAAACAAAAGCTGTAAAACGATTAAGCATTATTTAGAAGAATATTAAGCATCCACAAATTCCTGAAAATAAATTAGCCGTGATTTGCGGAAAAAATGTTCTTAATTATTTTTCCCACATGATGTCCTTTCAGGTTCCAGGTATGTCGATTAATTGTTTTAATTTGCAAGATCGTAGCTTACAAAAATTCATTCTTCAGGAAACAGCACGGGCATGTAGTATGCTAATAAGTGAATTATAAAAAATATGAGCAAAAATTTTTTTTTTTTTTTTATAATTATGAAATTTAAGGTTTAAGAAATCTGAAACTCAAAGGAAAAAACTGGATTAAAAACTGTAGAATAAGTACCGTTTAAAACTGGAAAGCAAACTATAGTATTCTGTATTATGCGAAATCTGATTCACTGTCATAACATTGTGGTATTTTACGAAATGTATTTCTTTTGAATTACAGCTATACACATAATACAAAAGACAATTATCATCTTAAAACATAAGGGCATATGATATTGAGATAGGTACGGTAGTGTACCCATGTGGTAGTACAATTATGACTCGAAAGAAAAAAACGGGTTAGTGATGCTTGAAATGAAGATCGCTTTTATATGTAAATTATATAGGGAATGTCAAGGATCTCATTTCCAAGCCAACTGGACGCCGTTTTTTTGATTATATGAGACATAAGTGTCAGCCTTGCTAGACCACAGACCTTTATATTATACTTCTAGCACAAGGACATATAGGCAAGCCTTAGGTTGGTGTTTAAGCGTGTAGGTGTGAATCGCTATAGTGATCTGTGTTGGCCGGAGATAGAAAGAATATAAAATATTTATTACATAACCACACTTAATCTGATGATCTCCTATGCATTCAATACCAAGATCAATACATCTTGTCCATTGGCCGATACTGCTTCTATACATGAAATATCGTATCAATGGCGGTGTATTCACATAGCATCATTTTAAGAGCATTTTTAAAAAAATATAAAAACATTTATTTTTGTTTTTCTATTTTATGACCTCGTTAACTTCGATTTGTAGTGTCAGATGTATGA